CACATAATTTTAAATATTCTAGTAAGCATATTAAAAAAGTAAAAACAAACAGGTGAAATTAAAGTCACGTATTTTATTTAACCAAATAGATTCAAATATTATCATTTCAACATGTGACACAGGCCACATTTCAAGGGCTCAGTAGCCACATGTTGCTAATGGCTACCACACTGAACAGCCCATCTTCAGAGAACCAAATATAAAGAAATTTTCAAAGAGAAAGCTTTTGTGAGGATAAAACACAGTATTTTTAAGAACTCAATAATTTTACCTGTTTCAATGTATTTCAACCAAAATACAGACCATTTCTAGATCATTAAAACCCAGAATGATATTTGAGAAGGAATTCAGGATTTGGCAGTGGAAGGAAAAATGGGGATAATAAAACCCATCAAGATGGATGAAAGGACTAAATGAGATGATATACATGTTTTGAAAAATAGAACACTGTGTGAATATGCCCCTATGAATGATATTACTTCTTTATTTTATTAGAATATTGGTCCTTGGTTATATAAATAATTCAGATACCTGTAGCTGGTTCTTTCCCTCCAGTATATCATGCTCTTTGCTTTTAAAGCCATTAAACATTAGGAAACACTGACCAGGAACACATTTAAATTCCCAGGAATAATCACTTTAATAAAAACTTGTGGCATTCACTCCCAATGTTCAAGAAATATCTGGATCTGCGCACACAGAAAATCTAGAGAGTTTTTGAATGTAGCTACCGACTTTGGGGGAGAGGGAAAGGCTAATGGCTTCTCAAAGCTTTTCTGAATAAAAATCTAATTTAACTCACCGTATTCTGAGAGATATAAGTACATGTAAATATATAAAACGTTTTTTCTCCGTAATGTCTGAGATTTATGAATTTCTCTGAAACTACATTTTGCAGGGGAAAAACACCCATGTGTGTGCTGAGCAGCAACCACCTATCTGTCAGCTTTCCCAGCATGGTAACCCCCCCCATCGCTGCCTCGGCCCTTCCTTCAATAAATACTGTAGGCTGCGTGCGTGCGCGCTTACAGAACTTCACAGGTTTCCATGGATACGGGCATTTTAGTGCTAAGGCACATTTACTATCGCTTTCCTTGTCACCAAGAGTCCTGTAAACACTTGTGCTTTAAGATTTTGTGCAGAAATTTAGCATTTTATAGAGGACCAAGTCAGAGTTACCTTTTCTCAAATGCATTGTGTGCCTTCCCTTTAGGGCAAAGTCCCTGAAATCATTTATATTTGTGGCCTCTTTTTAGTGATGTGTTTTTTATTTATTAGCCTAATAAAAGACAACTACATTGTCAGTATCACTTTTAAGTGACAGATATTTATGCTATGTAAATGTTACAATTAATAAGTAAGACAACTTGCTCTGAATTTAAAGGAAAGAGGCAAATAGGGAAAGCAGGAATAGGAATATTCTGTACATATTTAGCCACTTCTCTTCCTGAGTGTGGTGAAATGTAAGTGTCATTTCCAAGGATACCCTTGCGTTCTATCTATCGACCAATCATAGTTTGAATTTATTCTTTCTTACACATATTAAGCTTTTTGGGTATTTAAAATACCTTCTCAGAAATCTGTGAAGATAGCAGGCTATGTTATTACTTTTCCCATTTCACACATGTATGACTGAGGCTCAGAAGGTTTAAGGAACGTGCCCCATGTCACACAGCTAGCAGGGGGCAGAACTGAGATTAGAACCCAAGACTCCTGACTGCAGGGCTTTTCTGTTGTTTTCCTGGGCAGAATGCAGACAATTTCTTCCATAGAAGGCATACCCATTTCCTTCCTTCCTTGCCACATGCTGATAGGTTTCTGTGCCTCTGACCTGGGCTCCATTAAATCACTCTTTTCTCCACCCATCCCCTTGACTGCTCCGGAGATGTTCCTAACTTACCAAGCTTAGTCATTTCAAATGCACATAACCACTGGGAAACAACAATCACTGAGAGATCACATAGCCTGGAGGCCCACTACCTGAGGAATTTGTAGGGAAATGATTTCTAGTTCCAATCATATTGACCAAGAATGTACAAAGCAGAATGAATGAGAGGCTTGAGCAATTTGGACAAAAATCCAAGCTGAGTGGACATGTTGCCTGGATATTCAAGGCAAGAAAAAAGCTTTTACTTTAACAGCATGGATTCCTGGGGGCAGAGTTGGAACTATTTGAATGACTGTCTCGGCTCTCACTTACCATGCTCATGGAGCCAACAACCTCTGTATCGTCTCGCCAAATATCTCAGTTAAGGCCGCGAGACCCTTACAAAGACCATTTTGTACTAGGTCTCACTCTCCTTGTATTTGCGCCCATCTTTTGTTTTTGTGGTTTCTTCATCTAAAAGGAAGACTTGACTTTTCCTGACTAATAAAGAAGGAGTGTGGGTAGAGGCAGAGCTCTTGACTAAGAGGGCTGATTTTGGTCTCCAGGAGACCCTGAGTGAGGAGCTCTGCAGCTCAGGCCTCAGAGCAGCTGCCAACAGGCTTGTTGTCAGGATCAAAGCAGGCAAAGCATAGAAGAGTACTTTGCCAATAGAAAAATATGCACAAAAACACAGGGTTGTTTTGAGGACTCTGTCTAACATCACCCAATGCCGACTGGTTTTAGTCTCCGTGTGTTAAAAGGCGATAATAACTCTTGTTACCTCGCAGAGCTTTTGCTGGTGCATGCCTTTACTCATTTTACAGCAAACACACCTAAATCATCTCCATCATGGTCGTTTCAATATGTTTCAACTCTTTCAACCCAACGAGGCAGCAACTGAGAGTGTCATCCACGTGGCGCTTCACTTAATATAATAGCCAAAATCAGGAGAACTGGTACTTTGGTTGTAATCTAGCATCTGCTCCCATCACGTACCACGTGCAGCTCTTGAGATCCCAGAGTTACAACTCTAGATTCAGACAAACTTCGGCTATTACTGCCTGAGGCTAATTCCACATTCCTTCTGAATGGAAATTTTAATTCTGTGTCGCTCATCCATAGAGCACCACCAAGTGATTAACTCTCTCCCCAATCTGTAGAAATGGAGGGAGAACTCAGAGCTTTCCTGAACTACAAAGCTTTCTCTGTTTCTCCTCAAATTCCATTCAGGCATCGAATTGAATTCACTCTTAACCGAATGCATTTTCTCTATACCTGGCAGAGATCTAGAAGTAAAATTACAAGATGTATTTCATTTTAATTCTATTATGATGCATTTAATCACAAATAGCCCTCAAAATGAAAAGATGATTTATCATCTTGCCCTGACTGAGCAACTCTCCTCAGTTCACATTCATGAATCCATAATGTAGGGAGGAGACTGGATGATTAAGTGCCCGATTAGAGAAAACAGATTAACCTGGCAAACATAATAAATTTAGCTCATAAGCAGGATGGCTTTATAAAAGATCACAATAACTCTCCTGTATAAAATCATGAACCACTTCCTCCAGTGATAACTCAATTGAAATAGTTGAGGAATATAAAGCAAATGCATATTTAGGGCTTTCTCTTTGAGACATTAAAAGGGTATTAAAAGGCATATCTGATTCAGTTTATAACTCTAAAAAGATATGAAATAAGGAACATGTAAGAAAAATACTAACTCATAAAAAACCAAAGCTACAACCTCTCAAGTGTTCTAGTTTCCACTTTGCCAATAATTATATCTACATTTCGCATGCTTTCAATGTCTTTCTGCAAATCTACATTTCCAAAGATGCCAAAGCCAGACCAGTGGTTTCAAGCCATGCGGAGTCACCCTTAACCTTCATAACAGAACCTGATACCTTTATACAGGCAGCCGCATCTTTGGGTAGTTCTTATCCTGTTGTGACAAAACAGGTAAAATTAGGGAGCTCCTTCAGCCTTTGAATCAGTAGGAAAAAAATCCTTTTAGCTGAGATTCTATTTGCATCAGAGTAAAAATCCAGGTTATGACTCATTGGAAGGAAAGTCTTGTGCAGTGCTCCAAAAAATTCACCGTGCAGTCTGCCAGGCCTTCCTTACTTAGCTGGTTAGTGTTCCTGGTCTCCCTTATTTAGCAATGAGAAAAAGGATACTCTTCATGCCCAGTTTTATTTTTAAACTCACATGGCTGTATTCCTGGAAGCCTCTGCTGGCTACCTGGCCTGAAAGAGAATCAGTTAGGCCCTGCTACTACGCATGCATCCAAGTCACGCTGAATAAGGGACTTGCTCTGCTTGTCTGTCTAGAGTCAGACGGATTTTTAGAGACAGGGAAGGGGAGGTGGAGAGGGGAATGGGCTGCCTGAGAGAATCTTGTCTTTAATGAAGGTCCCATCTGGAACCAGGTAAATTTCCCCCAGGGGGAAACCGGTACCTGGAGGTCTAGAGGCTGGCGCACCCTCCCTTTCTCCTTTTTCGCCTCTTCCCACTCTGAAGTTGACCTTAGGTGGAGGGTCATAACAGGGACGGGTCCAATGGGATCGGGGGTCCATATGCATCCTCACAGCCCTGGGCCATGGATCAGGCTCAGAAGCACATATTGTGTAGGTGTATGTGTGGCTGGCAGCAGGGAGGTTTTTTAAGGTCACTCCTTCCTCCCGCCTTTGCTGAGACAAAGACTGAGATGCTTTCTTGGGGTGAAGGGACCAGGTCTCCACTGCCTTAAAGGAGTTTGTGTAGAGCTAGGCGGGGGCGTGCTTCTAGTGGGTGCAGCATGTATTCTTGATGAGTGTACACGAGCATTTCTGGGCTCAACGAGACGAGTTAACTGCATAACCGCAGCGCTTGGTACCAGGAAGTTGGATGCAGGACTGTGCCAAGGGCTGGGAGGGCTGTGATCGGTGAGCTGCCGCGCGGCTGCTGCTGGGTTTGTGTGGGTGTCCGTGCGTGCGGAGGGCTGGTGTCGTGTCGGCGCTCCTCGGGTGAGGGGGGTGCGGCGTGTGTGCGGGGGTGGGGTGGCGGTGTCCCGGCGGGCGGAGGGGTCCCCGGGCGGCGGCTCCCCGAGCGCGGGAGTCTCGGGCATGCGCGGCAGCCTCGGGGCGCCGGGGCTGTCCTTGGCGGTGGAGGCGGCCGTGCGTGGTAGTTGGCTGCTGTCGCCTTGACCTGCCCCCGGAGCAGATGGACTCGGGCCGCGGCCGTTAGCAGGAGGGCCGCAGCGGAGAGGTCAAGGCGACCTCAGGACCCCCGCAGCTGCCGCCGGTGGGGGAAGACGACCCGGGCTTAAGAGTGAGGTGTGCTGGGGATAGGGAGGGAGGACCTCCAGGCTCCCAGACAACCTGTGTGAACCAACTGTCGGACGGCAGAGCTCCAAGGACCAGGAGAGAGCATCTAATCTAACCCATACTCCTCCTTTTTACAAATGGGGGAACTGAGTTCTCAGGGAGAGACTCCTTCCCCAAGTCACACAGCTATTAAGTGGCAGAGCCGGACTAGAAAACTGTTCCTGCTTACCAAAGCTTTTTAAACCTACCGTCCTCACTGAAGTGAATATGAACAATAATACAAGTAATCATTATTATAAAATATTAGATTTTGGAAATATGGATGGTGATATTACTTTGGCCTTCAGGACTATTCATATGATTTATGTGCTGGAAAAACTGGTCCACCCTGTCCTCCCAGGGCTTGGACTCCTGTTTCCTTCATTCGTTAAACATTTGCTCGGCAGTTTTTTGTGCCAGGCACTCGGCTACAAACTGAAGGTGTAGGGATAATCAAGAACCAGTCCTCCCTTCCCCAGACACCAGTAACGGACGAAGAGTAGAAGTGTGCTGGGCGTTAGATGCAACGTGCAGTGGAAACTCCGAAGGAGAGGTCATTTCTGGCTGACTGGAGGAGGAGCTGGGGGGGAAGGTGGCATCTGACCTGGAGCTTTAAGAGTGCGTCGTTTAGGGGCATTTGGAACTGGGCAGCACGTTTCAGGTGTTACTGGGTGGGCTGACTGGTTTTTCCAGGTTCTTGTTCTGGTATCGCAAAAGAATTTGTGAGCAAACACACAAAGAGGAGGTCAAAACAAGAAGGGATTTATTTGTGAAGTGAAAGTACACTCCAAGAAGGGGAGAGGGCAGGCTGGAGGTGAGCGGCTGCCCCGAGATTTGAGTAAATTTTAGGTTATATAGGTGGTGGAGGGGTATAGGAGGGAATTGAAGAGGGTCTGTCCAGTTGGCTTGCTGCCCCCTCTCTCACGTCCGGAGGGGGAGTTTTATCCCTTCGATAGTCCCTAGAGGATCTGTCGTGGCATCCGTCCCCCACAAGGGGGGTCAAAACAGCAATGTAAATTTATTATGCTCATGTCTGACTCACTACCTGCCTACAACACAGGTAGAAGGTTCAGTGTTGGCAACAAAACTCCAGGTGTGTGTTCGCCTAGAATGTAGGGATGAATAAAGAGGCCAAGATTATAGAGGAGGCAAGATGGAGAGTCAGTTGTGGGGAGCCTTGGAGGGAGTCTAGGCAGAGAATGACAGTGCAGTGGCTGAGGATGGTTCATCTGGCTGGGAGGTGGACCCCTCAGCTGTAGAGTGAGGGTCTTGGCCTGAGGATTCTTGCAGCTCTGAGGGTCTGTGAATTAGCCAGTCTGGGAGCACAGGGCTTCGTGGAGCCCTCTCAGAACAGCAGGACTACAGATGAAAAATGCAGATGGAGTGGGAAAGGGTCCAAATTGAATTGGGAGACTGTTGGACTATTGATGGGCTGTGATGGTGTTTCAGACTTCCAATAGCATTCTTGGGAGTAGTTTGTGAAAAAGTGCTCTTAGTATTCCTGTGACACAAGTGGCCTCATGGACAGGAGCAGCAGTTAATTGGCCTGTCCCTCTCTGTGAGGGAGCACTTATTGCTTTTGATGCATTCCCAGGGACCAACATGGAGCTATAAACAGGACAGCCTGTTTGGGCAGTTGAAATGGGAAATTTCTTACACAGAGATTACAGACTTACCTTCATGCTACTGTTTGTTATAAACTAGTCAAACAATTCTGTGCAGATGAACTGTTAAAATGAAGTATTTTTACCTTAAAGGTGAAGCACAATAGATTGCATTAGAAAACTTTAGAAACATATCTTTAATTGGTTCTGTTATCTCATATTTATGAAACCTATATCACATACGTGTGCCTGAAAGAAATGGGTAGATGTGGCACATGTAAATCAAATTGCCCAAGCAGAAAGTTTATAGCCATTTGCTTAAGGTCAGAATCTGGGCACCTTCTAGATGTTTCTAACCCTACCTTGACATCTCCCCTGCAGGAGAAGAACAGAAATTCCCCAGCAAGGCTCTACTTCCCATTACTCACTAGTTCTGCATATGAATGTTTAAAAACTTCCTGTGTTGTTATATGAAATATATATTCTGTGTGCTTTTGCAGCATCTCTATCTACCGGGTATTTGAAAAGGGGAAAAAGGTGAAATGTTGTTTAGGAGCAATTCCTTTGGTTAATGATGTTAATCGGTGATATAAAGAAGGAACATGGCATCTGGAGTAAGAAGACAGACCTGCAATTGATTTCTATTTCTGTCACTTACTACCCGTGTGGCTTTATGTCTGACACTTAACTCATCTGAGTCTCAGTTTCCTCATCTCTAAAATGGTGGTCATAATAATTAGCTCACAGTTGCTAACCAGTCTAACAACATGTGAGAAGTGCTGCAGAAACGTCAGCAAAAGAGACAGAAGAGTGTGCAGGGGAGGAGCAGTTATGGTTGGAGTTGATCGTGGAGGTAGACCCATCCGAGTCCAGGTGTGGGTTCTGCCCTTTCCAGCTGTGTGACTTTGGATGAGTTCCTGAACTGTTGTGAATGTCAGGTGCCTCATTTTTAAAATGGGGGAAATAATTATGTCTGCTTTATGGTATTGATTTGAGGATTACACCAACACAGTTTTTGGGAAATAGAATGAGAGAGAACTTTAGAGTTGCAGGGACCTTAGAAGGCCCCCTTACCCTAACTTCCTCCACACCATGGAGATCTTATTTTTATCAACCCTGACTGTGTTTACACATTCCCTCTGACAGAGACTGCTGTCTGCACAAGGTGCTCCATTCCATTGTTGGATCGCCTTCAGCGAAAGGAAAATTTTCCTCATATACAGGTAAAAACTGCTTCAGTATAACTTTCACATATTGATCCTCTTCTGTAGTCTGTAGAAAAAATAGCATTGGTCTCTTTTTTTTTAATTAAATTTTTTATTCTGAGGTAATTGTAGATTCACATGCAGTTGTAAGAAATAATACAGAGAGATCCCTTGTACCCTTTACCCGGCTTCCCCCAATGGTAGCATCTTGCAAAACTACAGTACAATATCACAACCAGGAAACAGACAATGACACAGTCACGATGCAGAACACTTCCATCACCACTAGAATGCCTCATGTTGCCCTTTTATAGGGCACCTGGTTCCCTCTCACCACTTCTTTAACCCCTGGAACCACCATTTGTTCTTTATTTGTATAATTTTGTCATTTCAAGAATGTTATATAAATAGAATCATCAAGTATGTAACTTTTTGGTATTGGCTTTTTTCACTCAGCGTAGTTCTCTGGAGATTCATGCAGCTTGTAGCGTGTATCAATAGTTTGTTCCTCTCTTCCATAGTAATGTTTCATGGTATGGCTCTACCACGGTTTAATTATTCACCCATTGAAGGTCATCTGGATTGTTTCCAGTTGTGGGCTGTTGTGAATAAGCTAAGTCAAACAATCATGAGCAGGTTTTTGTGTGAATAGACGTCTTTTTTTTTCAAATTCAGAAGCACTATTTTATTAAATAAAATTTCCTTTAGTAAAGTTACATTTTTATTTACATTTTTAAAATGTATATTTATAAATTAAAAATTATATCTCTTAGGATCCATTTCTTGACTATGCTAGTCAACTTTTTTTAATTAAAGTATAGTGGACATACAATATTATATTAGTTTCAGGTGTACAAGATAGTGATTTGACATTTATGTACATTATAAAACGATCACCGTGATAAGTCTAGTAACATCTGTCACCATACAAAGTTATTACAATATTATTGACTATATTTTCTATGCTACACATTACATCCCTGTGACTTATTTATTTTATAATTGGAAGTTTATACCTCTTAATCCCCTTCACCTATTCGCCCATCCTCTTGCTCTCTCCTCTCTGGCAACCATCAGTTTGTTCTTTGTATCTATGAGTTTGTTTCTGTTTTGTTTTGTTTGTTCATTTGTTTTGTTTTTTAGATTCCACATATAAATGAAATCGTATGATATTCGTCTTTCTCTGTCTGACTTATTTCACTTAGCATAATACCCCCTAGGTCCATCCCTGTTGAAAATGGCAAGATTTTATTCTTTTTTACAGCTGAGTAGTATTCCATGGTATATATATATACCACATCCTCTTTATCCATTCATCTATCAATGGACACTTAGATTGCTTCCATATCTTGGCTGTTGTAAATAATGCTGCAATGAACATAGGGGTGCATATATCTTTTCAAATTAGTGTTTTCGTTTTCTTTGGATAAATACTTGGAAGTGGAATTACTGGACAGTATGGTAGTTCTACTTTTTGAGGAACCTCCATATTGTTTTCTATAGTGGCTGCACCAATTTACATTCCCACCAATAGTGCACGAGGTTCTCTTTTCTCCACATCCTCGCCAACACTTGTTAGTTGTTGTCTTTTTGATAGCAACCATTCTGACAGGTGTGAAGTGATAGCTCATTGTGGTTTTGATGTGCATTTCCCTGATGGTTAGTGATATTGAGCATCTTTTCATGTGTCTGTTGGCCCTCTGTGTGTTTTCTTTGGAAAAATGTCTATTCAGATCCTCTGCCCATTTTTTTATTGGATTGTTTGGTTTTTTTTTTGATACTGAGTTGTATGAGTTCTTTATATATTTTGGATACTAACTCCTTATCAGACATACGGTTTGCAAATGTCTTCTCCCATTCAGTAGGTTGCCTTTTTGTTTTGTTGATGGTTTCCTTTGCTATGCAAAAGCTTTTTAGTTTGATGTAATCCCACTTGTTTATTTTTGCATTTGTTTCCTTTGCCTGAGGAACAGATCCAAAAGATATTTCTCAGACCAATATCAAAGAGCTTACTGCCTATGTTTTCTTCTAGGAGTTTTATGGTTTCAAGCCTCACATTTAAGTCTTTAATCAATTTTGAGTTTATTTTTGTATATTGTGTAAGAAAGTGGTCCAGCTTCATTCTTTTCTTTTTTAAAGCCATTTAAATCTTTTTTTTAAAGAAGATTGACCCTGTGTTAACATCTGTTGCCAATCTTCCTGTTTTTCTTTTTTTCCTCCCCAAAGCCCAGTACATAGTTGTGTATCATAGTTGTAGTGTTGTAGCTCTTATATGTGGGATGCTGCCTCAGCATGTCTTGATGAGCAGTGAGTAGGTCAATGCCCAGGATCTGAACTGACTAACCTCAGGCTGCCGAAGCGAAACGTGCGAATTTAACCTTTATGTCACCAGGCCGGCCCTCCCAGGTTCATTCTTTTGCATGTAGCTGTCCAGTTTTCCCAACATCATTTATTGAAGAGACTTGTCTTTTCCCCATTGTATATTATTGCTTCCTTTGTTGTAGATTAATTGACCATATAAGCGTGGGTTTATTTCTGAGCTCTCTATTCTGTTCCATTGATCTAAGTGTCTGTTTTTGTGCCAGTACCATGCTGTTTCGATTACTGTAGCTTTGTAGTATAGTTTGGAATATGGAAGCATGATACCTCCAGCTTTCTTCTTCTTTCTCCAGATTGCTTTGGCTGAATATAAGTCCTCATTGTCTTCAATCTCTGGGGAAAATGGTTAGGAGTACAATTGCTGGATCATATGGTAGTTACAAGCTAAGTTGTCAGAGAAATTGACAGACTCCTTCTGGCGTGACAGTACCATTTTATATTCTCACCCATAGTGAAAGAGTGATCCAATTACTTTGCATCCTTGCCAATATCTTCTGTTGGTATTTTTTATTTTAGCTGTAGTGGTAGGTGTGTAGTGCTGTCTCATCATGGTTTTAATCTGCATTTCCTAAATGGCTAATGATGTTTGACATGGCTCACTTGACATCTGTGTCTCTTCTTTGATGAAATATGTCTTCATGTCTGTTGCACATGTTCTAATTATATCCTTTGCTTTTTTACTGTGGAGTTTTGAGAAGTCTTTATATGTTCTTAATACTAGTCATTTCTCAGATATGTGTTTTACAAATGTTTTCTCCTGCTCTGTAGATTGTCTTTTTGTCCTTTTAACAGGATATTTTTGTAGTGCAAAAGCTTTTAATTTTTAGGGCATCAATTTGTCAGGTTTTCCTTTTATGGATAGTATTTTTAGTATCAAGTCTAAGAACTCTTTGCCTACCCTAGAGTCTGAGGATTTTCTCATCCATGTTTTTTTCCCCTATGTTTTATAGTTTTACATTTTACATTTATGTTCATGATCCATTTTGAATTATTTTTGGTATAAAGTGTGAGAGTTAGGTTGAGGTTCTTTTTGTGGCAATGAATGTCCAATTGCTCCAACAACACTTGTTGAAAATACTTAGATTAGCATATGACCTTGGGCAAGTCAAACTACCTGCCTGGTTCTGTTTGCTCTCTCTTGAGAGTGAGGGGGTTGTACTGGGACTATGTGGGTGTTATTCAGATTTCCAGGCTCCATTCCTAGATGTTCTGGGGTCCCAGGAAGCCTCAGTAGCAGCAGCAATGAGGAGCAAAAGGGGCTCTCCCGCCCCTCCCTGACTTCATCCAGGGTGAGGCTGCTTTTTGTGTTTTGTATTTTTGTGGGTCCATCTGATACTTGGTTTGATACAGGGCCCCGCTGATAAAAACAAGTTTGGAGAGCAGTGGATTAGATAACATCTGAAGTACCTGTCTTCAGTAAATTGCTGTGATTCTGTTTAGTGTCAGAACTCACTGTTCCTCTTACATATTAGCCTTCAGTCTCCTCTCTTTGTTTCTTGAGAGGTTACTCATAGGAAATGTTTCCCTTGTTATCCTGTCATCTTTCTTTCCAAATATGATAGGCTTCATGAAATCAGTTAGCTTACGCTCCATAAAACAGTTAATGAACTATATGTCAGAATTGAAAATGTGCTAAATATATTACAATTTTGCAGTGGAATCATTCATTCCTCAGAATTGTCATGGCTGAAAGAGAGGATTAGGAACTAAAATCACATATAAGCCATAAACTGATATCTCAGCCTTTACAAACAGCCACTTCTCTCTTACAACTCACCTGGGTGGCTTTTGCCAGTTCACAAAGCACTTGTAACAGCTTTCAGTCAGTTCATGAAAGATATCTTGCAACAACTTTTTGAGAAAAACAAGTCAGCCCTATATTCTTACGCCTGCCCTCAAAATGAGGAAACTGAGACTCAAACAGTTTGAATGACTTGCCCAAAGAGACAGAACTAGCAGGTAACAAGTGGAAGACCTGAGGCAAAAGCTCACATCTTTAACACCTAGTCTAGTTCTTTTCCCCTCTATATTTTATAAGGACTTTGGTGAATATTTTCAAGAAGTTCGCATTTGCTACTATACCTTTTTATCTAAAATGAGATGATAACATAGTAAACTCAAATAGTTGTAGGTTTTTAAAAAATTAAACAGGGTTAATTGAGATAGTGCATTTGGAAAAAAAATGTTAGACGACAAAGTGGTCACTGTTCAAATGATGGTTATTATTCTAAGCTTGGCTAGGTCTCTGAATTCTGGTAGGCAGCTGTGTGTGCTTGCTGATTGCTATTCATGGAAAATGTGTTTGTTTATATCATTGTATATTGTCTATTTTTCCTTTTAGTACCCACGTGGCCAAATTGTGAACTGCTATATTAATAAGATTCGAACATATTTGAGAGGGTGGTTAGACTTAATGTTTCCATAAAGTTGTTTTTATAGTTATTTTTCAACAGATGGATAGCTTACATTTGGCCACATTTCTGTGACAGTGTGATCATTGAAGTTTTCAACAGATGGCATACTCATACTTGGGAAAACACCCTCCCAATATTAGTTGTTGTAAAAAAGACTTTTCAAGTGCCAGGAAAATGGTAGTCTGTATTCCCAAGTCCTTATCCTATGCTATTATAATTATAATTTAGATGATTTGGAACTTCCCCTTTCTGGCACTTGGATTTATTTTGTAAATGAATGTACATAGCTATATTAGAGTGAGAGATGATGAGGAACACTCTGTTGTCAATTAGAGATTCAACGTGGATATAGCATTAAATCCCCTTTTGATTATCAATGAATGTACATAACTTCCTCTTGCTGAGTCATTCTGATTCTATGCCATACACGGAAAACGTAACCTTCCATAAAAATCAACTGTCAGAGACTTATATGTTCTTTCTAAAAACTATTGATTTAAAAGGAAAAAATAACTCACCAAACTTAGAATTTTCAGACATATTTATCATTATGATGAACTCCTCAGCCTTCCAAGTTATCCCACTTCTATGATGACCACCTTGCATTGTTTCTGAAATCAATAAGTGAGGAATCGACAGTAAGTGGGCAGTAGCAGAGTGGTGGAAATCTGTGGGGGTGTGTGTGGTTGTCACAATGACAAAGGACATTTACTGATATTTTGTGGGTGGAGGCCAGAGTGCTCAGACACGCACAGCACAGTGTGGCATAAGGAAGAAATGTCTTGTATCCTGTAGTATGCCTGATATCTTGCTGGACACTCATCCAAGCCTGGACCTTATCTCTGCTTAAATTAAATGACAGAGTAAGTTTTGAAATGCAAAGTGTTTTTTGTACAGAATATTGGTGCCCAGCCATGTCTCTGCTCTTTGATTTTACTATGCTGCTATATGAGAGGCTGAAAGACTTCTCATCTTCTGCTTCTAGATCCTGACTTTTTCATGCTAAGTAAATGCAAGCATGTAGACACTTTATTATATCTTTTTCTGTAGTCGTGGACTGAGCATTTACATAGTAAAACAGATATTACTATAAATTTACTTCCTTTTTTATTCAAAATAGGGCATTATATTAATAGTTTTGAAATTTTATGTATAGGTAAATTATATTACCCATGAATTTCTGGATTTAGAGAGAATTATAAAATGCTTATTATAATTAAGGAGCACTGGAGTTGATCAGGATGAGAAGCATTGTTGTAGAAAATTAAACAACAGCAGACCAGTTCTTTCTCCATTTGTCCACTTGTGTACGTGTAATTCAGAGATGGAATCATTCAAAGTAAAGGACAGTGGTGTGAGTCTAATTCTTTAATAAGGAATGCAAGCCCAATCAATTTTGTACCCCTGTGTGCCTATGGAAGTCTTAAACTGATTTTCTCTTGGCAAATTGTATCAGCTAGATCTTCTGTGTGTCTGTCATTGCAGATGGCGTTTAACGATTGCCTTAGCTTGACCTACCCTGGTAACCCCCAGCCAGGGGACTTGATTGAAGTGTTTCGTCCTGGCTATCAGCACTGGGCGCTGTACTTGGGTGATGGTTACGTTATCAACATAGCACCTCTAGGTAAAGTTTGTTTCCACTGGTTCTTGGGAGCTTTTTAGTTTTTTTGATATAAGATAGAATCATCAACAAAATCATAAAACAAAACAAAATAGAAATAAAACATAGAAAATAGATAAATCTAGCTGATCTAGGTTTAGAAAAGACATTCTAAGACCAAAGTGGCATTGAAGAAATCATAAAGATCAATTAACACTAAAATTTAAAACCTCTGGATTAAAAAAAAAATCACAATTAAAAAGTAAATCAACTGGGGAAAATATTCGCCACAAACATGACAAGATTCAATGTCTTTATATATCACACAGTTATTTCATGTCATTGAATATCTATTTATTGATTACCCAGTATGTGCCAAATGCTATTCTAGTTGCTGGGGATACATAAACCTCTCCCTGCATGGTAGAGCTTACATGCTAGTGGAGAGAGGGAGATCATGGACAAAATGTAGAAAGCAATGTTAGAATAGAGATAAGTGATATGGAAAACATAAACTGGAGAAGCAGGATAGGAAGTGCTGAGGATTTGGGGGTGCTGCAATTTTAAATGAGGTGGTGAGGAAAATCTCATAAGAAAGTAACATTTGAGGAACAACTTGAAAGAGGTGAGGAAACCAGGCAGATGATATTTGGGGAAAGAGTTTTCTCAGGCCAAGGGGACAGCAAACACCCAGATCCCAACAAACAAATGGGTAAAAAATTGTGAACAGTTTGTAGAAGAAGAAAAGCAAGAGCCAATACTCATCTTTCCAAGTTTCAACTCTTGAGTCATCTAGGAATTGTAAAATAAAATGACAAATTTTATGCCTGTCACATTAGTGAAGATTAAAAAATGATAACAATCAGTGTTGATAAGGATATAATGAAATGAACATAAGTATATTGTTGATAGAAATATAAGTTGATAAAATCATTCACGAAAACAATTTAACAATCACATACATGTTAGGAGTCTTAAGGAATTCATATACTCTGACCCTGTAACTATATTTCTGTGAGTCTCTTCTTTGGAAATATTTATAGAGATATAGACTAACATTTCTGTATAAGAGTATCACTTCTATCTCATTTATAATGGTTTAAAAAATAGACAATGGCTTAATGTGCAATAGGGGAATAGTTAAATGAATTATGATTTAGCCACAAAATATTAGGTATCTGTGTTTGACAGAATTCTTTACTTGCAGGTAACAGAAATCAAACTCAGATTAGCAGAAGTAAAAAGGCAAATTCATTGCCTTACTGAGGGAAAATGCAGAAAGGGTAGAGATGGTGCTGTCCTCAGGGATGCTTGGATCTAGGGGTTTGAACACTATCAAGACTCTCTGTCTCACATCTGCTTTTTTTTCTCTCTGTGTCTTCATTCTCTCAGGCTATGTCTCTCTGAGAAGCTAAACTGATGACCATCAGTGTCTTTAGGCTCTCACTCTTAGAGTCTTGTGACCTAACAAAAGAGAGAGCTAATCCGTGCCTGTTGCAGTTAAAAAAATCATGGAGAACAATATTAATTGGTCCAATGGGGGCCCCATGCCCACCACTGGACCATCTCTGTGCTGAGGAGAATGGGAAACTATGATCGGCCTAGACAGAGTGTTTGCCAGAAAGAAAGAGGCAATGGTGGGATGGAGAGAGAGATAGACAAAACCAAAAGCCACAACAACAGCCATTAAAAATCATATTTCTGGACATGTCCAATTACATGAGAGATGATCTTGAAATAATATTTATTTGAAAATAAATATAAATATTTGTTTATAGAAATTCAATATGCAATATGATACCCAGTTTGCAAAGAAATAATACATACATAAATGAATGCCCACACATACATGCATCTATACACGTGTTAATAAAAGACATAATAGAAGTACATCAAAATAATAGTAGTAGTTATTTCTAGGTGGTGGGATAATAGGTGATTTATATTTACATGTTTATGCTGTATTTTTCAGTATTTTCTAAATATTTAGAAATAAGCACAAATCAGTTTATTTATTAGGAAAAAATGTATGCAAATAATAAATAGCCAGTTATTTTTTCCTCGAGATAGCTCTAAAGAGAGGTGTTTATAGGCCTAAGTCTTACTTTCTTGGGAACTTCTGAGAATTTTTAATGAAGTGGTTTTGTCAGCATTTTGAGTATTTGCCTCTTGTTCTAGAATATTGGAAATGGAAATAGCAAATAAAATGACATCTATGATACTGAGCCATTAGTTCCTGCAGAATCTAGTGATTAACACTAAGCAATTCTCTACATTATCACTGCAGTTTTCACATCTGGAAAACAAGATTAAGTTTTGGTGCTGTTTCCTTATTTTCATGTCTTAAGCTCCATAGGAATGTGGTTCAAGCACTGAGCTTTGATCCTGTGGACAGAAACTCAATTCCTGTTTCCGTGCTTAACTACTCCTGTGATAATTTAGAAGCCAGTTCACCTCTCTGAGCTTCAGTTTCCTCATCTGTAGATTGATTTCATCAGACTAGCACAAAAAAAGTTTAGTAGTTCTAACTAGGATATATGTGCTCTTAGAACTTGTAACGTGTAAGAACTTTCAGTGTGTTAACTGGAAATGCTGCTGCAGTGAAAAGAAGCTTGAGAGATAGAAAAGAAAAGGAGTGGAAAAGAAAGTTTGCTTTTAGTTATTACTAAAGGGGAAAGTGTCTAAACACTGGTTATATAGAGACCCTTCCTCTCATGATTTACTTGAACAATGGCCAACCGTAGCAGTCTTGTGCAGATGGAGAAGGACCCGGATCCTGGTGTTAGACTGAACCCTGAGGAATCATCAGTCCAGCCTCAGATACTGACAATGGTAGGCCAGAAACAAAGGTTTCTGGCAGTCTAGGCAAATGCTTATGGATAGAGGCAGGTAAGGTGGAGTGGTGGGGCTTGGGGCATTGTAACAGGTGGGTAGGGTACAGCATGGGGCCACATCTAGCAGACAGTGTCCACTATATTAGGTTCAGGTTCAGGACTTAGTTCCTTAGCCAAAGGAACTGGCAAGACAAAAGCAGGACACCAGCCTAACCCTAGCTGACCCCTCAGAACACTGGGGTACCGTGAAGGTTTCAAATTGGACCCAAATTGAACCTGATTGAAAGAATAAATGTAAAAAGTGGAGGTAGGGGTAAGGAGTGCAATTTAGATGCTAGGACGAGCCTACCTATCATAATGCACTACTGCTACAGCCCAATGATATTAGCTTGGAAGGGTTCAGATGCTGAAAAAGAGCCTATTTTATAGAAAAAGTGGACAATGGTCTTATCTATAGTATGTTAGAAACATATACCAAGATCTCTAATAATCATACTGATTGTTAGAGAACTTATTCCTCAAGAATGGGTAGAGTTTTCTCACCCAATTTGTTCTATGGGGAGACATAAATTTTCAAAAATTTTTCTTATATTCTCACTCATACAGTATTGAGTAAGTGTTATTGATACATTACAGAATGAATACTTGAGGCTGGTAGGATTAAGTGGTTGCTGGTGTGATAATAAGTTAGGAACAGAGCTGGGTTTAGTCATCCAGCACTTCCAAAGTCTTTAGATGGCATTAGAATTCCCTGGGCTGGGTCACTATATCTTGTTAACCAGAATTTTCCTTATAGAGGACTGCGTTCCTGCAGCATTTACAAGTGCCAAGTCTGTATTCAGCAGAAAGGCCCTGGTGAAGATGCAGCTGTTGAAGGATGTTGTGGGAAATGATACATATAGAATAAACAATAAATACGATGAAATATACCCACCTCTCCCTGTGGAAGAAGTCATACAACGGTCAGAGTTTATTATTGGACAGGAGGTGGAGTATGACATATTTGTCAACAACTGTGAGCATTTTGTGACTTTGCTTCGCTATGGAGAAGGACTTTCAGAGCAGGTGAGTTTTCTTTAGGAGATATGTAAGTTTCTTACATTGGGAAAATAATAACTACTGACTATTGTAAGGTTCCCAGGCCTCCAGCAAAATGAAAAGAACAATATGAGAACACTGAAGGACAAAGAAGGAATTGAGTTGTCCAAGGTCATGCAGTAAATTAATGACCAAACTGAGACTAGAACATGGATATCATGAATTTGGGGCTAGAAGGGGCTTGAAGCAGACTCAAGACCGTAGCTTTTTTTTTTTATTAATTGATGTTTTAATAGTTTATAACTGCGAAATTTTGGGTTGTACATTTTTGTTTGTCCATCACCATATATATGTCTTCCTTCACCCCTTGTGCCCACCCGCTATACCCATTGCCCCTGGTAACCACAATACAGTTTTCTGTGTCCATGTGTTAATTTATAGTCCACATGTGAGTGAGATATACAGTGTTTGTCTTTCTCTTTCTGGCTTATTTCACTTAACATAATACCCTCCAGGCCCATCCATGTTGTTGCAAATGGGACAATTTTGTATTTTTTTATGAGTGAGTAGTATTCCATTGTATATATATACCACGTCTTCTTGATCCAGTCATCAGTTGAGGGACACTTAGGTTGCTTCCACTTCTTGGCTATAGTGAATAATGCTGCAATGAACACAGGGGTGCATAAGCCTCTTTGGATTGTTGATTTCAGGTTCGTTGGATAGATTCCCAGTAGTGGGATGGCTGGGTCATAGGGTATTTCTGTTTTTAATTTTTTGAGGAATCTCCATACTGTTTTCCCTAGAGGCTGCACCAGTTTGCATTCCCACCAGCTGTGTATGAGGGTTCCCGTTTCTCCACATCCTCTCCAACATTTGTTGTTTTTTGTCTTGGTGATTATAGCCATTCTAACGGGCATGAGGTGATATCTTAGTGTTGTTTTGATTTGCATTTCCCTGATGATTAGTGATGTTGAACATCATTTCATGTGCCTATTGGCCATCGGTATATCTTCTTTGGAGAAGTAAGACCATAGCTTTTTGTCAGTCTTATTGCCCTTTCATTATGTTCCGTCCATTTTTTTCCCATTACCCCACCATACAGCAATCTCAAATCAGTAACCTCATATACTAAAAAGAATATGCTGAAGAGAATGTTGACTTTTTTGAGTGGAAGTTCATTTGCCAAAAACATAGATGGTAATTCTGAGATTCTTTTCCATTAGCTGACAGAGGCCAACTGATGACATATCTTTGTGAGTTTGTAAATATCTTCCATCTCCTTGAAATTTTTGGCTTTTAAGTAGATCCTTTGATTTACTGAGCTTTTGGATGATTTTTAATGGATTAATTGACGTTATTTTTAAAGTAGCTTGCATTCTTGTCATTTACTACCACTATTTTATAGTATGGCAGATTCCTAACTAAAAGCACACTTGGTTCAATTGCTGTTTTTCTATCGTCCCGCCAATCCAATTCCATCACTGATGTTTTAACCTAAAGATTTACTAAAGTGATATAAGAGAATGAATATATAAAGCCTCCCAGTATCTTGAAATGGTGGATCAGTTATATAATCATCTGTTCTGAGGAATGAGGTTACAATTCTTCTCACGAAAGCTTGGGAAAGTGAGAGACAGAACATAGTGAAAGGAAACATTTGTTTTCATTTGGAAATAATTTCCTTGGAAATTTATTATTAGCAGATATATTAACATAATGAATGTTCTATTCACATGTAACAATAAATTGCTTCTGAGCCAGAACACAGGGGATATACGTACAAATTCCTGCTCACCTTTGCATTGAAAACTAGTGATATAACTAGGAAATAAATTCCGTCCCTCTCCTTTGTTAATGATAAAGTTGTCCACTGCACTCAATCAGCAATTTTTTTTAAATGTGGCTAAATAAAAAGGAATTAGAACCGTCTCCTTGCTGTGACTCTCACTTGCAATTCATCATCTTCTCACCTTTCCTACCCAGAATCAAAACCCGTGAAAAATTAATTATTCTTCGACAACTAGTAGAACTGTTCTCTAGAAGGTTCCGATGACGATGGTGCACAGCCTTAAGAACTCACCTGAGCTTTGAAATTCTGCTGACCTGAGTTAGAACCTTGTCTTCACCACTGATGAGCTGTCTGACATTGGGCACATTGTTTATCAGTTTCCTAATCTATAAACTTCATTGTTTTGAAGATTATAGGAGGTATTTGAAGTCTCTTAGCATAATGTATTACATATTATCCATCCCCCTAAATGGCGTGCCTTAGATGGATATCATTTTTAATTGCTACGTTTTAGGATTTTTATGGATCTTTGTTGGCACTCTTTAATAAAATCTCTGTTGATCTAACAGAAACTACAACACTTGGATTATTTTTATTATTATCAATAATCAGTAGTATTAATACTAATAACAGCTAGTATTAGATGAGTTTTTTGGGTCGCCTTAAGGTTTAGGGGTCCTGAGCTTAGAGCAGTTTTCTTGGGAAGGGCTATGTACTTCCTCTAATTTAAAAACCTGTAAATGCGTAAAAGAGAAAGATGGAAGGATTGTGACCCTATCTTTCTTTTTCTTCATTGTTCTATTAAAAAAAAAACTTTCTTAAAAAATGAATAGACTTTATTTTTTTAGAGCTGTTTTAGGTTTACAGCAGAACTGAGCTAAAAGTATAGAGTTCCCACGTACCCCACCCCGCTCCTCTCAACCACACACACATACATAGCCATCAACATCCCACACCAGTGTGGTATGTTTGTTACAAAAGGTGAACCAACATTGACACATCATTATCAACCAAAGTCAATAGTGAAGGAAACCAGAATATACCACCTCAAAATATGTCACCTTGGCGTAAGGGTTATTTTGAGCTGAAGGCAACTGAGAAGAAGCAGATATAAGAAAGCTTCCTGCTTTTATTCCTCCCCCTATTAGCTTAAAAGAGGACATTGATTTTCAAAGGTGTCTCTCCTCCGCTCTGTACCAGGAAGGACAAAAGTTAATCATTGGGGACAACCTGGGGTTAAGGTAAGACACTTATCAGCCTGGAGAGGGCACCAGAGGAATCTAATTTTACTTACCAGCCTCTGTCTACCCTTAGTTTCCTGTATGTTTACCTTCCCACAATTTCCACCCTTGGAAGTCTAAAACCACTTTCCATTGTCCTGTCATTTCTCTACAAATTAATTGTTCTTTGTTGAAGATGCTATATAAGCCAGAATACGAAGCCACCTCTGAGTTACTCTTCCTTGAGTTTCTCCAACGTATATGTGAGATGTACATTTTAATAAACTTCTGTTTGTTTTTCTCTTGTTAATCTGTCTTTTATTACAGAGCCTCGGCTGAGAATCTAAGATGGGTAAAGGAAAAATTTTTCCTCCCCTGAAATAGTTAACATTAGGGTTCACTCTTTGTGTTGTACATTCGAATAGGTTTTGACAAAGGTATAATGGCATGTATTTATCATCATAGTATAATACAGAATAGTTTCCCTGGCCCAAAAGTCCTTTATGCTTTGCCTATTCAGCCCTCCTTCCTCCTAAACTTCTAGCAACCACTGATCTTTTTTACTGTCTCCATAGTTTTGCCTTTTCCGGAATATCATATGGTTGAAATTATACTAAGCAATATGCATTTAAAATTTCTCCAAGTCTTTTCATAGCTTGATAGCTCATTTCTTTTTATCACTGACTACTATTCCATTGTCTGGATGTACATTCACTTACTGAAGGACATCTTGTTTGCTTCCAAATTTTGGTAATTATGAATAAAGCTGCTAGAAACATTTGTGTGCAGGTTTTTGTGTGGATGTAAGTTTTCGACTCCTTTGGGTAAATACCAAGGAGCGTGATTGCTGGATTGTATGGTAAGAGTATGTTTAGTTTTGTAAGAAACTGCCAAACTGTCTTCCAAAGTGGCTGTACCATTTTGCATTCTCACGAACAGTGAATGAGAGTTCCTGTTGCTCCACATCCTCTTCAGCATTTGATGTTGTCAGCGTTTTGGAATTTAGCCATTCTAATAAGTACATAGTGGCATCTCGTTGTTTTAATTTGCGATTCCTTATAAACATATGATATTGGGCATCTTTTCACATGCTTATTTTCCATCTGCATATCATATTAGGTGATGTGTCTCCTGAGATCTTTTGCCCACTTTTTAATTGGGTTGCTTGCTCATTTTCTTATTGTTGAATTTTAAGAGTTCTTTGCATATTTTGGGTAATAGTCCTTTATCAGATTTGTCTCTTGCAAATGTTTTCTCCCAGTCCGTGGCTTCTCTTTTCTGTATGTTTAAGAATTTCAAAAATCAACATTTCTCACTGTGCTAGTCTAAACAAGTTGTTAAAATGTGCCTGTCTTTGTGGAAGGCGGCAGCGCCCTGGAACAGGCGCGGAGCAGCTGATGCACAGCCCGCCCTGCCTGTGCTTGAGCGCGTGGCGCTGCAGCCTTAGAGTCTCGTGGGGAGAGGCATTTGGATAAACCCTGCAGTCACCTGTGACCCAGCTACACTGATATCTGGACAGAGCTGCTCCAGATTCAGCTAACAGTTTCACTGGGCATATAGATCCTCAGAGTGAGGCCGTTATTATGGCCCACAGACAGGAAACCCCGTAAAGGATGAAGCGTGCAGAGTCGGATTTGGTGATCCTATAATCCTAAGTAAGCCGTGAAGCAAAAGCTCTTGTTCATGCTGGTTCACCAAGAACACCCTGGGATGTTATAATCTTGCAGGTCAGATCCCATTATACATAACTCTAAGGGATTGTCTGCATTACATGGGATTTTGCCATTTAGGATGCAGCTTGAAATAAATACGTGTTTGGGATTTGGAAAACTGCATGCTGGATGTGGCTTTATTATAATTGCATCTGGCCTGTGCGATCTCAGGGGATTTTGGTTTAGGGTCAAGTTGCCTGTCCCCTCCCTAGGCCTCTTAGATTTATGGGATTTCTCTCACATCTTGTGTTTCTAGTGGCTGAAGGATACCGAGGGAGTTGGGTCTACATCTAGCTGGGCCACCCTACCCACGGAATCCTTCCAGTTTCCCAGGGCTATACCCTGCTGCCATTTGACACCTCTGTTTAAAGACACCAATTGCACCTTCCTATTTTTTTGTTGCCTGGCACATTTCCCTGTTTCAGACTTTGTTAGGATCTCAGCATCTGCCTCTAACCATTCTAAGCGGGTTGAGCTTGATTGATATTCCTTGATCCCTGTCTGATTATTGACTCTGCCCCTCTTTGGAATTTTGTCCTGTATCTGGTATCTCCCACCCCTCTTTCCTCCCCCTGGGCTGTGTGGGGAACTCTGTGCTGCAGTGAATTCTGACTCTCTCCTGGAAAATAACTTAGGTAGTGACTAATTAAAAATTATAAATAAAATAAAAAACCAAGCAAACAAAATTAGAATTGTAAACTAAAATAGGATTCATCAGTTGTTTGCCAGTGCCATTCTCCCTGGCAGCTGGGGATGGTGGCAGGGCAGGGAGTTACAATTACAGGCCTTGTCTTTGTAGACCACAGGATGGTGTAATGGAGGGGACACTCCTGTCATTGCGCTTCTTTCCTGGCCATGGCCTTTGCTGCTAGTTCCCAACAGGGAAGCTGCAGTTAGGGAGGTAGTATTGTGTGGCAGTAACATAGGGGTGGCAGGCTCAGCGGTGGAGGCCTGTGGGTTAGACAGAGGGCGTGCTCAGATGTGAGCTGGGTTAGGCTTTCCAGCACTTGGGCTAGTCCCCAGAGTCATTTGGGAAAAATGTTTTGCTTTATTTGACAGCCTGATTCTTAAATCCCAGAGAACAATGGTTGTTTCCAGAATACCTGATGGCTCTGAAGCATCAAAATGTGACCTTTGGGTCATAAAATTGCACTCAAACCCATGCAGATGGAAGGCAATATTAGTTGAGTGCCATGAAAACCATGAATATTCATTAGATCCCTCATCATGATGATGATTAATACCCATAAAGCTATAAATGTCTGAACTCCTTTATGGACAATTGAGCTTGAGAGTGGTTTATTTTGGTTGGTCTACATGAGAAATTAACTTTTGACATGATAGTTAACATCAGTATTGACTTCTCTTGAAGTTTGTTTATCAGAATAGAAATTGTATCTACCAAATAAGAGCTTACAAGTATTTAGCTCAGATCACTTCCCTAAATTATTTTGCTAACAGACATTCTTAAGTCAGGGAAAATGCAGGTGTGCGGGCACAGACACACACACACACACACACACACACAAGATATTCACCCTGGTATAGACCTATCCAAACTAGTGTGTGTTTAGGGGGTAGGGGTTGTGTAGAAGGGAACACATAGTTCAAAACTCCACCTATATCTAAATATCCCAGTGGTATGACCTCGGGCAAATCACTTATAACTTCTCAGATCTTGCAAAACAAGAGTAAAGCTACCTCCCAGGTGTACTATGATGATTATTAGGAATTGTGGCATAATGAGTCTATAAACCACCAAAGGCTATATAAATATGAGAAATTATACTTATGTGTATTTATATCTTTGTCATCATTATAAAAATTAGAACTTTGCTCATCTTCGTATAGAATTTTAACTTTGCATGGAGCTTTACATTTATCCATTGTGCACTCAAACGAGTCTTTGGTTTAGGAAACAAGCTAAAACTTGAGCTTAGGACTCTGAGATGCCTGTAGAATAAGATGTGTTTTTTGTTTATTTCTTGTTTCCTTATAGGCCAACCGAGCAATAAGTACCATTGGGTTTGTGACAGCTGCTGCTGGTGCCTTCTCACTGCTGGGCTTGTTTCCAAAAAGACACAGAACGAACTACTATTAACAGTTTACTGAAGACATATTGGAACTGAAGGACATTGTGAGGGGGGGGGGGAAACCCAACCTGGGATGAATACTTATTTTCAATGCATCCTTATTGTTCCCAATTCCAATGACGGATGGCAGGCTCTTTAATAAATTGCTCACTGATATCATCTCATCACCGATCCAAGGAAGTTTTTCCCCCTACTAGCATAGATTTGCTGTGGCAGCTTGAACAAGAAGCCGTAGCCCTTTGAGTGAGCCAGCAGAGGATCTTAACAAAATCACATCGTAGTTTATCTTCTACTATAAATATTGTTTTCCTTTTCCCTGAGGGTGGCTATTTTGTATTTGTCAGAGGGATGAAGAGCCATTTATATGGGATTTTGAAAAAAGAAAGGTAAGAGCCCCAAATTGTTAGGGTTGACGTCTAAATTCATATTCCTTTTCTGGTCAGAAAAGAAACTGGGAAATTCAGCATTTGGTTAGACAGTTTGAGGAACTTGCATTAACAAACCATCTGAGGGTGTGCACCCATCTCCTTGTTCCTGTGTAGATGGGGGGGTGGGGTAGGAGAAGGGGCTTCGTGCTCCAGGGTTTCAGATCCAGTGATTTCCCTGGAAGCGACTCATTTGTCAGGAGTGTGTGACAAGCAAGAATGAGCTGTTACTTCTACAGTGCTACACTGGTCCCTTTGGATTTTGAAGTATTTCAAGGGTTTGACCTTTTTAACCTTAGCAAGAGATCATTAAATGTAGGTTTAAGGTGCCATATTTAGAAAACAATATCCCATGTTACTTTTTAAGGCTTTTACTATAAGTCAAGGAGTGTTGTGATTTTATGCTTGCATTTTATTGATCATGTGTTGAATGAAACAAACTACTTTTTTTGTGTGTATGTGTGAGGAAGATTAGCCCTGAGCTAACATCTGTTGTCAATCCTCCTCTTTTCGCTAAGGAAGACCCGCCCTGGGCTAACATCCGTGCCCATCTTCCTCTACTTTATGTGGGACACCACCACATCATGGCTTAACAAGTGGTGCATCGGCACAAGCCCAGGATCCGAACCTGCGAACCCTGGGCCGCCGCAGCAGAGTGCACGCACCTAACCGCTATGCCAACCGCCCGGCCCTGAAACAAACTACTTTTTAATACCTTTCCAGTGAAATTCCTGTTGGCAGCAGGTGGGGAAAAGTGGATGCAGGTCTCCATACCCTAGGATTATATCAGACCTTGTAACATTAACCTACAAACTGCACTACCGGCCAACGACATCCTTCTTGTGCCATCATTAAGAGCATGGCATTAAATAAAGAAAAAGTTCAAGTAAATATTGGGGGAAAAGGGTGCAATGAGGAACTAGGAATACTTAGATAAAGTAACTAAGCAGAAAACTCCATAGAAGTCTTGGACCTATTAAACTGATATAGATTTTACTCCAGGGCCAGAAATACTCTACAATCTACTTGCAGGGTTGAGAGTAATGATAATAGAAGGGGTCATGTGCTGCAATCAGGGCCAGTAGAGACCCCGTCTCTCTTCCTTCCTTGCTTCCTGCCTAATCTTTGCTTTTCTTATGGCTCCAACTCTGTCTCCACATAACCCCCCAACTCTCTCTTCCTCCACTGGTCCTCTGGGACGTGTGAATGTCTCCTGCTGGTTACCATGATCCAGAATTATCCCTTCATTTTAATTCTAAATTCAGTTTCCTGTTCCTTTTATGTCCTGCTCTCAAGTAATAGCCAAAAATGAGCAGTTTTCTAGTATTGTCAAATTAGGGTGAGATTGGCAGCAGCTTAATGTGTTACCTTGCTCAAGGTCTGCTTACCTCTCAATAAAGGATGACTGCGGAAGGCAGATCTTAACCCGAAGCAGGAGACTTGGGTGTGGTGGCATTACACCACTGACAGATGGGAGAGAGAGCAGAATTAGGGACAGACCTCCCGAGGATCCTCAAGTCAAACCTATCTAGAGAACTCTGGATGTCTCCACTCTAGAAGACCGTCCTAGCTCTCTGGATAATGTTACAAATTCATTTTTAAATTAAACTCGAGGATTCATTTTTCACATAGGTAGTGTTCAAGCCTCCAGTAGTTTTCACCCTTAGAGGCAAGCTCACTATGTTAGTCATCAGTGCTCCCATAAGGATGGCCCCTCTTGGTCATGGGCAGCTTGGGCCTGGCCGGTTTATTTAGCCTGTAGGTGATCATTTGGTGTGTGGTCATGCTCATTGTGGTTTTATCAGATGTTTTTTTCCAAGACTATTAAACCTTTCTCTGACCATAATTTTAGCAAAGTCACATACAGAGTTCAACTTTATCATGTGCCACTCCTAAAAAGATGTGTGAAATAAAGATCATCACCCATCAGATACCTAATAGGCTGCTGGAAAAACTGGGAGGAAAGAAAGCTGTACATTTATTGAATCAAGATTTTTAAAAAATCTTTTTATGCTAACTAAATGTCATAGTGTATCAATTGAATCTTCTCACTCTAAAGGTCAGATTACTAAATACAATTGTGTCAGCTCAAGAAACCTGAGCTACCATATTTTTTACATTGACATACGTTTCTTAATCATAAGCCAAATATCTTTTCATGTTTTATTGGTAGCCACTAGATTAGACACGTTTTGAAAATTATTGCTCTCCAAGAGCTATGTACCCAAGAAAAGGTTAAGAAGCAAATAAAATGTAAATATAGAGGGTTTGTTTTTATAGAAATTTGCATTTATTCTGCTGGTTTGTGTAACAAAATGTGGAATACTATTTATAGTAACAAATTGCTGAAATGTTGAAAACGTTTTTTCAATCCTAAAGATTTCAGAATTGTAAAGACATTATTGAATCCATACATCACAGTGTTAGGCACATAAATGGTATTCATGGAATGGGACTGGTTATCTAATTGCCTAAGATCCATTAAAGATCTGTTAAGTTAGCAAAATTAGACTTAGTGCTACAAGGAAAGCCTAGTAGGTAATGTAAAATGATGTTCACTAGGAATAACTATCCTTTCAAGGTCACAGTGGGGTTGATCTATAGTAAAAGTAAGAGAGTACAGAATGTATGTGTAAAGGATGTACCCTTTCTTGTGGTCGTTAATGTGCATCTGATAATTGATTTAGAAAATGAAAAGATGAAATGGAACTTAAGATTGTTTAGTAGCCTGATGATTGTCATGCTGTAGATACAAACGTTATGGGTCCCTTCCCTTGCATTGTTTTGTAAGATGAGCAATGCTGAGTTTGGGCCAACTTTTAGAGTTAGAACTTGAGGTTTTCATCTGTCAGTAATAAAGAGTAAATAAAAGTGTCATCTTCTTTAAGTGAAACATACATTTTTAACAGTTCATTTCATTACCTTTCTGATCTACTCTGGACCTTCTATCTCACTGGCCCCAAGCAATATACTTTGGGAGATACCAACCTCGGTGGAGTTTGCTTATATGTAGCTGTGCCCAAGACAAGATTATATGCAATTAACAGAAACTTCCATCATTCTCCACTTCCACACTTACTACAGTTAGAGTTGAATTTTCTGAAGTAAATGTCAATTCTTATATCTCTATTAAAACCATACAAAAGAAGCAAAAAGAGGAATTTTGTAACCTTGGAAAAAGATATGTACATAAATGTTCTTCACAAATGAATGTAAGCTTAAGTAAACTTGGGACAATCTATCAAGAGAAGGTTTTTTTTTCCCCAAGTTCTTTTATTTCTGTAGATGAAAATAAAAATACATTGGTGAAATTTTCAAAGATCAAACTCTTCGATTTTCCTTTTTTCTATTAATGTTCATACTACTAATTTCACTAGGGAGAAAAGTTGTACATTTTAACCAGGATAATGCTATGTAATGTGAAAAAAGTTTACTAGAAAAAAATGATAATCCAGGAAATGTATTTTTTTTCCTCAGTGGTAGAAGATACAGTCAAAATAAGCATATTTAAGGCCCTTCGGTGCAAGGCTCGATACACGGAGAAATGAGCTTTGACTCCTCAGATGGAGACAGAAAAGATAAGAGTAGATTATCATCACCACTCCACAGTGTTTCAGTGTCTGGAGAAAAAGAGGATGGTGTGAAGTGTGTCCGATAACAATTTTGATTACAGTCTGGTCCAAAAATGCTGTTCTGTGGTTTGGCCTCCCACTTCGAGCTTTTCTCTTGGAATCTGTTCAGGGACTTCATAGCCTCGGTTGATGTAGAATCCATTTCTGCCATCCCCTGCATAATCTGTCCTGTTCGTGGGAGGCCAGCCTGAGTCTTCCGCCATCTTTTTTTGCCAGTTCTTATATTGACTTTTAGAATAGAATCCAAATTTTTTCTTGATCAATAGCCAGAGCTTTCGATTTTGAAGGACGGCATCCTGGAAAATCAAGTGGAAAAGACAATCAAACCATCATCCATGGCCCCCACAGCCAAGTGGCTCACCACCGCTCCCTATTCCCCTAGGCCCTCCTCAGGGATGTGCCTATTGCTGCTGCTTCTGGCAACTTCTCCCTACAGTCCCCAGGAAGTCTAGCAGCTCCTGGGGTTCTTTCCCTTGAGAGCGAGAGCGTGCTCGTGTTCACAGAAATCTGCCCAAAGCTTACAGGCTTTCATTTCCACAGATTTCCTAGTTAAATCCTGGCTGGTGATTCACTTGGAATTATTTTACTGCCAGACTGAAATGATAATATATACTCAAAACCAAGAAAAGAAAAAAAAAAATCACTGCTACGTGCCGCATGCCACATAGAAGGTGCCAAATAATGGTTTGTAGAATGAATGGATGAACTCTAGAAATCAAATGGGTTTTGCTTTCCATTTTGGAAGTTCTCTTGTTTTCCATCTTCACAGGCACACACAATTTTTACACATTTATAATAATAGAGTTGGTCACATTTTGCATTCCACTTTTGTTTATCCCAGACTTTCTGTCATATACAATTTGTGGCTATAGTCTTCTTAATAATCATTTTTAATAGTTGTATAACATTTCTCCAAATTGCTGTATAACTATGTATTTAAATAGCATCTCTACTTTTGGACACTTGAGTCAAGTCTAATATTTTACCATTGCAGATAATACCTTGTACATTGTAATGTACAATTAATTTTAGTGTACATTGTCATTGTAATGTATAATTAATCCGTTGTAGATAATACCATTGTAGATGAATACCTTGTAGTATGAATACCTTGTAGGTTTTTTTCTCTCCTTTGGGGTCATTTTTTAAAAAAATATAGTCTCAAAAATGGAATTCCTCAGTTAAAGAGTGATAAATTTATGCTCATTGTATACAATAAGATATTTGTGTAAATATATATATTTTAATTTGGTTGATCCCTTTTCCCGAGGAACTTACAGTACATGAATCTTTTTTTCCAACTGTCCCTTAAAAAAAATAGTACCCGAGCCTTTCACTGAGGAGGTAAAGTCATTTAGTGACACTGAGTAGAAGAGACATGTTCTAAGGGAAAACCTTCCAAGGTAAAAAATGACTAGAATGAACAATGGTTTCCCTACTCTCTTAATTAAGAAAGCCCTCCTGAAGACAGTTCTTCACTCTAAAAGGTCTCATTGAATTTTAGAGTTGGAAGGTCACCCAGTCTAGTCTCTACTAAATTATTGAGAATACTAGAAGAGTACAATACAATGCCTTCATGTGAGGCAAAATTAGACTTAATTTGGTGTTTTGGTTTCTACGCTACAGATACTGAGAGCATTCCTATGCATCCTTCAAAGAATTTTAAATCATTCTCCAAGGAATTTCCCTAAAGAGAATATGTATAGTTTTTACAAATCCTTAGTAACTATCTCTTTTGGGGCAAAAGCAGTGGCTCTAAGAAATGAGCATCTGTTGAGCACGAGACCCTTTATTTGTTTCTCTCTCTAGAAAAGTAATAGGAGCTATATAGAAATTACTTTACCTCTACAAAGAAGGCCACACAGAACTGGGTGAGGGCTGCCACCAAAATCAAAACCCTCCACGATGTCACAGTTGGGATGATCTGTTAAAAAATATACCACCGTTATACTTTGCATAGCTTCCACTTGGAAAAAAACATATTAATTATTTAATTTATACATTTGTAACAACTCTCTGAGCTTGGAGGGTAGGCGTTACTTTCTCCACTTTACAGAAGAGAAGGTCAGTACTTTGACCAGGGACTCAAATCAAATAAATGAATGGCGGAGCCAGAATTCAAAGAACTGACTGCTCCTGGCCTGTGCGCCCTCTAGTGCCTGACGACAGATATGGAGTAAATGTGCCCCAGGTCACAGATGTGAGACTGGACACTTGGGAGCCTGTGTGTCTCTCGTCACTTTCATCTTTTCAGATAGACAGGAAGAGGGTGTAAGATTAAATCATTCATCTAATGATATTATTACTTCTAATTCTCTCAGAGCAAAATCTGCTTGGAATTCATTCTTTCAATAAAATTGACGTATGGGTATATGTAAGGGGACAGAGGTTCAAGTTTATTTTTACTTAAACGAGATGAAAATTTTCTGAAAAAATCTTCCCTGCCCTAGATTAACGGCTTGATGAAAGTTTAAACCATCCAACCCACCTCCTTTTAAGGATTAAAGGGTACATATTGACCACCAAATACATTCATTTAATAGATATGAGAGCCACAACTTCCCATGGCTGTATCCTCAGCAAAAGAATAGTTACGCTGCCCCCTTACTGACCCCAAGGGGTAGAATATGGATGACTGTATAGGGGACAGAGATGCCTCGAGGAGCCTGCACAGTGTCTAAATGCTCACCTTTAATTCTCATCCCTATTCTGAGATGGGTTATTTCAAAGTAACACTTTTGTCATTTTTTCCGCCAAGTGGCAACTGCCTTTCTCAGGGTTGTGAAATACAGCACACGGGGTGCAAGAGTTGTCTGCAGAAGGCTCTAAGATGTGGCAGTGGGTCAGTTCACAGCGGCAAACCTGGCGCTTTCCCTCCCTGATCTCTTCTCCATCACTTGGCCTGGAAGGCACCTGTCACACTGCTTTGGAATTATTTGCTTCTGTGACAGTCTTCCCTCCTAGCTTCTGAGCTACTTGAGAGCAGTGACCACATCTTACTCATCTTTGTAAGCACAATGCCAAGCACACCCTGGAGCTTCATAATGTTTCATAAATGACTGAATGGTCTAGGTCTTCATTTCCTAACTGCTTCTCTCTCCACAGCCTCTCTGCCCTCACAGATAGCTTTCCTGCCATCATCTAATTAATCTGTCTTAAATACCCTGCTGAAAAACCTGCTCAGATATCTTTAACGACTCCTCGTTGCTCTCAGTGTGAAGTTCAAACTTCCCTGGCTGCTTTCATCCACCCATGCCTTCCTCACACTCCACAGCATACTGTCTCCTTCCTAGCCAAGCTTCCAGGTATTCTATGAAACAAGCTTTGCTTTTGATTTTTATGTCTGCTGCCCTAAATTCTTTTGCGTTTCCAAGATAAAAGAGACTCTTTCAGCCTCTCTGCTTGTCCTAGATGGGAATATCCCTACCTCCTCCCTAGCAAAATCTAGCCTATCCTTTTGGACCTAGATCAAGTTGCATGTCCTCAATGAAGCCTTCCATGACAGCCACAGGCCCCAGTGAGAGCTCCTTTTTTCTATGTTTTTCCTATTTCTCTCTAGCTTTACATTGTCTTCAAGCATGGATGGCCTCAAGTGGCCATGCCATCATTTCACATGGGTATGGCTTATCTTCACAACAAAACTATAAATTGGAAGTCCAGAGTCAATCCTTCTCTTTATTTTATTTCTCTCACAATGCTGGGTCCAAGAATGGGTTGAATAATCTCTTAATAAATTTAATTTTAACCCAGTGCACCCTGGATCAAGTAATGTCCTTTGAAATAAAACTCCCTGCAGTCAATGTCTGACAGAAAATGATTGGCCTATGTGTCTACTTTTTCTTAGTTGTCACAAGTACCTTATAAAACATTTCATCTATATGTTTAAAAATATTAAACTTGAAGAACTAACTATTGTATCAATGCATCAGTTTTATTGTATTAGTATAACATAGAAGAACGAAGTATTCAAACATAGCATTTCAAGTGTCAACAGGATAAATGTACCCAACTGATGATACTAATAATACGAAAATAATCAGAGGCTAGCATATGTGAGATCCAGATATGTTATTTGGCCTTCCAGCAAGCAGGAATAGCCTCACAATATTCAGTGGTCGGAGAGAATATGTTAATAACTGATTTGCAAATTACAATTCAAATATGATCGCATTGCACATGTGAGTCACGCCAGACATGCAATGAATACCACTTACCTCCATTCTATGGTATACATTTTGAAAATCAGAAAACAGAAGGAAAATTATGAAGCTCACGTCAGATAGCAGCAGAAGTGAGAATGTATCTAAAGAAACATCAAACATTATTTTCAGATGCTAAAGGGACGTTTCAGGTAATTTGGCACACATTGCAGAATCAAATATCTCTGTTGGGCAAATACTGGACACATCTTCAGATGTTTTGATATCTCCTCATATGTTTTAAAATATGTTCTAATGCTTACAAGACAAAGGTAACGTCTTAAAATCTTCCCTTGAAAGGCTAGGTGTAGAAAGCTGCTAATCAAATGCATTATAGTCAACTCCATAAAGGAACTGCCTAAACTGAGGAGTCCTGCACAGCTGGGACATACTGCAGTGACCAGTTCATGTAAATGGTCACCAGAGAGGCCCTGGTGCTTTGTCACCATGTGTCAAGTGAGTCGTGCATGCACAGATAAACAGTCAATCCTCTTGGCAGCATCCCATTCTTCTTTGTTGCCCAGAGAATAAAGGTCTTTGATTGACATTCAAGGCCTTCCACAATCTGGTGCCAATCAGCCTTTCTAAACTGACCTCTGATTGTTCTTCCTTATGTACCATAGGAAAGTTAAACCACAGACCTGCTGCTTCCACAGAGGCCCAACACCTTCCACCTCCTGTGCCTTTGTTCACACAGCACCCTGTGTACACGATATTCTTCCTGTCCTGGCACATTCCAATTTTTTTTAAAAAGCCCAGTTAAAATGCCACTTTCTCTTTAAAAAGTCCTTAGTCCTCCCCTACAAAGTTTTATTTCATATGGTTTTTTTTTTTTTTTTTGAGTGGGACTAACATCAGATTTACTACCAATAATACAGATGTGGAGATATATATGTATCCCACTTTGTTTAGCTAGTTCCTTTCTTCAAATTTAGATTACTATTACTTTTGTTCTTTGTTTTCATTAAAGGAATAGGCAATGGTTTATATAACTCTCTGCTTTGCCTGATCTTCATGTATGTACCAACTAGACTGTAATCACTTGAAAGTGACTTTGTAGCTGCTTCTCTGGGACTCTGAATTAAAGAGTATGTGAGAAACTAGCATGCACATCTGCTGGCTTCTTTCTTTCCAACCTTCCCAAATTACTTTACTTTGGGAGCTAAACTGCCCAGGATGCACTGTGCCATCATCCCTGTTCTTCTCCCCCAACCCCGTCCACTCCTGTGTCCATCACAGCTTTCAGGCACTTTGTAGATGGCGCCTTATAATGCTTTATGATAGGATTAGCATCTTCAGGCCAAAACAATAGTATTTAATCAAGGTTGCCATGATATAAATGATTCTTACAATCCTTGAAATTTATAAACAAACAAACAAACTAGGTTTTCTCTTATACTCTCTCTACTTCATTTATTCCAGTGTTTATTGTCTACTGGCCCCCAAATCTATATAGGTCGATACCAACCAGAAATCAGAGGCAATTGCCCCTCCAGAAGGCGCTATTTTTGGAAGCCACCAGAGCTGTTTTCACCCTCGCTCACCTACGCCTGCCCTCATGTTCATCCATGGCTCACTTTACATATACAGCTGAATGCTGCACCTCCCAGAAGAGTACCCAGGCTTGCTTGGGAGGGTATGAGGCCGAGAGAAGAAAAGCAGGAGCTGCATCTGCCGAAGTAAAGCAATCTTAGCAGCGTGGTGATAAGAAGACCCCAGGAGACGCCGGGGTGGATTTTTCATTTACTTCGTTGTTTCCAAGTTCCAGGGACCCAGATGCTAGAAAGTAGATGATGCTCCAAATGTCCAGCCTGATGAAGGTCTGGTACTCACTAGTGGCTGGGCTGAGTGCTGTGTACATCACACTGTCTTCAGCCTAATGATCTGAAAAGTAGGCTAGGCTAGTGCACAAATGAGCTGTGTGGAAACAAAATTATAAGGCTCTCTTCTTTAATTCAGCTTTGATTGGAAAACGTAATGAAGAACTAAAGTGTAGGTTGCTCTCCTTGGTTAGTTGTTATTGATGAGGAAACTTGCAAGAATGGGGCTCTGTTTGAACAGGTGATTTTGGAAGACAAGTCCTGGACAAGCCATTACAGATTATTTTCAGATGAGGAAAGGGTTAGTGGATATCCACACTTGTTTCCACAAAAATGTAATCTGTACTTTTTCTATACCTCATCTTCATAAAGTTGAGCTTCTGTCAAAGGCTGTTAAGAAGGGTAAAGACTTTCCTCTTATATCAAAATAAAATTGCTTGTATATTTTAACAGTAGTTCCAAGGGCTTTTGACGTGTAACCTTGAGAGTATGTGATTTATTATAAGATTATATTTGTTAGAATATTTGCCTATAAATCTTTTTTCACTTAAAATTATCAGTTATGTTTGAATAAGGATTTGAGTTTACTCACAAGCTGTAAGTCGCTATGATGTAACTAATCCAGCTCTAATTAACTCAACTTATGTAAAAGGACTTTGTAGCTACTCTTCAAATTAAAGTCCTAGCCAATGTAATATATCCTCCTTGTAAAATATGTTTACAATTAAAAAAAAGGACATAACAGATTAACTTTAAAACATAAAACAAGATGTGACAAGAGCCAAGGGCATTATCAAATGTATCAAAATTCAGAAAAATTATTAAAAAATTCGGGAAGAAGTTTATAGAAAATATAAGTTAAAGGAAGATCTTAGCATGCTCTCAAAACCTTTGACAAAATAGCTATACAAAAAAAAGGGAGGAGATGAGAACAGAGATAATATGAATAACATAATTGCTAAAACTGGTTTAATACAGTAAATATACATTTCTAATTTAGGAATAGGAATGAGGTTTCCTTTCCTGATATCTATGACTTATTTAGAAAATTAGAGTTTCTGCCGTGTGATGTATAAAACTGTAGTAAATTCTACAAAGCAGAAATTTTACAGACTGGATTCTCTGATCATGACAATAAAACCAGAAATTATTAACCAAATTCAAATGAAAACTCCCTCCCAACATACAAATTAAAACAAAATCCTAAAAATCTGTTGAATCAAAAAGGAAATCAAGTCTGTTGGTAAGCTATTAAGAAAAAGAATAGTAGGAGAATGAAAATAAAATCCCTTCCCACTTGAAAATTAAAAATCACTATTCTGAAAACTAGTGAATCAAAGAGAAAATTCAGCCATAGTTGGAGGCATATGAAAATGTAAAGAATGTAACCCAAACTACAATCATTGGTCTTGAATGCTTTTCTAACTTCACAAGAATAGAAGAGAATACATAAATTATAACGTCAATTCAAATGTTAAAAAAAATTATCAGAGAAAATAAAAAGAATGGGAAAAGCAAAAATTCACAAATTAGAAAATAGAAAGCATATAGAATTATTAAATCTGAGAGGTGGTTCTTTAAAAATCACTAAAAATACATTTCTGGTAAAAATAAATGAAAAATAACACATAAAACTAGTTAGGATGAGAAAATATTAAAAGAGTTGTAGAAGGCATTAAAAATTATAAGAAAATACCACCCAAAATACTATGCTAAGGCTTGATAATCTCAAAGAAAAGGAATTATGTAGGCAAAAAAATTATTTTAAAAAACAGTTTTAAAAGAGGATAATCTAAATCAATCCTTTAAAAACTAATTCTTTCAAAAGAAGTATTTGCAACCAGATGATTTCACTGGGTTCATGCAAATTGTTGAGGAATAGACCATTTCTATCTATAAAATATTTTTCAGAGGAAATAAAAAGTCACAGAGTTTTCAAGTCTAATACCCAAACCTAAGGAAACACTATACAAAAAATTTCAGACCAATCTCATATAAAATGTAGATATTAAAAAAGTATAAAATTCAATTCAGGAAAAGTATTATCCACCACAAATAAGTAGGGTTTGCTCAAGAAAATGAAGTTGATTTTTTTTTGTTGTTAGTGCTGACTCCTAGTGACCCTGTGCACAGCAGAGTGGAATCCTGCGGGGTCTTTTTTGCGCCATCATCTCACCTTCCAGTGCTCTATCAGACAGTGCTCTGCTGATATTCACAGGGTTTTCATGGCCAGTTTTTTCAGAAGTGGGTGGCCAGGTCCTACTTCCTAGTCTGTCTAATCCAGAAGCTCCACTGAAACCTGTCCACCACAGGTGACCCTGCTGGTATTTGAAATACCAGTGGCGTAGCTTTCAGCATCACAGCAACACACAGTCACCACGGTATGACACCAACAGACGGGTGGTGTGGTTCCCTGACCAGGACATGAACCTAGGTTGCACCATTGAGAACACTGAATCTTAACCACTAGACCACCAGGGCTGGTGTGAGGATGATTTAATAATAAGTTTATAATATAACACATTCTAGCAATAGGTCAAAGGAGAAGAAAGTATAATCATCTCAGTAGGTGATGGGAAGGCATTTGATGAAATACGTCTCCCATTCTTGATTTTAAAACATACTCTTAATTTACTGGAAATAGAAGTTTGTTTTCTTTACATGATGCAGCCTGCCTTAAACCAATATTCAAAATCAAATTTACAAGTAAAAACTATTGGAAGTATTTTCATTAAGATGTAGAATTGTTTGCTGTTACCATTATTATTTAACATTGTCCTGGAAATTCTGGACTATATACTAAGACAGAAAATATAAATGGGCATTTTAGCTATTGGAAAGGAAAAAAGAATATTATTGCTTGCAGACGTTAATAATTATCTTTCTAGAACACTCAAGAATCAATGATTAAAAAGTTCAGAAAGGGTTCTGGATAGAAAATAAATGTAAACAGCATTAAAGCTTTTACATGTATTAGTGATAACCAGGTAGGAAAACAAAATGGGAAAAAGTCATTCACAATATAAATAAAAATACAAAAAACATAAAATTAGTTTCTTAAATAAATGTGCAGGAGAAAACTACAAATATTTACTAAGAGACATAAAAGAAAGCATGAATAAATCGAGAGTTGTGACTTGTTCTTAAACGTGAAGACTAAATTCTGTAAACAAATAAATTTTTCCCAAAGTATCAAAATCCCAAAGCTGATTTTTTCAAAAGCCTGACAATTTATCCTAGAGTTTATCTGGTAAAATGAATAAGAAAGAAAAGTAAGAAATTTTTGAAAAATGATGAGTTATGAGCAATACTCCAATCTTACTACTTATTAAAACTTATTATAAAACTGTAATTTTTAAAGCATAGTGGTAGATCAAGAATAGGCTGGGGGCTGGCCAGGTCGTGTAGTGGTTAAGTTCACACATTCCATTTCCGTGGCCTGGGGTTTGCGGGTTCGAATCCCGGGCGCGGACCTACACACTGCTCATCAAGCCATTCTGTGGCAGCATCCCACATACAAAATAGAGGAAGATTGGTACAGGTGTTAGCTCAGGGACAATCTTCCTCAAGTGAAAAAAAAGGAAGATTGGCAACAGACGTTAGCTCAGGGCCAATCATCCTCATCAAAAAAAAAAAAAAAAAGAATAGGCTGGCATATCAATGAAATGGAAAAGATGGTCTATAAACTAATTATATATAAATTAATATATAAGTATATAATATATATAATACAAAAACATACAATATAAACTATGTATATAAGAAAACCATTAATATACATGAATATAGGTGTGATAAAAGTGACATTACATTCAGTTGAGGAATAAATGACCAAAAGGAATATTGAATAATAAAATCTGCTGGGAAAACTAGTGACTAGTTGGATAAACTAGTTTGATGTCTACCTCAGACTACATGCCAAAATTAACATTAGATTCAAAAAGCATTAAAAGAAATAAAAGAAACTAAGTGATTACCTGATTTTGTAATAAGAATAAACTCTCTGTGCATAAAGGCAATGGAAAAAAGTCAGAAAGGAATAATTGGCTCATATAAATAAATAAGAAATATAACAGGAAGCCCATAGAAAAAAATGGATAAAAAATGTAAATAGATAATTCAAAGAAGAAGAAATGGCCAATAACATGAAAATAAGTTTACCCTCACTGGGGTCAAAGAAATGCACAGAATGATTACAGTCACTTGACCAATGTTATTAAGTTACTAAGAGGTCAAGTTGTATTTGAATTGGTTAGACATTTTTTATAAAATATCTTGACATCTATGTACGTGCTTAAAATCATTCTTGATGACTCACAATCGGACAGGACTCATGTGACCATTCAATAATGCATGTACTTTTCTGCAAATGTGCAGGTTTCTGCCTAACAGTTCTACCACCTATGAAAAGACCATTCAGGACTCAATTTTAGAGTAATGCAATCGTTTCCTTCTCAGCCAGTCACTTCACCAGTGAGTTGCAATTCTAGGGAGGGTGGGAGAGTGGAAAAAATATTCAAAAAGGAAAATTAAACTTCAAATACTTACAGTTTGTGTAGATAGGTTTTCGAAAGGGCTTTCCCTTAGAGAAGACAAACGCTAGTGTGATAAAGTTGAAGTTGGTGATGGGCCACAGTGTGGTGCTCTCAAAACTTAAAATTGAACCAGGATTCAGAGTTGCATTTCCAGTCCAGTCTCTTTCCAAACTCACATTTGTGGAGAAATTACTTTGGTTGTCCAGAAAGCACTTACTACAAAAGAATCAGCAGTGTTTATGGGACTTTGCATTCTATTTTTATCCAGCTGGTGGAAAAAAAATAGTTAATCACTACCATGGGACCTCAGCTTTCCAACTGTCCCAACCGGTGACTACCAAGACATATTTTGTTCACCTCTTGCAATGACAAAGCAGAAAAAAAATTCAGAGGAAGTCGAGACTGTTCTTCACCCAGCATTGCATTTAGAACAAGTGACATGTCTTGAAAGGGGCTGTATGACAAGTTTCTGTGGAATTCCTTTCAATTCAAAGTAAATGAACTGTGTGTGTATGTGTGGTGTTTTCTCTCTCGTGGACTAATGTAAGCCCCCTGAATTGAGTCCTGAGTTTGAATCTGCCTACTCTAAACCACTCTCCTCACACAATCAAAGGCTCTTCCTGAGGATCTGAACATGACACTCTCCTGCTTATGAGTGGCTATGGCTCTGTTTTGCTAATAAATTACGTTCAAACTTCTCAGGCAGGCCCAGGAGACCTTCACACTCTGGTCTCAATCTCCCTTTCCCGCCTTATCTTTTGCCCAGTCCTCCCAGGCTACTTAAATTCCAGACATATAGGAATATTCCCTGTTCTCCAAATATCACAATTTGCACACTTCTGGGGTCAGACATGCTGTTCCCTCTAACTTCACTGCATCTGAAACATCTTTACGTTTGCTGGCAAGTGTAACTAGTGTCCCCCTTTCCTCCCCCAGAGCTGCATTTAGCTTATTGTTCTGTAATTATTCATTCATATATTTTTATTTTCCACTCCTGGGATGAGAGTTCCTTGAATGTGGGATTTTTCTTTTGGTTTTATTTTTCTGTTTTACTTAAATTTATAACAAATCCTTAGCACCTAGCCGAGCAATGCCACATAATATTTTCTTAGAAAAATATTTATTTCAGATACGGGCTTTCCAAGTCCTGATTGATCTGTTTGCAATATTCATTTTTTTCAATAATCAAACGCACAAATCAGCTTTCTCATTCAGCTTCAAACTTTTTACTACTATTATAACGTTTCTAGATGAAATGCATTTCTCAATTGTGAACTCAAATGCAAGACTTAAGTCTTGTTATCCTTGGCTCCCTGGCGTCCCAAAATGTGCTTTGCATATAGTAGATGTTCAATTAATGTTTGCTGAATATATTAATGAAAAAATCAGTAACTGTTCTTGCACAAAGGGGACAGATAGACTAGAAGGCTTGAATTATAGAGTTTAACACCAAAATGTATCTAATCCAATATACTTACATTGCAGATGAGAAATTCTAGGGCTAGTATGGCTTGGCTGGTTAGTGATGGAGGCTGCCCATCCATCCTTACTCTTTTGGCCACACCATGTTGTCATCTAGATTCAATTAGAACTTTACTTCTCTGAATATATGCACTCCAATTTGGGGAAAAATCTGCTTTTGAAACAAAAATGAATTCTATATTCCAAGTAATAACTTGAATTGCTGAATTTTGGGTCTAAGTGACATCTTAGACATCATTTGGTAGTTTTCGATCTGTCTTTCACTGATTCCTGGGGTTCTGATGCCTTCAGGATCACAGTGGAGTGAGGGGGAGTTTGTACAAGCCCAACTTCAAAAAGAGCGGCTCTTTTCCGGCCTTTCCTTGTGGAGGTCAGGCAAGCTTTGTCAGAAAAGATAAAGTTTGAACATTTATAGTACAGTTCCCCTCATCTTACCCTTAATTTATAGTCAAAGAAATCAAAGCCTGGGGAGGTGAAGAGACTTGCTCTGATTCTACTGTTCAATTCAATCAGAAAAATGATACCATCAACTAACATTTTAATTTTAACATTCATTTGAAAAATCCAAACTAATTTAAGCAAATTTCTTTTGTACATCAGGGGCCAGCTAACTACAGCCCATAGGCCAAATCTGACTCACCCCTGTTTTTGTAAACAAAGTTTTATTGGAATACAGTCACACCCACTTGTTTACATATTGTCGATGGCTGCTTTTTCATAACAATGGTAGAGTTGAGTAGTTGCAACAGAGACCATCCAGCTCACAACACCTAAAATATTTACTACCTGGTCCTCTACAAGAAATGTTTGCTGACCCCTGCTCTATAGGATATCCCAACCATCAGGAATGAATACATTCATTCAGTCAAATAGCTGTTAGATCTATACATCAACAACCAGTGTGAAGATCTCTTCCCACCCACTTCACATGGCTCACCTCAGGACTCCACCCATTAACTGTGTTCTGTGTTCTACCCCATCATCAGTGTTTCGCGGTGTGGAGACACAACTTTTGTTAATTAAAATTTGAGGGTATATATTCAAACCAAGTTGCACAATGTCATTGGGTTCTAACTGTATCATCTTCAGAAAGGAAAACTAAGCACTGAACTTTACCTGTATCTGTAGACTTCACAATACCAGGGCTGCTGCTTCACACAGAGAAATGCACAGAGCTGCACTATGCAGGTGAAACAGACATTCAGAAAGACTGAGAGCAGCAGAGGAGGAGAGAGGAGATGTCCTGCTGGGCGGTATGGAGCCAGTTTTGGGTAGGCATGAGTTGAACTCACTGAAAGATAAATGCATTTTTCCCATTACAATTTCATTGTTGAGAATAAAAGATTGAGATCTTTATTATCTTAAGTCTTGCCTGAGGGTTCAGACTCAGCAAACATGAACTGAGGGTTTACATCCAGATAAGCTCATTGCCTAGCTACATATCCAACACTACCAGCCTTTGCCTCTTCCATGCTTTAGTTTCACCTTCAGAAATGAAAAGTAATGGGCTGGCCCGTGGCTTAGCGGTTAAGTGCGCGCGCTCTGCTACTGGCGGCCCGGGTTCGGATCCCAGGCGCGCACTGAGGCACCGCTTTTCTGGCCATGCTGAGGCCGCGTCCCACATACAGCAACTAGAAGGAAGTGCAACTGTGACATACAACTATCTTGTGGGGCTTTGGGGAACAAAAAAAAAAGGAAGAGGATTGGCAATAGATGTTAGCTCAGAGCCGGTCTTTCTCAGCAAAAAGAGGAGGATTAGCATGGATGTTAGCTCAGGGCTGATCTTCCTCACAAAAAAAAAAAAAAAAGAAATGAAAAGTAATGGTTAAAAGTTCTATAGTTAAAATATTTATGATATTGCATGATACAAATATTTTCCCCACAACCAGACTGACCAGGAATGATGTGTAAAAGAGGAAGATGGCCTTCCATATGGATAAGCAGTATTATTTATCTCAGTGACAATGAGAAAGTAGAGAGTTAAGATGAGGAGAGTAAGGAGGCATCTAGTAGACTAATCTTCATGTGCTGGGAAATTTTTTTTAAAAAAAGTTAACTCTATTATTCATTCAGCCAGCCTTCTCTGAGCAGTTTAGCACACCAGGACAGATGCTAGACGTGTGCTCTGTTCCCTCCTGGATAAGTGTGTAAATGGACAACTGCTAGAGCATTAGACTTGGTTAGGAAAAAGAATTCATAAAAAAATCTTGCTTCCAGATGAGAGTGTTAGAATATATATTTTTGATCCTAGGATTTATTATTTTTTTTAATTTAAAGGGTTGGAGTGAGCAAAGATTAAACAGGACAACAACAAACAAATGACTACATTCTTCTTAGAAGCCATATATTCTAACAGGCTGATGAAAATGGAATGTACTTGACTTCTTAGGGCAGAGCAGGAAAGAAGCATGGGAAGGTCAGGAATTAGATACACCACATTTACAGGTTTACATCATAGTCATGTTTCAGTTCTTGTCTTCATATCTGTCACCTCTTCTCTTTTCACAGCTTATCACTGGTTTCTTTGATATAAGGAAGAAAGTAGGGTGTGTATGCTTAGGTTTGTGTTCATGCATGTAGGGGCAGGGTGGTGGGGAGTGGGTGTCCAGTTTGGGGTAATAAAACTCCAAAGTACATCTTCAGTTTGCTGAGTGTGTGTTCTGGGGTAATCATGTAAACTCTTTTGTCCTTCATTTTCTCATGTATAAAATGAATGTGTTGGAATGTCTAAATGGTCTCCAAAGACTCTTCCAACTCATTTATTCTAAAGCTCTATGACTATCTAAGACTTTACCTTTACCAATTTCATCAAGATTTCCCCAGAAGGGTCTTGGTCAAGAGGCTGTGGGGTATGCAGAGACGAGAAGGACATCTTATCTGCTGTCAAAGAGCTTGAAGTCCAATGGAAGACACAGACAGTGTGTGTAATAAAGAATTTGGCTGGCCCTTGTCCCAGGTTCCTGGGAGGTTACCTCTAAACCCCTGGAACAAAGAATTTGGCTGGCTTTTCTCTTTTTTTTTTTTGCTGAGGAAGATTCACCCTGAGCTAACATCTGTGCCAGTCTTCCTCTATTTTGTATGTGAATTGCCTCCACAACACAGCCACCGACAAGTGGTGTAGGTCCACACCCCGGAACCGAACCTGGACCACTGAAGCAGAGCGCACCGAACTTAACCACTAGGCCAGAGGGCCGGCCACTAGAATTTGGCTGGCTTTTATCCCCAGCTTCTGGGATGTATTCTCTAAATCCTTGATTTTTCCTGAGTTGATAGAGTGTCTTCATTATTTGTGATGGGCTCTGATAGTTTAAAGTAACAAGATGACTGATGCTGGGCCTGAAGAAAGTTTGTGCTAAAGAGATGGCTCAGGATGGGAGGCTGGTCATGCCAAAAAGACCAACTGTGTGATTAGAGGGTTGAGGCTTTGAGCCACGTGATATCAGCCTGACCTTCATGGAGAGGAGGAGAGCTAGAGATTGAGTTCAACCTCATGGATGATGATTCAGTCAATCATGCCGACATAATGAAACCCCAATAAAAACTCCAGACACCAAAGCTCAGTTGAGCTTCCCTGTTTGGCAATACTCTTCATATTGTCACACACTGATGTACCAGGAGAGTGACGCAAACTGCCTCCCCAGGGAGAGGACAATGGAAATGTTATGTTTGGGACTCTCCCAGACCTTGCCTTATGTGTCTCTCCCTTTGGCCGGTTCTGATTTGTATCTTTTTATTATAATAAAATTATAACCATATTATAGCACTTCCCTGAGTTCTGTGAGTTGTTGCTATGAATTACTGAACTTGAGGGGTTATTGAGAACCTCCTTTTTCTGACTTCTAGGCAGAAGTGTGGGTGGCATGGAGACCCCTAACTTACAGCTGGTGTCTGAAGTGAGGGCAGTCTTGTGGGGGCTGTGCCCTTAACCTGTGAAGTTTGGTCTAACTCTGGGTAGTTGGTGTGAGAAGTCATTGCATGGGCACACAAGGAAGGGGCACACAATGTGGGCTGTGGTCAATGTCGATGATGAGTGCAAGTAGACTGTGCTCTGGGCTGCAGAAGGCAGACGCTGCAGTGCTTGGAGTTCTCTCTGACCTCCAATAACCAAGGTAGAATGTGGCCATAGAGTCCATAAAGAGGCTATGGGTAGTGGAGAGAGGTGTAATTGCATCTCTGTGCATCTGGCTTCCACCTCTTTGGTCTTCTCTTTCTCAGATGCTTATTGAATTTCTGGCATGTCCTTTCTTTTCTTTTTTTTTGGTGAGGAAGATCATCCCTGAGCTAACATCTGTGCCCATCTTCCTCTATTTTGTATACGGGACGCTGCCACAGCATGGCTTGATGAGCGGTGCATAGGTCCATGCCTGGGATCTGAACCTGAGAACCCCAGGCTGCCAAAGCAGAGCACACAAAGTTAACCACTATACCACTGGGCCAGCCCCTGGCTTTTCTTTTACACAGGAACAGTGGTAGATTGAATTATTGGCCTCATTTTGGAAGAGTGTACTTTACTTCCCCTTAATTTTGGTTTTACTGTGTGATTTTCTCTGGCCAAAGAGATGTTAGAAGTTTGCAGACTGCTTGTATGGCTTGGCTTGCTCTCTGGCTCTGCCCTCTGTGATCTGCAATGAGAGAACATGCCCAGGTCTATCCATTCATCCTGGCACCAGAATGAAAAATGTGGAGCAGACCTGAATCCAACCCATAGCCTGGACCAAGTCCCACTGATCTACATCCTAAAGCAGAGTGGCTCAGCTAAGCCCACCTAGATCATCTGAATGACAGTCAACATAAGAGCAATGAGTGGGTGTTGTAAGCCACTGAGTTTTGGGGGGTGGTTTGCTATGCAGCATTATTGTGGCAATAGCTGATTGATACAGAATTCTTAGATAAAGAGTATTTTAAATTTTTCTGTATTAGAAATTCCTAATACTTTCTGACAGGGACTTTGTATACCTGGCTATAAATAAAAATAAAAATAATGACTAGCATTTTAGGGCCCCTCCTAGGTTCCAGAGGCTATGCTAAGTGTTTAATAAACATAATCTTTATTTCTTTAAAAAGTAGTGCAAAATAGGTATCTTATCTCCTATTTTACAGGTGAAGAAACTGAGGTTCAGAGAAGTAAGAGTTCCTTGTTTGAAGACCCACAGTTAGTGATTTTCAAGGTGGTGATATAAACTCAAGCCTGTCTGATTGCAAAGCTCCATGTTCTCTGCTCTACAGAGTATTGCAGGGGAATGGATCCCATGAATTTAAAAGGATAAAAGGATGAGCCCTGAAATACAAGCTTGGATAGCAGTATCGTCTGCCAGCAGTCAGAATTTTTCTGAATTGTCCAGGTTTCCTTAAAACAATAATGATATATGCTATCAGATTGCGTGCAGAGGGATGAAAACCTGTGAAGTGGTATATTTTATTCTGAATTAATCTTTCCCTCTTCTGATTTGCCACAGCACATTGCTCATATTGCTGCTATAGTGAGGCTGCCTTGCATTAAATCTAGTTGTTTACACACGCACTCAGCAGACTGGGAGCTCTCTGAGGGAAGGCATCCTCTCTCTTTCCACTTCCTGTCCTTCACTGAACCTCGCACAGGGTCTGCTGTACGGGAGGACTTAACCGTTTCAAATTCTATTCTCAAAGTACTGTTTTTTAATTGTTCGGCATCATTCGGATAGAATGTAGGTGTGCTTCTCCTAAATAGTCGGCCTACTTATATTATGGACATTTCAAGTCATGTAAATCAAATTTCAGGAGGCTCATGAACCTACCTAAACTACATGCAAAACTTTGAGTGTGCATCCTGAGATTTTTAAGGTGAAAAGATCTATATCATCCATCAGATTCTCCAAGGGGACTAAGACCCAGAAAAGGTTAGGAGTCATTGAAGTACTGATGGAATTTATGTAGGAGATGGGTTTATATAATGGATGAATTCTCTCCTGAAGCCTCCTTCTCTGGGCACTGCCTCCTCCCATATCTTGGGGTGGTTGTCTGAATTACATGGAGCTAAATTACGTGACTCCACATTCATTCACAGAAATGATTGGCTTAGAGGTGGGCATCTTACTCAAGTTAGGTCAATAAATTTTCTCTTCAAAAGATTTGCAAGTGAGACACTGAGAGGCTGAGCTAATTAGAAGTTATGGAGAGTCAATAGCAGAGTAACCATTTAGGGCCAAGTGCAAGGTGAATGAGTAGAAATCAGATGAAAACAGTAAGAACAGAAAGAAGAAGAAAGAGACAAGACGGTCTCTTGGAAATAAAGAAAGCAGTCTCTATTTTTCACCCTTTAATGTTCTGGCCCTCCTCAGGCCCAGGTGCTTTTGGGTTTCTATTCTCAGATTTTTTTTTTTTATAATTATATTCTTAAGCATCCCCTTACCTTTATTTTCTTAATCTAATTTGAGTGGGTCTTACTGAAGACCACAGAGATGTAGCTAGAACAAATTCCTTTCAAGATGGCTTCTATACCTATTAGGGTCAAATTGGACTTCAAGAAGTGCATTTTCTTAATTGACTTCCCTGACTTCATCTTACTTTTCTCCTTGATTTTCCCTTTAATATATTGTATCTTGTCTTATTAGCTGTCTTTGTATGTTGCCTTGAAATCTTGTGGGAACAAGGCAGGTTGTGTATAGATAAACAAGTAAACAAATAAATCAAATACGTGGTGGTATTGTCTTTGTCTCATACTAATTCAGGCTTAAGGTCAAAAGCCCTAACCTGGGAACCTGGAAATCTAGGTGCCTTGGTGAGAGTGATTTTACATGGATCGTCCAATCATCAATGACTCCAAACGTGTGCAGATGAATGTCCACAGTCCTCAGCCTGGTAGCCAAGACTCTGTGATCTGACCCAATTCACCTTGTCAAATTTTATCTCCTGCTGTGTCTTTTCACATACCCTACAGTGTGGTCAAATTGAAAAACTCACGCCCCGTATTTATCGGCTCTCTCTGCTCATGCTGCTTCCTTCTACTTGAAATGCTCTTCTTTTAGTAAAAGATCTTTGAAATCTATCCATCCCTCCTATTTTGGTGCAAATGCTACCTCTCCGCAATCTCTCTCTCTTTTCTCCATTGCCATCTCCTCTCTCACCCCAGATTAGCAGAAGCAATATCTCCTTTCTCTGAATTCCCAAAGCATCTGTTGTTTTCTGGCACTCACTACTTTCGACCTGCATTTCATTCATTCATGTATGTGAACCTCCCACTAAACTCTAAAATTCAGCAATCAGCCTTTTTATGCCCCAGGCACCTGTGTGCCTAACATGTAGTAGGAGATGAACATATCTATGGGGATGTTGAATGGGGTTTTTCCTTTTGTCTGGGGAATTTTGCTGAGCCTCATATTTGAGGCAATGAATGGTAAGTGCCAATTTAATGTAAAGAGAGATGATTACCATATCTCCATTGTACCTACTCAGAGGGATCCACTCCAGTCCTTCAACTGTAAGCGTGTCCCTCCTTCCCCCAATTACCTATGTACTGACTATATAAGAGAAAACTACAGAGATTATCAAGAGATTCTTTAAAGAGATTGTTAGGAGCAGCAGGAACTGTGGTTTCCTTCCCAGCATCACCCCAACCCAAATGAGGGGACGTCCTAAGAGCCACTTTAGGAGAGACCTGAAGTGGTTTTGAGGGGGAAGATTGGCTTGCTCATTCTCCTGTTGCAATATCAGAAGGAAGAGAGAGGGGGCAGCAGTGAGAGAAAGCTACTACCTGGTAAGTCAGGTAGAAGCTATGGAAATTAGCCAGGCTAGAGCTGTCTTGGAAGGAATCTGCCCACTGGGGCAGTCTGCTGGGGCTAGAGTGCCCAGCAATAGAAATGGGCTTTGTGGTATGTACCACTAGAAGGCAGTTGCTGAAAAGAATCCTGAGGAGTCAGAGGGAGAGAGCACCACCCATGTCAGGGAGCAGTCTGGTCCAGACTAATCTACAGAGAATCTCTGAAGAACCTAAGAACTCACCAGTGAGCCCCATACAAATTGCCTGAATTTAGATGCCTGCCATGTTAGAAGGCACTTGACAGGAGAGAACTACAACAGCTCCACCTAAATAAAAAGTCCTTTGCTCTTGTTGATCTCATATTCCCTGAAGCAGGGTTGGAGAGTAGGTCACACAAGGAAAGTAGAGACCATGGCCTTCTCTCCCACTGCTTGCTCCAAGCCATAGGTCAGGCTTGATGTAGGGGAAGAAAAGCTCTGAATTGGATGAAAACATGAAATGTTAATTTACAATACTTGGACTTTTCATTTCTAATGATGAGATCATTTTAATGTCTGGAATTGACCAGGAAATGATCTTCCTGTGGGATGATTGAGCTTGCAGGGATGGGAATGAATAGTGTTTGAAGGCAGAGGGTATAAAACAAACAAAAATAGCTGTTTATGACTCTATTTCTCATCTTCACCAAACTACCCTTAGTCCAGCCCATTTACTGAACAAGCTACACGTTTTTCGAATAATAAATGGAAAAAGTATTGTCATTCTGATAGAATATTATGCTTCTGATCTATCCCTTCTGAGACTGTTTTCTCCCACTGGTAACAATGGTTCTGCCTTGAGTTATCCCAACTCTCCCACCTAGCCCACTCTGAGATAAGAGGCTAAGTTTCATCGGGTGATCAACTGGCATGAAGGTCAACAGGCTATTGCCATGGGAAAGAGTGAAGTATACCCACCACCATGCAAGTCAATTTCATAACCAATATCATGGAATTAAGTGTGTAAAAGCTCAAAATAACTTGCTCAAAGTCATCTAGCAATTCTGAGGCAAGGTTACCACTCATGTTTTTGGATTTCTAATCAAACAGTCTACTTGTACGCAGTCTAATTCTTTTCAAGGGCTCATTGAGTTAGCCAGTCATCTTAAAAGAAGAAAAAGAGGATAAATACAGCGTGACATTATTCATCTTGCAATGAGCACTTACAATGTGTGGTGCGCTGTGCTGTACACTTTACATGCATTATTTTATCTGATCCTCACAACCCTTTGAGGACATTTCATATGAGGAAATTATTTTTTTCATAATAATTTGCCAAAGTTTGCAGACATAGGGCCTGATGGAGGATGGCCACCGCCTTCACCTTCCTACTACTGCCTGTTAGCTTTGCTCTTGGAACTTCCTGCTGCCCTTTTTTCTTTTTAGCATCATTGATCATGTTTACAAGTAAATCACACAAATTGCTTAAAAATATCCAACATTGCAGAAGCAATATCATTGATTCAAAATTATCCAGTCATATGAATATTAATAACATGTAGAAAAATATTTCAATGGGCCGTGAATAGACATTTCAACCCTAAGAATCAAAATTGGTATTACTTACATCTCTGACACTGGTAAATTTTGTCATTGGGTTGATATAATAAATGACTTCAATATCAGTTTCAGGTTTTACAATGCTACGTGAAATTCTCAAGGTTATTAATATCCTGCACTGCCTGATGTTTTATCTGTTATTTTTCATAACACTCTCATTGTTGAACAAGGAAAAAGAGATGACAATGTCATTCTTTTTCTTTGCTCTCTGTTGAGATCGTCACCTTTCTCACTTATTAAGAGTCAGTATGAAGCCCCGAGTTCTTTGATAGGAAATACTTTATCAGTGTCATCTCAAAGGAAGGAAATGAGTAATAACTGCTGTAAGACACACCTTGCTTTTGAGAGAATTCCACTAGAAGAAAATGCTAGCATTTGTTCTCACACATCAAAGCCCTAGCAAAAACCTGGCTTCACATCAATGTGAAGCATAGCTGAATAATGGAAAGTGACCTTTGGGTTTTAAAGATTTCTCTTTCCAGATTTCTTGTACATTTTTCTAAGTACAACACACAAACCTACAAAGAACTCAGAATACATTGACAATTTTATGAGGTTAAGACCTATTTGCTATCAAGATATTTTAATGCCAAGTCTGAGAACTTCAAACCTCAAGTTACTCTCAAATCTCTTTAAAAATATTCATAGGTAATGAGGTTTTAGTAGTTAAGGTGCGCCTTTCTCAGAGGCTCTCGTTTCTATGAGCATTTCTAGAATTTCATGGATAAATACAATAACAATCTACTTTGCTAAAGAGCTTACTTGTTAAAGAGATCATCAAGGTAATGGCTATATCTTGTATGAGATACTGGTAATTCCCAAAGAGTTGTAGTTGCTGAAAAAGAAAGAAAAGTAAATATGTGTTGATTCTGCCATTATAGCATTTTTATCATCACCAATACTCTTTTCAAAAATAGTCAGGAAGCAACTGGTTTTTTTTTTTCTTTCTTCTGTTTAGGAAAAAAATAACTTACCTAAGATCTTTAGCATCTCACTGGGTAGAATGAAACCAGATCACTATTTTCCCCAGCTTAACTTAATTCCATATTAGCAACAAGAGTTATTCAGTTGAGAAACACCCTTCCATTGGCCACAGTAATTCTGGCAGCTGTAGTCTCAGCGTAGACAGTTGAATTTTTGACATAAGATAGTAAAGCCTGAAAGTTCCACTGGGAACTTCAAACTTAAAATTTGAAGTGAAGGCCTCAAATCATTCAGCAGATGTTTCTCTCCATCCTTATCCTTGGATGGAGTTCACAACATAGTTCTCTTGGAGTCCATTCACTTTCACAAACTGAACAAGTGCCCCTATCCCAAGTAAGTGCATGGCAGACTTCAGTCTGGTATGCCTGCCTTCCTAAGGTTTGTGTAGACATAGAACTTCTTTTAAGTTCACATTTATGGAGTTGAAATATTTAAATAGAAAAGGCAACTCGTTACTCTCCAGAAACTTGCTATGGCAGTACCTTATGCAGCCAGGACTGAGCATTAAATTATAATCTGGATCTGAGCACATTACAGGCGAGATTTATGCAAATGAAAAATATTTCTGGTCTCTTAGAGAGTGAACCCAAGGCCCAGAATTTTCCAGGTGAATGTCCTTGGGGTACAGTCTGATTTATATCTAGACTATCAGAGTGAATGGCCTCAGAGTGGACTATGGTTCCAACTCTATCCATGAAGACTTTAGAACTGAAATTCTGCTTTCATATTTTTGAGAGGCTACAAATGGTTCCTAGGTGTCCCTCTCCTCCTCTAATTCTTTCTCTGTCTCTTTTACCTTTCCTTTTCATATCCTTTCCCCCTTATAATTGTAAAATTATAGACACGCAGGGTGAGATGGGACAGGGAGAAACGTTCAAAGGCAGCTTTAGTTCTCATTCTAGGAGCAGCTTTCATAGAACTGTGGAGGGCTTTGGAAATCAGCCAGTCTGACTTCCCAGAGGAAGATAAAGGCTTGGCCAAGAGCAAGACCTAATTTGTTCTTAGTGACAGAGGCAGGACTTGAATCCAGGCTTCCTGACTCCTAATCCAGTTCCTGTTTCTGTCTACCCGGCTGCCCCTTAGACCTCTGTGTGATCCTTGCAAGCAACAGCCCACCAGATGCTGCAGTCTTGTGGTCCTCTCATTCACCTCTCAAATGTCTCAGGAAAGCAGTAGAATAACTCCCTCTCTGACGTGTTCCCTGAGCCTGTTGGATCATTTTGCTATGGAGCAAGTTATGACTGAACTAACGAAGATTATTTTCAACCTATCCATATTTCTTCCATACAGCTAATTAATTCCTAAATGATTATTTTTATCATTTAATTTCAAAAGTCTTTTTTTTAATTTTTAAAGAATTATTAATCCTTTACTAATGACATCTCTAAGTGTGTAAGTTCTGGGCAGACTCAGAAGTAAAGCTCTTGTATGGGAGTTTTTCTAGCTTTTGAGCCCTTCAAAGTCAAATTCAACAACTTTTCTCTCTTTTTATCTCTTCTTCGTCTTTTGCCATAAATATTCCACAGTTGGAGATTGATCCATTTCCTGCTGAGTTATATTTAGGCTGCTCTGAAGCTCTCTTCATACTCCAAGTGAAGAAACAGAGGCTCAAAGAAGTTAAGTGTCTCAGGTTTTCTAAAGAAAAACAACACTCCTAGAAAACTGATCTACATCCACTTATTTCTAGTTCCATGTTTCATCCACAGTTATAACAAGTTCCCAAGATTGCAGACATTTATTTTCACAAATGTCATTTATTTATAAAGCATTAAATCCTGTGTAGGAGCCACACTCCACAGAATAAACCAAGGATGTAAATGCAATTAGAACTGGGAAGAAATTATTTTGGTTCATACCCAATAGAGCAGTGATGTACTAGTAAACTGGATCAGGTTGTACATGGTCAAGTATTTAAATGCCCCAAAGGATGAAACCAGAGCAGCTCGGCCTTCTCTGTTTAAAAAAAAGAAAATAATAACTGGTTATGTAGGATACACATCTCCCAGTCTCTTTTATATTGCAAAAAGAGTTCAGTTTTTAATAGCCTACTGAATTACATTCATTTAATCACTGATTCATCCTCTCAGTTATTTTTCTAACTACTCATTGACTCATTCATTTTATCCTTCAATCATGACTTCACTCACTGATTCATAAACTCACTTTTATTTAGAGTTTATGAGGTACCAGCATTATGCTAAGAGTCACAGAGGATATAAAATGAATCAGTCATGGTTCTCATCTTCAGCAAGCTTTGAGTGAATTAAGGAGATTAACAGTACGTTATAAACACAATACAACAATATGATAAGGTGCAAAATGTCAAGCATTGACTTGACTGTGACCCATTACATCCTGACAACACTTGCTTCCCAAGAATTGAACTGTGTGTGTTTTACTGTCCCTTAGAGACATAAAGCCAAAGGACGGGGGCTCTCGCATTTGAGGAAGTGTGGCTGTGACCCCAATATTTGAGATGTAATGGATTTTGTTGGCTTTAATACTCCAGGAAGAACCCAGGGTAATAATCTGAGCTGGTGTGGAGATCAAGAGAGATAAAGACAACAGTAAAAAATGCAGCTTAAAAAGTACATATTCCCCCTTTTAAAAAATTCTGTTGGAGCTGTTATTCCTTTAACTGAGGCTTGGCTGGGTGGAGGGTTAAGACAGGCCAAAGAAGACAGTGTGAGGTGGTGGCGCACAATGGAGGACTGAGGAACCTGGCCAACATCTCCTTCTGCAGCCCCCTCTTGTCAAGGTAGAAGTGAATCCATATGGGAGGCAGCCCACATCCTCTTCATTCCCAGTCCCCAGTGACACGGACGCCTGCACTGCTCAAAGACTTTGTCAACAGAACAGTGAAATGAGAAAGAAAATCTAAAAAGCCAAAGTAATAGCCACTTTGCCTCAGACAAGATGAGAAGGTTCAGGTGGAAGGTGGGCCAGGATGCTTTGGGCAGGTGTTTTGCACCAGGCTGGGAGGCACTGCTGTTTGTTTTCAACACAGACGGTGGAGCAGAAGACAAGGTGAGAACGAGCAAGCGTGTGTAGCCTGGATCATTTTCTGACACAAACTTTGTGATTTCATCCTTGTTTCTGCAGTTGTGTACATTTCCAGGAAAAGTAAGACGCTCAGATTCAAAGGAAAGTGCAAAGAAACATTCTAAGTAAAGCACCAAGGGTGTTTGCATGGGCCTCCAAAATTACTGCTATTCCTAATGATTAGGAATTTTAAGCAGCTCACATTTATTTATGTATTCTACAAACATTCATTGACTGCTCTGATGTACCCGGCTTAGTGCCAGGCGCAAAGATACAGAAATGAACAAGGTACGAGCCTTGCCTTAAAGGACTTGAACTATGACAACAAGTCAATCAGGTTTCAAAGGATAAAAATGAAAACCTGTGGATCCAGACCTATGCAACTAAAACTGTACCTCATCACCCTTCTAGAGGATATTTTCTCAGGAATAAGCGTGTATCAATGATAGCAAGGGTAAAATGAGCCCAACAGAGCTGAGCCGTATCTAATTTTTATGAATCTATGAAATATAAAGGCAGAAGAGTTTCTACCCTGATGTCTTACTAAACCATCTGTCATTAGAGAAATTTTATATTATGACTTGTATTTTAAAACAGTATATGGCATTCATAAATGCAATGGGCCACTTGCATGAGAAAGAGCATCTGAAGTTCAAATGCCACCGCCTTTGGATGGAACAAGTCGGCACTTTGTGCAACCGTCCAGGAGTTCAAATGCCCTATGCAAGGCCTCCATACCTGGTGCTTCAGTTTAACCTCCACAACTCCCCTCTGAGAAGCCTTCCAGCCCAATTTGGCTCTCGGGCCCCTGCATTCTCCAATTAAAACCTCATTTCTAAATATGGCTCTTCATTTCCCCCACCTGAATTCCCTCTCACCTCCTTCCTGTTTCCATAAGGCCTATCCGTCCTTCAAGTTGCAACTCCCCTGCTGAAACCTTCCCTTCTGGCTTGAGCTATCACACTGAACTACTAGAATAATTACTGTATTGTTTGGCCGTTAATTTATTTAAAGCTAATTTATTGAGCACTTCTCACATATCAGGCATAAGATTCCCTTGTTTTGTGACTATATCTATCTCCATCTATATCTATATCCTTTACTGGAATGCAAGTCCTCCAGGGTGGGCTCTGTCTCATTCTTAAACCAACACATTTCCAAGCACACTATTTAAAAAGAGCTCCATGAGTTGTGTTGATGATGGAAAGCATGAAATAGCGTGAGGGTCCTGAGCACTCTCATTTTGTAGTCATCATGACATGAATGGGGGTTAAGGCAACAGAGACAGTAAAGAAAGGGCTTGGAGAGACTCTCTGAAAGCCAAACCAGTAAAACATAATGCCTGGTTGGCTAGGGATGAAAAAGAGGAAAGAGTTAAAAACACTCTGAGGTTTGAGCCTCAGTGATGGACTCTAACACCCAAATGGTCCTCAGAAGCGGACACATGGGAGCTGGGAAGAGGAGCTGCTTTGGAGGCAGGGGAGGTGATGATGTCGAGGGTGTAGAAGAACACAGGTGCAGGCTCCCAGTGTTCAGGGAGCTGTGCCAAGCTGTCTTGCTGATATGCAGCCAGACATGGACGTGGAAATTCAAGCCTGGCACCTTTAGGTGAATAATTCCTGCCAGTTACTGCCATTCAGATGCACCGAGGGACACACCAGAGAACTTCATGGTTGTCTTTTTTGTATAAACCTCAAGATTTAGATATGTCTTCCAGATCATTGGCCAGGAAGATGGCCTGAAGTTACCCCACAGTATTACAGAAAGCAATAGGAGAATAAGATTTATGAACAAAATATAAATCTAAATGTTTAGCTACATTTAAAGTATAAGTACAAGATCAGAAATGAGAGAGGAGTGGAGGTGAGGGAGCTATATCGGGAAAATAAACAGTTTTTAATTCCTTCCTTTTCCCTAACCACTGCCAATCAATTCTAAAAGTCTTTTATGTAGCCATTTTGGATATTCACTAATTTATATTTTTGAGACATTTGGGGAAGCAATCTGGTGGAATGTTCCTTTTCTGCTTCCTCACTCATCCCCGACTCTTGAGAAAAAGGTTCCAGCAAGCATCCAGCATACAAAATAAAGGAGAGGAGAAGTAAGAAACGCAGTTAGTTTTTAAATATCAACTCTAGCCTTTAATTGTCCACATGACCCAGCCATTTATCCTTTAAGACTCAGCAAAAGTCACTTTATTGTGGCTTTTACCAGCATTCTCAAGCAGCACTAACGCCTCCCTTCATTTGTGTTCCAGTAGAACTTTACCCATAGCTCTGTTGTTACATTTATCTCTTTAAACTATAGTTGAATTCTGTCCAGAGCCAGACAATGGGCCCGTCAGTCATGGAGTGGAAGGGAAGAAGTGGCTTACTTGATGAGACGAGGCACACACTCGATGTTGACTGTTTTCGAGGTGAAAGGGGATGCCACAGATGCCTCCTGCTCTGACAGCGAAATGCCCGCATGAGCCATTTTCAAAGCCTGGAATGGTAAATCCATGTTACACTCGTTACTCCTCAGGCCAGGCTCTAACTGTTCAAGCACCATGAGGCTATTCTTCACATTATAGAGCTTATAACACTGCACCCTTCCACCTCTGGCTCTCTGTTTATGCTGGCCCTCCACCTGGAATCCTCTGATCCACGAAGTCACCAACTGAAGAGGCACCAACTAAACAATGATCTAGAGGTAGGAGGGTGGTGTGTGTGTGCATGTGCGTGTGTGCATGTGTGTGTGTTAGTTGTGGGGGTATAGACATGATAAGAAAACGGAAGCCCTCATTCAAGAAATCTATTAAAAAGATGACAGCATTTGGATGAACATCTGTAGGGGACTTCACCGTTACAGATCTTACACTTAGCGAGCCATCTTCATGAACAACAGGAAAAGATATCTAATCCCCACCTTTTCCTGGGCTGATCCAGCCAACCAGCTAACTGCTGGGATGAAGTATGGGGCCCACAGCATCTTCACTGGAGACAGGGACCAGATCACACTCATCACAGAATCATTCCAGGACATGTGTTGCCTCACTGAAATAAGAGCTAATTCATTTCTCATTAAGACTGACAACTGTCCCGACAGTGCACAGAGCAGACGGTGGCCAATAAGCAGGCCAGCAAGCCCCTAATCCTACAAGAATTGTGTGAGCATAAAATGAGATTTTGTATTTCTATAGTTCTGTAGAACTACAATGTACCTGGTTACTGTAGCCGGTACATACTAAATGCATGTTCAATAAATATTAGAATATTTCCTTCTTCCTCTTTTCTCACTTAGGATTTTGTATCTCTGTTATATAATTCAGGCCATCTAGTTTATGTCAGGGTTAGATTTATTCAGGATTCTTTCCCCCACCAGACAATGAACTCTTTGGGGGCAGAGGCTATGTCCTTTCTAGCACTCAATTTGTTTGTTTTGTTCTAAATTCCTCATAATTAATGGGAATGGGTATGCATGCTAGATTTTGAAAGCAGACTAACAACTAGCTTCTTCTCATGAAGCATAAGGCAGAAAAATTCAAAATAGGTCTCTAAGGATGAACATAATTTTTCACAGAACTTTGAAGAAAATATTTTAGAAGGAAGTAAAACAAATACTCAGATCTTAAGTATTTAATAGGCTTTGGAAATACAAAGCAATCCTCTTCACTTTTTGTCCTACAAATTAGCTACTAAAATATTTTCTTATGTGCATAAATCTTCAAGGTAGGCTACAGTTTCAATCATATCTTCAGAACTCAGATTATAAAACATGCACTGCCTTCTATTGCATATAAGAAGTAATCTGCTAAGAATCATTTAATTTAGGCTTGCTAGAGTATGTAATAACCAAATAGTTTGGTCTATGATTTCACTGAGCATCAGAATTTTTGGATAAAGCCAACTTTTAAAAGCTAACCCTGGAGTAGAAGTTTGGCAGGAATAAATACAATTTACAGATAATTCAAAATCTTTAACCATCAGTTTCAAACTTTTCCTTCACTAAACCTTTACTAGCCATGTGACTTGGGGCAAAAAGAGAATTCACCTGCCTGAGACTCATTTCCTTATTGATAACACAAGAGAATTAAACTAGCTAGTCTTGTAAAGTTGCTTCTGGGTCTGAAATACGGGAGTCTAAGTGGTCTTTCCTGGCCTTTATTCTTCTAGGAGTTGCCAGAAACAGCTGAAATGACTCATCTCACCTTACTCCTCTCCACTTCCAACCCACACTCAGGTAGGGGTGGATATGAACAGCAAAATGATAAGTGATTGCCAGCAGAAGGGTAAAGAGATAGACCCAGGGACTGTGGGGTCCTCAAGAGAGAGATTAATGAACTGCCTGCATTGGCAGAAGTAATTTCTACTCACCCCACAGTCATTAGCTCCATCTCCACACATGCCCACATAATAACTGCAGGGGAAAGGATAAGAAAAATTAATAGCTTAACGCCTCACTTGAATAATTTCCATCATAACTAACTCACATGCGATGAGTGTGTGTGTGTGTGTGCTGAACACATGTGGAATCAGGCTGAAGGAAAATAACTTGGAGAGAAATATTCCCAGAGGAATAAGGCCATCGTATGATTTAAATCATTTCAATCAATCACATGGATACTGCCAAGGACGTCCATAAGGATGCTCATACACTTCAAAAGAAGTTCCGTTTGATGATATCAACCAAGGCCAAGCTTAAGAGTGTGCAGTCATAATCAGAGCACTTCCGCACCGTCTAACGCACAGATCATAACCTAATCCATCTGTGTTTTGGTTGCTGACTGTGGCTGAAAGTTTAGAGTTTAGACACTAGGATGAGAAACATTTGGGAAATGGTTTAACAGACATAACTAAAGACATATACATATATTCTTTTTTTTTTCTGCTGAGGATGATTCACCCTGAGCTAACATCTGTGGCTGATCTTCCTCTATTTTGTATGTGAGCTGCCACCACAGCATGGCCACTGATGAGTGGTGTAGGTCTGCATCCGGGAACTGAACCCAGGCTGCCAAAGTGGAGCATACAGAACTTAACCACTAGGCTCCTGGGGCTGGTCCCCATATACATATATTCTTGATGCATCTTGGAATAAAAATGAGATAACATGCTCCCCCACCATACCAGTTTGATGTGCAAACACAATGATATAAATAGAAGAGCAAATATTAAAGCTGTTGCCAGAGAAAAGGAATTTCTAATGCGAGACACACTCTGTCTTCTATTATAAGTAATACATTATAGGTATTCGTTAATGGCAATACTATTAAAGGCTCAGTGGCAATTTGCCAAAAACACATGAAATAACAAATCAATACAGGGAAAAATGAAGTTCTTGGAGAATTTCCTTATTAGTAGTTGACACATAAGAAATGGACATTTTTATAGGTCAAAAATGATCAAATGTAAACAAATTCATATGGTTCAACCTAATATTTGGCTAGTATATATGAAAATCACCCTATAAACATTGACATGCACTCATGTTCATGTCATGACTATGCACATTTGCTGAAAATGGCTTCCTTTCTCCAGCCTTAAAACACATATTTAGTCTCTTTACACGAGGAATCTTACATCTTCTAGTGTTCTCTGAATTCAGAAGAGAATTCATACAACCCTATGCACATTTCCAATGATAAAGGTGTGAAGAGGAAGACTGGGGAAATTGAGAAGATAGCTCATTCTGAGACAGCATATATCTTCCTGAATCGATTTTTCTTTAGGGGAATATAGCTTTTCAAAAGTAAGCATTTAAGTTGGCAGAATTTCTCAGGCATTTGAGAAGGGTAAAATTACTTTCTTCGGCCAATATCATATAATGACCATGTAGGTAAAATAGTAATTTTAGACAGTGGATACGAAGCCAGCCTCAAGGGATTATGGGAGTTAATAGGCAATTTTTGAAACTCCCCTAAGAATGCTTGGGCAACAAAAAATAATAGTCAAAGGCGGTCTCCTGATTTTGCCTACTACTTATCAGCAATTACCTAAAGTTTCACTGCTCTTTACTCCTTTTCAGTTTCCAGAAATCTGCAACCCAGAAATTGTAACATTCCCAGCAAGTAATAGGTAGGTCTGGTCTCAAGAAGAACCATTTCACTCTGATGTGACTTAGTCGTCTGTGTTTTTGAAGGAGATAAGAAACAGTTTTTTTTTTTTTTTACTTTGGCCTCTCTACCCAACCCTCGCCGGGGTCAGATACAGCGAAAATGCCATTCTACCTCTTTCCTGGAGGATCTGAAATTATTCATATGTCTTCCAGTGGACCAACCTCAAATAATTCCAGGTGATAGCTCACACAGTTCCCCAATTTTCCCATTCTAAGCCATACAAACCCCTATTTTTTCTATTCTCTATATCCCAGCAGAGGATCTTCCTCTAAGATATGCCCGACTGGACACAGAAGGAATGCTCTCTGGGGTGGCTAAATGGCTAAAATGGCTCTCAATGATCCCCACCTCCTGGTATTCATGACACTGTATCATGCCCTTCCTTGTTTGTGGGCCGGCCCTAGTGACTTGCTTCATTAAAGAGAATACAGCAAAAGTCGTGGGATGTCACTTCTTAGATGAGGATCTAAAAAATGGTGTCTCTCTCTCTCTGGCTCTTCTCACTTGCTCACTCTTATGGAAGCCAGCTGCCACATTGTGAGTTTCCTTGTGCAATGACCCATGTGGCAAGGAACTGAGGGTGGCTTCTGTACAACAGTCAGTGAAAAACTGAGACTCTTAATCCAACCAACCACAAGGAAGTGAATCCTGCCAACCACACGTGAGTGAGGCTGGAGGCAGATCCTCCCCGCTGGAGTGCTGAGGTGACTGCAGTCCTGGCTGACACCTGATACAGCCTGTGAGAGACCCGGAGCCAGAAGACTCAACTAAGCCCGCCTGGATCCCTGACCCACAGAAATGTACAATAATAAATGGCATTATTCCAAGTCATTAAGTTTTGAGGTAATTCATTATGAAGCAATAGACAATGAATACACTTTTTCATGCAATAATACCTACTTCAATTTCTGAAATTCTTCAACAAGGCTTGATTTCTGCCCAGGAGACATTCTTGCAAAAATGGTTCCATTCACTAGGATCTAGAGAGAAAAACAACTATTGCAGTAAGATTAGAAGAAGAACACTTTTTAAGTAAAAGAGTAGCCCTGAAAAATCACTCTTGGCCTCTGTTTTAATATAGCCTCGGGTGGTACGTCATTAGACCCAACATCAGGCAAGGGAATAGGGGATTTCTTAGTTTAATATTTAACCCTCCCTTTCAGTCCTCTATCACACTCTATTACCTCTTTCCAGGCCATTTTTCCAAGATGGGGTAACTTTTAATTAATAATAATAACTAAAAAAGGAGCAGAGCATATGGAATAAAAATGCTTAAGGAAACACAATTCTTTTTACTGAACATTGTCGCCATAACTGCGGCATAGGCAGGGGAAAGAGCGACAGGTCAGGAGTGGAGACACAAGGTTCTGTTCTCAGCTCTGTCCCAAACTGTGCAAACCTTGGACAAGTGACAACCTCTCTGAGTCTCAGTCTTCCCAAACTCTTCAATGAGGAATTGCACTAACAGTTTTCTAGAAGCCTTTGGGGTCTAGATTCCATGGTCCTTGACCGGTAATGCAACAGAATTCTCAAGACACCGCTAACAGATGGTTGCTGCCCTCGGCTTGCGCTCCACTATCTCCTTCACACTGACAGCACAACCCTGCAGAGCACTATTTCAGAATAGACACACAGAGGACAAGATCAATGATTTTGAAAATATACCGCGGGGCCTTTGTTTCCTCCTGCTGTAAGTTAAGAATCCAGACAGGAAGGGGAATAGTGTTCAGCCTGACGTGAGTTGGTGGTTTTCAGAGAGAAGGTGACCCAAAAAACAGAAAGCACATCTGGAACTCTCTGGAGGTCCTCCCTCCCCAGGAGGAGAAGGGAGGCTGGGATTGGACTGACCACGGAGGCAGGGCAAGGGGCTGTACCAGAACCCAACTCTGAAGAGGAAGCCATGGGCATGTGCAGGACCAGGTAGGCATGGGTGGGGCTGGGAAACTTCTGAGGGAAGTGCCCCTTTGTGGGTGTTTAGTCCCTAAGTCTGAGACAACTTCACTGATCATCATCTTCACTACTCTTTTCTCCTTTTTTGCCTCATTAATTTGAGGAGCAAAACAAAACACTTCATTTCTCTAGTACTTACTTTTGGAAGCAAGCTGTTGAAATGCTGAAATATCACTTGGTATGATTTCCCACTCATTGCAAAATGGTAACAGCTGCCTCTTTCTCCAGCAGGCACTGAGCGGTTTCCAATGTTAATGCAGCTATCCTAAAACCAAAAGGGCATTATTTCTACATCGGCTCTGAAGGGATGTCTCTACTTTCCTACGTTTTATTGAAGGAAGTATGTTCATGTTTCATAACAGTGTGAGGGCCAACAAATACATAATGTGTAATTTGCCCATGGAATTTAGATTCACGTGAAGATGACACAAACCGTCCTCCCAAGATTCTATAAACACATGATACGTTGATGACATGATGCTCTGGATCCTGTCCTGGGAGATAATACGTGTGCTGTCAGTCTACTGAGGAAATCATTCCAAGGTACCAATTAGCAATTCCAAGGGAGAACAGGAAACATTCTGCCCTTCTCCTCTTTCTCCTCCTCATGCAACCTTTATTTCCTAAGATCTCTTTTCATTCATTTGTTCAAAAATCATGCCCCAATTTCTTCTCTGTAAAATAGGCAGACTTTCTTCAGAGCCTGACTCCTTGTAGCACCCGACCTCTCCCCACCCCAACAGGTAACCTGTTCCCTCAGAGTGCCCAGATCCTGTTCCACATCCTGTGTCTATTACACCAGCACTACTCCTTTTCTGAAACTCTTTCCTTCCCATCTTTCACCTGTCAATGTACCCCTTATTGCTGTGTTCTAGCCCCACCTGGCTCAGCTCCTAGAGAAAGTATCTGATGATGCATACGCACTCATTATGTCAATAGCTGATAATGGATTCTCACGCAACATTTCCCAGAGGGTCTTACATTTGTGTAGGACTCTGAATTCAAATAGTATAGGAGGTGAGAAAATTTTATTCATTAGAATAAAGATGATAGAATAAGAATTCATCTTAGAGAAAGCCGCGTATTTGGAAGAAAACATATTTTGATGTGCCGAATTGGGAAGCAATGCGATACACCCCTCCCCTGCCACTCCCATTGCAAAACAGCCAATAAAAGACGTGCTCAAAAGCATCCCACGTGAGGCAAGGACAGGACTCCTTTTGCTTTTACTAGAAAGGGGGAGAGAAAGTGTGGTGGGAGGGAGCCAGAGAGGAGGAAAGCCTGAGACCGTGTTGCAACTTCTCCCAGCAACGACCAAATCTTCAGTAAAGGTATTAAACTCATGATTGGGTAGTGTGAGTGGACTGTTTGTTAAAAATTAGTGGAGACATGAGTTTTGTCACATAGTGTAATTGAAGCAACATGCATTGATGCAGAAGCAAGTGGGTTTGCAAGGAAATAGGCACCGAAATCTGCTGAAAGCATAGAGAGAGCTGTCGTCTTTTACAGCCAACACAATGGAGTTTGAGCCAAGTTAATGCACCTCTTCACAGGGTAGGGGCAGGGCCACTCTGTACAGTCTTGCAGTTTGTGTACTGAAAAAAAGGCTTACTCTACACTCAACAACCTGAAGGGCTGGTCAGCCTGGAGGAAAGGAGCATTTTTGTAATTTATCACCTGGAAGACCATCTTGTTGAATTCACACGAAGGCAGAGGTGCCTCCTTTAGTGATGGAATGTCAGACTGCAGCCCATTCTCTTGATATAAAAGAGCTGTTTTGTAACAAACACACAGGACTTGCCTTCTAGAGAAAACTGATACCTGTTAACTTCACATCACAGGTACAGCACGATCTAAATGTCCATGAATTGGGGTGGAATCAAATAGACCTGAATTTGATTTCTGGCTCTGCAACCTGCCAGTTGCATGCCTTGGGCAAGCCTACCTCTGTAGGTCTCATTTTTCCCATTTGTAAAATGAACAGCTCGCTCAACTGTATTGGGTAACTGCAAGGATCAGATGGAAATCAAATGGATATGTCAGTGGTTCTCAACCATGACTGCACACTGGAATCGCCGAGAGGACAGACTGATGCCAGCTCCCAGCCCAGAGATTCTGATTTAATCGGTAGACCCTTGGCACTGGAAGCTTTAAAACTCTCCCAGGTGATTTCTATGTGCAGCCAGGGCTGAGACATGCTGGTGGAAATTACAAATGCTTTGCAAACTGTAAAACTCTGGACAGATGTGAAGGATTATTATGGTGATAACTTCTATTGTCAAGAGAAGGTTGCCCAGGGTCAGGGCTGTATTCCATCAGCCCAGGCCACAGAGGGGTCTTAAAACATTTGCTCACATTCTTTCCAGGTCCATTCTCTTGGTTCTCTACCAGCTGCCAGGTCACAGAAGCAGGAGCAAACTCTTCTGGCTCATTGGCTTCCACAAGGATCACCTGGCTCCCTCGAGGAATCATTTCAGAATTCTTTGCAACAGTAATGGCTGTTTGGAGGTTGTCACCTAGAAGACAAAGAAAGTCGGCTTGCTTTATGTATAAACCTCTCAGCAACCAGCACTGAGCTCTCGCTCCTCTGAGTGTCCATACCACTTGGTTGGTGTCCTCGTTGGGGCATTTATCACTTTCTGCCTTATTTCCTAACCATTTATCTTTCCCCCTGCCCGCGCCTGTCTACCCTGATGGTCAAACTCTATGTCTGCATCTCCCTCCCATGATAATTAGCATTGTGTCCTGAACATTGCATATTTGCAAAACATGCGCTAATGAATAAATACATGGCTGAGAATTTTATGACTAATCCTCAGGAGATGAACAGCTCTTAGTGGTGAAGGTAATATGGGCCCAGTCTGATGGCATCAAATCATCCTTGGCATGTGGATTCCACTTAAGCAGAGAAAAGAACACTTAGGGCTGTGGCAGGCTTGGATTTGATTATCATGTGCCATGCCTGCCCCACTGCCCTGAAGGACAGTCCAGAAGAGTCTCACACCCTTTGCACAGAGGTCTTATTGAGGTTCCTGATGAACACACCCATTCTTGTGTTTAAACATTTACTGTGAGCCTATTAGGACTGTGCAGATCCTCAGTAGGAAAAGTGGGTATTAGACAAAGAAAATGTGATATGGTGCTGCCTCCAAAGCCCATGGTGGTATTGAAGGAGCTACACATGTTCCAAAGTAAGTGGACCACAGGGAAACAAACTTGACAGCAGAGCAGTTTTGTTTCTGCCTCAATCACACGAACTCACTCAGCTCACATGGTCTTTTTCTTACGACTGGGATACATTCAACTTGTCAGGCCTCCAGAAACACACACCTGTAATCATCACGGTCCTGATGCAGGCCTCGCTCAGTTCCTTCAAGACTGGTTTGGTTTCCTTTTTCAAGCAATTCTCCATGACAAGAAGCCCCAGAAATGTTAACTCTGACTCCACCTTCTCCCTTTGGATTCAGGAGAAAATCAATGGTATTAAAGCTTGTCTATGTAATCTCAACAGTTGGATTTATTTCTTCTTTTTACAATTTCTGTTTTATCAATGTAATACATGCACATGTTTAAAAAATCAAAACAAACCCAAAAGCTTATGATGAAAACGAATAGTCTCTGTCTCCACACCACCTCACCCCTTCTCCTTCCCAGAAGCAACCACTTGTATATCTTTTACCTGCTTCTTCCAGTTTTCAACTCCATTTTTTAAAAGTAATGTGCTTATCTTCTAAATCTTCTGTTGGTTTTCAAAAATTTTGTTAATTATATTTATTTTTTAGTTTCTTTTTTTGAGCTTGTAATCATTTCAGTTTATTAGACATTTATTAAGTACATACTACGTACAGGATACTATAGTAATAGTTGAGTATGGACTAATCCATTTCAGCCTCCATCTGCAACCTCCAGTAAATATATGGCATCAGCCAAGGATTTGAAGAGTTTTCAGAATTTGAAATTGGAGGCTTGGAATCTAACTCGGTTACATTGGTTATGCAGGACCTCTCCTCTGAAGTGGAATAAATCTCAAGTGGCTTTTTAAAAAGTAAAGTTGGGAGCCAAGAGCTCTTTCTCGATCTCTCATTGTTCCTTTTTTTAACAGGAGTGGAGGTAAGATTTCAGGGAGAGGCAAGGGGAGGAGGGGGAGACCTGGGGATCTAACCTTTCTGCACACTGTCAGTTAATCCCCCATGTTCAGTCCTGAGTCTCACTTCCACCTTCCACAGCACATGACATATCTGGGTCACAGCCTCTCCAGGGTTCTACAGGGTGAACCAACTTTCCTCTTGCTCCCTCTCTCTCTTCCCCTCTCTCTTGCATGGTGTAGGCTGTAGCTTCTTCTATCCTGCTTGATTCAGCTACCACTCCTCCCGCCTACATTACGTCTTACAGAAATGTGTAGAAATCTCTCATCTGCACTTATTGCTTCTCTAGTTTTCTTTGGTATTGTTTCTTTTCCATCACGTTAATAGGACTTGGGAAGGAAATAAACAAGTGGCCAGTAAACCTTCTTTAAAAGAAGGATTATAGTTGGATTATCGATGAGAACTATAATTCAAACAGGGATGGGAACACAATGAAGAAACTTCTCTCTGAAGTAGAGTATAAGTTGCTACATCCTTCATTCAAAAATCCATTCACTAAATAGTGACTTTATTCTAAATCTTATTTTAGGCACTTTGGAGAATATTCAGATAATCAGAGATGAATCCTGCCTTAGTGTTCTCAGAGAAGATTATAAAAAGAAAATCTACCTTAATATAGAACTTGTTAAAATCCCACCATTTAACTTCATGACTTTCTATTATAAATTAGATTCATATTTTCTCATTAACTAGGACTACAAAAAAAGATCCTAAAATCTTCTCACCAGTTATTCTGGTTTTTACAACTCTTTCTCTCGTTCATTTCAGGCACTTTGGCCTCTTAATGGCTCTACAACATTCCTAGTAAAATCCTGTGTCAGGGCCTTTGCACCCACCGTTCCTATCGGCTGCAATGCTCTTCCCCTGGATAACTGCATGCCTCGCTCCCACTTCTGTTCAAATGACGCCTCCTCAGAGGACTTCCCTCATCACTCCATGTAAAATGGTGTCCTCTGTCAATTTTTTATGCTCTTAACCTGCTTTATTTATTTTCCTTCAGGGAATTTATCACTACTTCACAATATTTTATAGGCTTATTTTATTATCTATTTTCCCCAATTGGGATATAAGCTTCGTGAGGGCAAGAATTTTATTTTATTCACTTCTGAATCCTCGGTGCCTTGAAAAGCATCTAACACATAGTCAAGATCAATAGAAATTTGCTAAACCAATGAAAGGGATAGTCTTGATAAAATATTTCTTCTTCTGGTTTAGTTTTTTTTTTTAAGTCATCTCAAGAAACGCTTCTACTTCCCTTTTATGATGTCAGTTTTTTTACTTCTCGATTTTCCTAATTGGAAAACTTTGCTAAATATAATTTGATTCTGAAAAAAAAAATCAAAACCCTATTCCTTTACCCTGTTTGAAAACAGTAATTAAATTCCAAGAACATAATAGGCTCCTGATATTCTCTGGGAAATCCTGAGATGGTTAGAAATCTAGTACATTTTATCTTCCATTTTCTTACTTTGTTATATTTATAGTAATGTCTACCTCACTAGTGGCTTTTAAATGAGAACATCACAGCTGTGTTTGTATGTGGCAGCTGGGTGGTGGCTACACTCCGTGTCTAGCTACATAAATCTTTTCTACACACATGACCTTAACTTTCGTTATTAAAATTTGTGTCTTGAAAAATTACCAAATCCTGTGTGTTATGGGTCTTTATGCTTGCTCAAGAATAGCTAACACCTTGAATGTTAAATCTGAGAATGCCATTCATGTATTTCAGGAAAAATGAGCTTTGTGATTCTATTTAGAAGATTAAAATGTCAAGGCTGAAAGGCTCCTTAGAGATCATCCAATCCTACATTTTATAGATGGGAAATAGACACAGTGTATGGAAGGGACAATGATTACTGAGCATATTAGAGTGGATGAACTTAGGCTGTAAATAGTAACGTTGAACCAAGGATATCCACATCTTATACAGAGGGTCTAATTATATATATATGAGGATCTCTCCATCAGCAACACAAAATCAAAGATATGTAACACATAGATTATTTGTTATTCAATTTTCCACAGTATTTCTCTACTCTACTTATAGACAATTCAAAAACAATCTTTAAAAGCTAAGAAACATTGAAAGAAAAAATAATCTACAGATTATCCTCTAATGATGACAATTTATCCCCTTATCATAATTAAGAATACTAAATTCTATTTCATATAAAGAATTCAATTTGCACTCACTACCTCTCCAGATCTGAGGGAGGTGTACTACTGAGCCCTGGAGGAAACCAAGTCTAAGGGATTCTAGAAGTCTTTCAAAGTGCCAACTGTCTCCTTCTCTCAACCCCTTTGTATGTGGGACCCCCGAGTCAGTCAACCACACAATGTTCCGAGGTTGAAGAAATGTTGGTTGTTTTTGGTGAGATGATGAAGTCCAAAGCAGAGATAATTCACTGACATATAGAAGGCAGGAGATCTCAACTGTCATCCTTGTTCTGCCACCAACCAGCATTGTGACCTGAGCAAGTCCTCCCCTGTTGCCCATCTTGGAATCAGGAGACTGGATGAGATTGATTCTCTGTCTCCAAGAGCCATCCCAGTGATTTGAGCTGTCTATTTGTCCCTCACCAGAGCTCATTCACTTCATGCACACAAAGTCTGCCCTACTGCCAATTTCCAAGTTCCTTACCTGGTTAAACTCTCTACTTCTGAAAACTTCTCCATGTTCAAGGCTTTATGGGCAAGGGCAATGACGCGAAAGCCCTGCATTGTGTACTTCCTCAGCTCCTGTGGGAAATTCTTGGGCACTTCCAGGAGAGAAGAAAGAGGTAAATGTAAGGTCAGATTGAAGGTTGCCCAACTCTTGAGCAAGACTCTGGGATGCAGTCGCTATACCTTGCTTTAACTTTCACTCCATAAAAATGCTTTCATAAAAACTACAGCTTCGGTTAAAGGCCACAAACAACTTTATACAGTGTGTTTTTGTTACTCTGACAGAAATAAATGCCAAAGATGTGCTGGTCGTCAACTGGATGTCAAATACACTGGCTGGGTTCACTAAGGACAAATCTCAGGACTATGTTTACCTGGGTGAAATGAGGGAAACCGATGATCCTCTAGATCAGGGGTCAGAAAACTACAGAGCAAATCTGGCCCATTGCTTGTTTTTGTAAATAAAGTTTTATTGGAATACAGTCATGCCTATTTGTTTGTTTATTATCTATGGCTGCCTTCAGGCTACAACTGCAGGGTTGAGCAGTTGAGACAGATACCTTGTGGCCTGAAAAGACTAAAATATTTACTATCTGGCTTTTTGCAAAAAAGTTTGCCACTCCCTGCTTTAGATAATAGGTGACACAATGCCAATATTTGTGTATTTTGTCATGGCATTTTAACTAATGTTAATATATTTATAAAATTTTTATGGTGTATAGTATGTCTATAAGTGTGTTAGAAAGAAGCACAATATAATGGAAGGGGTAGTAACTTAGAAAGCAAAATACTTGAGTTCTAGTCTCCACTCTACTGCTGACTACCTCTCTGACCTTGGATATGTTAAGCTTCTCTTATGCATCTCAATTTTCTCATCCATAAAATGAGAGGGTTGTGGCTCTCTATGTCCCCATTCAGCTCAGACTTTTTGTAAATCTAGAATAATCCGTGGGATCTAATTTCAAGGAATCTCCTAGCTCTCTATTTCTTAAATACAGAGAGAAAAAAATCACTTAAGATGTTATTAGCACATGTCAAGGATCAGAGGTTAGGACACTGAGAATTGGAAAGGCTACCAGAAGAATGAGTGATGGCAAGTGACAGACCCAAACTCTTACTGATAGAGTAGGGGCAATAGTTGCCAGCTAAAATTTCAAGAAGATACTTGTATCTGTGTGGATGAAAAAAAGAACAACAGTAAAGTAAAGGCCATCAAGCTGTGAAGGATAGAGTTAATGGGAGCTCTGAGGAAGATCAAGTCAGAAAAAAGGGGGCACTTCTAAAAAAGAGTCCAAGTAGGAGAGAAGTTAAAGCAATCATTTGCCAAATCTCGAATTCTGTGCACAAGTTGATGGCTATTAGCAATTGTAAGGAGAATATAGATGAAAATCAGGAGAAAAAGGCCAATTTTATCCAAATGAACTCATTCAAATGCAACAATATTCTTATAAATCTGTGCTGCCGCTTAGAGAGTGCATATGTTTGTAAGACTAAAAAACAATACAAATCAGCTCAAAATCTGGCCCAGAAAGATGAAATTGCTGTGAAAATTACCAATCACCTTGCTCTAATTCTAACTAATTTACTCTAATCAGTTTTTTTCTAAAAGATTTATCTTTTCTATGTTCTCCTTCCATCAATCTGAGTCCCCACAAGTGACACCAGCCCCCCAGAGGTGACAGAGCACCCCATCTGCAGAATTAGTCTAATGTCCAGCCTGTCCCTTTGGATGCCTCTCAATGCTCCTCATTCTCACCATCCCTGGTTCTCTGATCCCTCTGTAGTGTCTTGTTCTGGCTCCTAATGTATGCTTCGCTCTCCTTTCCTGATAGCCTATGGTGGTTGGGCTTTTCTGGCTGGACCATGCCCAGATATTTACTGTCTGCCGCTCTGCCTTGCAATGATCATGTCTGCGTTGTTGGATCTACTGGGCCTCCTTCCACCCACCCGGAAAACAGCCACCTCCACCTTCACTAACTTAGGTCTGTTTGCTTTATGTATTTGGGCCTTTAAAATATGGTACCTCCTGAAGAGAAAAGTTGTCTGTTAGTACCTGTTTCAGACTTGCAGAACCCCACCAACATCTCCGGGGCACCCTTCATGTAGGCATGGAAGTGATCCTCCCCCGCTAGCTGAGCCACCACAGACATCCTCTGCAGGCTGGAGGAAAATGGAAACTGACACAAGATGGTGATGGCTTCCACGGGACTCTGCAAGTGCACCCAGAAAGGGGAGCTTAAGAAGCTTTTAAGTGAGATTTCGCAGATGCATGCCAACAAATAAGATTTACTCTGCAATGAGCTCAAGAACATCATGAAGTGGTACATTTGTAAGACATTGATATTTTTCTGGCTGCCTCTAAGGTGATTCCCTCATCAAGGTGGCTGGTCTGCAAGGCCCTTCCCCTTGGCTGCCTGGAAAAACCCCAATCACCTTCCAGCCCAAGTTTACGGGTCACCTTCTCTGTGGTGCTTGTGTCTCCCAGGAACAGCAGTCACTGCCACCTCTGGACTCCTGTGGCTCTTTCTTCAGCCTTTATTATAGCACTTGGCACATTGTATTGCACTTATTTGCACGTCTATTGATTTTTCTACCAGCCTATGTCTTCCTCCAGCACAGAGCCCAACTTATCTAGCTTTGAAATCTCTCCATCCCTTAGCACCTGGCACAGTGCTCTAGCATACATAAGTACTTAGTGAATGTTTGCTCAATAAATCAATGGATAAATTCAGGAATGAAGGAATGAGCAAACCAATGATGGATCCTGTTAGGATATGGCAAAATAATAGGAATATAAAAATATGTGAAAGTCAGGGGAGTTTCACCAGTTGTAAGGGGAAAGAGCTACATGATTTAAAGAAGCAAATTATACCTGACTGGCTTTTGGTCCTGGTTTTATTATGATGTTTGAATCTGACATCCCAAATTTGCGGTGGTCTACCTTGCAATCTTCCATTGTCTGTTTTAAAATGAAAACATTCATAAGATTCCTTAGAGAAAAATAATAAGAAAGAAATATCTCTTATTTGCATAGCACTTTAATCTTTTCAAAGTCCTTTTCACATATTTTCTCTCCTAGGCCAATTATCTTAATACTGTCATAGTCAAATTTCTGTTGTGTTGATTTATATTAAGGACCTTTTGAAGAATGTCAAAAAGCCAGAAATACTGTGACTATGTTTTACGTAGTAATTGATGAAAGAAGTGCTAGCTACAGGCCAATGGTTCTTCCTAAGTGGCATGTCTAGTAATTGGAGGAAGGTTTAAGCGAGATCTACTCTCAACACAGCTGAGTACGTTAGCTCTCAGATAGGTTAGGATTGGGTCTTGAGATAAAAATGGGACTGTTTCTTATGCTACATCTATGCTACTAGTCTAATTGATTAGCTAGAGAGTTAGCTGCCAGCAAATTAGAAAGCATATTTGAAAATGGTTTGTATTCTTTGGATGTTAAACAGTATAAGTGATACCAACTGAGAAACCAATATTAACCTAAAATATGGGAAAATCTGTCAGATATATAAAAAGTAAAGGTCAGAAAATAGGAGATAACATCTGGTGTCTTCTCTGTCACTTACTTGTTTAACCTTGGGGACACCACTTCATTTCTCCAGATCTCAGTTTCTTCTGAAAAATATTCTGACATCCCTTCTAGAGCTAAAATTCTGAGTGTATAAGGACGTTTTCCCTCCCCCTAATGTTTAGTGAAAGGTTCCTGACTACCAAAGGATATTTAATTTAAGGCTGCTTCTCACCCAGCTTTAAACTCAATGAATAATGTTTATGCTTTGTTTGGAGTGAATATAACTGTTCTTAAAAACAATTCTTACAGAGCTAATACTAAAGATTTATGTTCCCACACAAGACCCCAACTTGCTGTGTCATTTGTACAGATGTATCATCCCTCCTCTACTGGAGAAGGAGAAACTGTGAGAATCAGGATCAAAGGCACATATGGTAACAACGACCCTGTGCAACTCATCACTGTGTCAACTCCGCTGACGCTGGTAAGGATGTTGCTTATAACAATTACACTGATTCCTCTTCATTAAGATCCAGGAAAGTGATTACTATTTTGTCTTGCTGTCAAAAATTTCTCCACAGCAAATGCTGTAATTTTAACTTACTGAGATTAGAAATTTCCCTATTTACCAAGTTTCCTCTTTTATTATTTTGGCCTCTAGAAAGCCATAATTTTCCTACTATACATCTCTAAATTAGCCTCTTGGTGAGGTGTACTTCATGTCTCTGCAATCATTTGTTCCATTCGTTTACAACTCTGTTTAAAATGCTGTCCTGTACTTGATGTATCGTTGCAAGTAGCTTTAGAACTTTTTTTTGGAGGGCAGCAGAATGTAATTAATTAAGTTACTAATTAATGAATGAATACCCCTCATTTGTGGGGTATTACAATGCGCACAGTCTTTTTAGGCTCATAGTCTCAATGCTCACAAGTCCATGAGTGAGGCATTATCATCCCAAATGCACAGATGAGGTAGAGTCTTGGTTCTGAATTTGGGGTCACACAGCAAGAGAGCGGAGTCAAGAGCTCTTCCCACCATGTCATGACAGCCACCAGGATAAGTTCACACCCTTCAACCGTCATTCACTCTCAGCTCAGAACACTGAATCAGTTGGACCAAGAGTCCTCCAGTTTGGTGTCTAGACCTCTGCTGTCCAATATGGGAGCTACCAGCCACTTGTTGCTATTTAAACTTAAGTTCAATTAATTAAAATAAATAAAATTAAAAATTGAGTTTTTCAGTTGCATAGCCACATTTCAAGTGCTCATTAGTCACATGTAGCTAGTGGCTACTATATTAGATGGCATTGCTTTAGTCTACTGTTTCTCTGAGGGTGTTTTGAAGAATATTTGTTTTCTCTAAAACATGTTTTGGCCTGTCAATAAGGTTTTTGTGGTCAAATAGGTTTGGTAAATACTGCATATCATATTCTCTCCTGAATATTCACAATGCACCACAGTATATTTAAGAAATCCTGCAGTCAAGAAATCGATTTAACTTTGTTTAAACGGCAGTTCCCAAATTTATTTGATCATGGAACCCTATTTCATGTTGCACTTATTAACAGAGTTCTTTGGAACAGAGATTGGGAAATTCAGGTAGGATCAGACTTTCATTCATGCATTACTGTGAATCTTCTCTGAGTTTCAACCAAAATTAGAAAGGCTTTAGCACTCCTACTAAGGATTTCTTCAAGTTTTCCTCATTCAGTTGAAACAAGAAACTATCACCTTACCCAGGCGGTGCCCTCAAACATTTTGAGTTCCAGTGGATCTCCCTGGATGGTCCCATCCAGAAGGATCAGGGAGTGGCAGCTGGCCATGGCAGCACACAGTGGGCCCCATGGCAAAGCCTCACCCGAGGCAAAGCTATGGACTTCTTGGAAACTGGTAGAGAAGAAAATTAATAAGTTAAGGTCTTCAACAAAATAATTTTGTACACTCTGCCCCTTAAATCTTACTAACATAGAGCTTCAATAATACCTTACCCTCATGGTGAAAACCTTCAATAGCTCCCCATGCCCTGTGTGATAAAGTTCTCCTATGCCTGGTATTCAAGGCCCTATCTTCCCAGTTCTATGTTACCTTACAGATTCTATTCCTACTAGTGTCCTTTATGCACAATTTTTCCAGATCCAAGTTAAACTTCTTTCTGTGTCTATATTTGCACAGAGATTTCCCTGCCCTGAGCCCTTGCTCACTTGGTTTTCTCATTTTCTAACTGGAATATTCTGTCTGCAGATTGCTCTTTATAAGATGCTCCTTTGAATTGGATGTGAATTTCCTTCTGAACAGAGTTTGCCACTAGCTAATCAATACTATGATTTCAGAGGGCTTGGATAGAATCACAGGGACTGGTGTCAGGTTACTGCAGCCAGCCCACATGGTGGCAGTATTGTGGGAAGGCATATTGTGAGAAGGCTTGGAGCTGACACCTGCAAACTCTGCAGAGCTGGCTCTAGAAAGCCACACACCCCAGGCAAGAAGTCTCTAGGCCAATGAGGTAGCAGGAATGAGAAGGAAGCCTGCCTGGTGGTTCCTTTTTCCTTCAAGTGAAAGCATGCATGGACTCTGCAGTATTTCTTGCTACTCAGTTCTCGGGTCTTTGCCCCTATTTCCTGAAACTCCTGGTGTGGGTGTCCAGCATCTAAAGCACACTTTCCTCTTTGACAGTAAACTGGCTTGGTTTACCTGCATCTCCTCTCATCCTAGAGCTGAATAGTAATTTTATCTTGTTGTTTCTATTCTCCAAAAGCTTCAGAGTTCTAAGAGTAGAGTTCTTAGGGCAGAGTAGAAGAGGGATGGAAACTACAAACATCCTTTTCTCCTTTCAATAGAAGGAGAAGCCTTGACCATCTGGACAAAGGCCTGGCCAGGCATCTGAGCAGCCAGGGGCAGAGACACATGAGTAGGCTAGAGCCCAGATAGTTCAGTGATGCCCAGCCCGAGGATCTTCTGCAATGACTACCTGTCTGCTGTTACCCTGTGCCAGTGCTGCACCTGGGCCCATCACCATCTTGGGGAGCCCCTGCACGACTCCTTCAATGACAGCAGCCTCAGCCACTGTTTGGAGCCAAGGTGGGCTTCCCAGAGCTTAAGAGCAGAGGCCCCTCCACTCAGACTGAGAAGGCAGGTCTCAGCCCCTCAGGGAAGGGAGCTAGGAGGTCGGGGCACTCTCTGCGAAGGGGCACTCCCTCCTCTCTACCTCTGTTCTGGGGTAGCATCTATGTGACTGCCCTCTCCACTCCCTAGGGCCAGCTTTTAAACCAGGTCTGTAAAAATTCTATTCATACACCCTTCAAAACCTATCTCAAATGCTATCTCTTAGTGGTTTTCCTTGATGTACTTCTTTTCAAAATTAATTTCTACCTCTCATCCAGTGTTATAAAAACCAGGACTGTGTATTATATCAAGCAATCATTATGATTTCTTCTTCTCTATTCTGATATTTGTGCCTTAATAGTAACTCTTTTCTCTGCCTGTGTTGTACGTTGAACGTGGGTGGGTACATTTGCACCTTTTTATCCTACTGGAGTATGAACTCCATGAGGTAGGAGATGGAGCTTTTCCTTTCTGGATCCCCCACCACACTAGCCACCCAGGAAGTCTGTGCAGTTTTTCGTTAAGCACAGTCCTGATTTCACTCTTTGCTCCTCTGTTTTATTCATTCAGCTCCTTAATCATTCACCTCATTCTATTCCATTTTTATGTGAAGTTTCAGGTCCTACTTTCTCTGTCTGATTCTGAACTTAAGACTCATTTAATTTAACAAGTTAGAAAAATTGGGAGCTGGTTCCAGCCAATTATTATATATATTTTATGTGACATTCATCCCTCAACAAGGGAAGGATGGATTTGAGTAGCACAGAGGTGGCCAAGCAATGACACATCCATCTTCACTAATGTGCCTACCTGTTGCCAGCAGTAGGTACAGTCCCCCAGAGGTCCAGCCCGTCTTCCGTAAGAGTGCCAGTCTGGAAAAAAGTTAGAATTGGTATTAGCGTAAAATTTAAAGCTTTTAATTATATTACGATTTACACAAAACCCAAGCTCCCAAGAAATTAAAGTAGATCTAATTGTCCAAAGCCGTTACTTGCAAGCATCAAATTTTAAATGAGAGAAGAGGGCCTGAAAGAAAGATTCAGCAGATGACAAGTGATTCTCAAAAGACCATGTTGAAAGTTAAGTGATTCCAATGACTCGTTATTACAACAAAATGCAAATGTTTTGTTTTTGTTTATTGTTGTGACTCTTACTGGTGCTAAATGACCAAGGTTCAGGGAATGGAAATCCAACAAGAATCAGTGCCGGTTTGACTTTTTAGTTGGCACCTGCTGTCTTTCTAAAGCAGAACTCAGAATTTTTTTTTTCTTTCTTTTCAAGACTATTTAGTTCACAGTCTGCCATCTGGTTCACAGCAATTTTCTAAAATATGGGTGACATGGTGACCGTCCAGATTGGTAATGAAATGTTGATAAAGGGCTTTGAGGCTATGGAAGTGCTAATAATAAATACTAATTAGTGCCCATGAATGGGTTTTATTGTGGATCAAGAGGAAAATGGCTGGGAGATTTGATTTGCTGTATTAGGGGAGAGTATTTGTCAGAAAATGGAACAGAGAAAGCAAAATGTAACTGAAGACTCTCACAGCACTATTAACGTGCTCATTGCTTCACAGTCGATCATTAATTACAGACCCGGTGTCTCGTGCAGCAGGCTAACAGCTTTAGGCCTGCTTAACCCCCAGTCAGAGGAAGGAGTTGGCTACTGTTGCTTCTGCACTGTCAAGGCAGAGCAGGGCCTTACCAAGTGCTGGAAAATATCCTGTTTCAACACTGACACCCAGGTCTCTGACACTATTTTTTAAGGTCATCTCTGTATAAGACACTGAATTTTCTAGTTTTCTACCAAATGACATCTTCTATCATTACAGCAAGTCACATTAGCACAATGCTTTACAGTGAAGTGCTTACAATGCTTTCAGTTCCTATAAGTGAGTAAACAGGGTAGAGGCATTCTCAGCTTAGAGGTGAAATGAGCAGTCTCAGCATCCAGTGGCCTGTAGGATGGAGACAAAGAACCAGAATCCAGCCCATCTGGAATCTTCCACTAGATGACAAATGTTAAATGAATTCTGCAAAGCCTGTGGAAAGACAAAGCCTGTACTGGGCTTCCGGATTTAAGGAATTAAGGAATCTTTATTTCATTAATTCATATGGACTTCATGGAGAGCTAACATGCTTGTGTGAGTTATTCCTTGAAGAAGAAGAACAACAACAACAAAAGCTGTTTCCTTCATTTCCCTCCTGCATTTTATAAGGGCTCCAACCTGTGTGTTTAGATTCCAAATCCTCTTGAATTTTTCTATTTCAAAAAGAGTTAGCAACTTAATTCAAACTGAAATGTTTTCCTGATGATGAGATTATGTTTTTAAACATCAATATTTTGAACATGAAAACAGAGATGATATTGCAGAAAAACAGAAATGGGACCATGTTCTTTCTCCACGTGAAAATGACCCTTATACGTTAAAAGTAACCATAAACAGAAAGAAACTAAATTATTGTTGCAGTTCTAAAGGGAATAAGATAGAAAAAGAAAACTTTAGTAGCATAAATACTAGCCCAGGCTTGAGCTAAACTGAATAGAAAAGAGAGAACTTGCTTTAGAGAACTTATAACAAACCAACATAAACTAGAAATATATATGGGAACAAACATACTCAGAAGCCCAGTGGTGAATATCTTCTACGCTGAAACAACACTAGATGGAAATTCAATTAATTGTGGAATGCTTTATTCCAACATCGTGAGTTTTATAATGTGAAAGCTAGAAAAACTGAGAGATAATTGTAATGCAACCTTCTTATCTTAAAAAGTCACGGAGAAACTTAATGTCAAATTCAGGATTAGATTTCTCATTTGCTGATTCCCAATCAAGAGTTCCTGCTCTATAAGATGCTGTCATACATATTTCCATTCTCTGGAAAAACTAGTTGCTTTTTTTTGTGTGTGTGTGAGGAAGATCAGCCCTGAGCTAACATCCGATGCCAATCCTCCTCTTTTTGCTGAGGAAGACTGGCCCTGGGCTAACATCCGTGCCCATCTTCCTCCATTTTATATGGGACGCTGCCACAGCATGGCCTGACAAGTGGTGCATCGGTGCGCGCCCGGGATCCGAACCCGGGCCGCCAGCAGCGGAGCACGCGCACTTAACCGCTATGCCACGGGCCGGCCCCAAGGAAAAATTAGTTTTAGAAACAGACAAATATGTAATGAATGTATTTTATAAATCTCCCTCCTATATTCTAGACACTAGTGAGGCTGCTGGGGCAGTAATGGGAATTCCTATCAGAAAACTTCCAAGGGGCTGTTACCTGACCCCAATCTAAAAGGAAGCTGCTGTTACATTAACCCTACTGGTTCCTGACTGGTGGCGATAGAGGACTTCCTCCGCCAAAGGAAATTGGAAAAGAATAGAACTGAAATAATCGAAGAGCTATGCCCCTTCCAACTGGGGACCAAGACTTGTCAAGTCCACTCATGGTGTCTCTCCAATTGGTCCTCGTCTCTGCGTTCTTGCCCTTCTTATCTAGGAGAATGAGTGATCTCTTCAGTTATCCCCAGATAGCTTCCTGTCTCAGTCCCATACCCCTTATCTCCCTTCTCACCGGTTCCCCAGATGCAATAAATAAAACACACCTATAAAAATGGCACTGGTCTTCTTAAGAAATGAGAAGGGCTCCCATTCTGCTTCACAACAAGGCACTACTCCTTAGCTTGACACCTCAAACCCTGAGCCATTGAGCTCCTCCTCTCCACCTACATTCCCTACCAAACAGCCCACATTCTAGCCACACCCCCTGTCCTGTTCCCCACATGCTGCAGGCCCTCACATCCCTCTGCTTCTGAACTGCTCACCTCTCGAGGCTGAGGCCCATTCTGCCAAACAACCAAAGCCACAGCTCAAAGGCGACCTCCCACCTGTGGCAGGAAACTGCACCCCAATGCTTTGCTCATACCTCTATTAAGCACGCATTTCACTGCCTTATCATTATCAACACTTCCATTTTACCTGTTTCCTCAGCAAGACCATGAGCTTCTCAAGAGCTAGGAGTGTCTCGTGAATGGGGCTCTCTGCCAATGTGGGTTAACTAAAGAGTAGCAAAACCTCTACCAAGAATTCAAATGTAAATGACCTGAAGACGTGGAGGACCAAGCCAGGCCCACTGCATTACAGCAATTAAACTGGCCTGCCCGAGCTGAGGGCAGCTTCTGAACAGGAGGCAGCTAACACTGAAAACCTCCAGGTGCCCCACAGGAGAGTCACGGGAAGGGGTCTCCCTGTCCCGAAGCAGCAGTCCTCCCCATCTGAACACACTCCTCCTCTGCCACCTTTCCAGGGCCCTGAGCACAGAGACAACCTTCCCTAATCCTGAGTCTTCATAACCAGGGGAGCAAAGGAGAAAAGAGAGACCAGAGCGCATAAACACAGGTCACGTTCACTCCCTCCCTTGCCCTAGAAGAAGCAGAGGAGGAGAAAGGAACATGTTCACTTAAGCTCTGGACAAAGCCCTTTGGGGAACAGAAATGTTCCTCATATTTTTTGTCTGAAAAAGCCAGTCAGTCAAAGTCATTACAGTAAGACATTGTTTTGAAACCCAAAACAGACACAAAAATACTAAATGTCACAGGGAAGAAATTCATGCTGTGATGGCTAAACCACTTCCTTAGGACTCAGTGAAGCAGGCTTCTAGAATGTGATCTCACACTGGCTCACTGTGTGACCCTCTCTGGCCTTAGTGTTCCCATTTGTAAAATGAGGTTGCTGGACCAGACATTCTCTGAGGCCCTTCCCAGCCCTGCTGTGCCTTGAAATATTAACCTCCAACCTGGAAACTTTAGATCATACTTTGTCAAAGCACATGAGGTTTATTTGCCCACACATGTTGATTCTCTGTGGGGAGGTACAGAAGATTTTCTTCTTCTTCAGCCTTTTTTGTGCATACATGATGCCTGTGGTCAGGGCAGCTGGCAGCAGAGGAGGGACAGTCAAGCTGAAGAGAAGGAGGGCCATGGGTGCAGTTTTCCTGAAAGAGACCTGGGGAGTGGGGGCACAGACAGGTTAGCCTCGCAGAGCAGGCTGGCACCCTTCCTGGCACCATCTCCTGCAACACCACAGCTCAGAATATTCATAGTGAGTCGGCTCTCTTGGTGGGGCTGTGTTCTCTTGGCTGGGCCTAAGGAATGAACAAATCATCTCCCACTGAAGAACAAAGGAGTCCTCTGATCTCTACTCCACGTCCACTCTGCTCTTTCCTGACTCTGCTTCTCTCCACTCAGTGTTCCCTCCACCCAGAGGGCCCATCCATTCTCTGCTCATCATACTTCCACACACCCTCTGGACTCCCAGGGACTAGTCTTGAGTTGTAATATTTCACACAGCAGCTTGACTGTTGGATTATAAATCTCTCTCCTCTACTAGCCTACAAATTCCTTGGGCACAGCAGCTGTGGCTTATTCTCTCTGAAACCATCTTCGAAGTCATCTCATTCATCTCCAGATACAGAGCCTAGCACAGTTTCTGACACAGAGGAGGTGCTCGGCACACGTATTGAATGAATGATGACCTGATAAAAACTATAAGCAAGATTCTGCCAAGATCGTAGCATATATTGTCTGCTAAAGGGAACCCAATAATACAAATAGCTTGTTCTCACAGGACACACACTCTAGGGCAGGCACTGTGTTAGGCTACATACATTATTTAGTTATTCCTCCCAACAACCTTATGACGTAAATACTGTTATTTTCTCCATTGAACAGATGAGGAAACAGAGGCTTAAAAAATTAAATAACTTCCCCAAGGACATGTGCTGGTTAAATGGTGAGGATATGAACCCTAGTCTATCGGACTCCAGGGCACAAAGGCATGACCAGTGGCTTATATTATCAAGCCAGTTCTCATGGAATCAGGATCCCAGGCAGGTCTGCAGAAGTCCACATGGCAGATAAAGGCAAGACCAAGATTAAATCACAGGGTGGCTTGTTTCACTTTTCACGTATTCTAGATACTAATAGCTCTATCCTCTACAACCTTGCCTAGGTTTTTACGAAATTAACCATAATTTTAGCCATCAAGTCCTCGTTTGGGTATTGGAAACACAGATTCAAGTTCAGTAACAATGGCTGCTGGATACAGCTTCGGTTCAATCTCAATTTATCTCAAAATCCATCATTCCCTGCTTTCCCAACCACAGCCACAGAGGAGTTTTGACCCCAAAGACTCAGCTGCATCTAATCCTGAGCCGGTGCAGATAGAGGGAGCCAACAGGTCCAAAGGTTCTGACCCACAAGACAATGGGGTCTGGGATTAGTCTTGATGCTTTGGTGTCTATTGGATGTCGAGTCTTGCCCAGGAAACCTTCATTCCCAATGACTGCCAGGGCTTTCTGGTCTGTAGGAGAGGGCTTTTTGCCTGTTTTCCTGCTCAATGCTCCCTCCCCAGATGAAACTGGCACACTGCCTCAGATTCCAGACCCAGTGGCTTTAACACTCTGCCTAGCTCTTTCCAGGGTCCATTCTACCAGTGCCAATATGCCCCTGCCTCCTCTGCCCTCGACTTCCCTAGAAATGCTCCTAGGGGGCTTATTTCAGATTGAAATGACTAGTCAGAGCTCAAGTTTGAGCATGGACATTGCCTAGAAATTCCTGTGACTGTGTCTTTGCTCATCAATATCCACCCCACCCCCCAACTCAGACACAGATTGCACTGATGCCACCAGTTTGGGCATTGTAATTTTAGGCCACCCACACCCAGTTTCATACCTTTGTTTGTATCCTTTTATTTACAATTTTTTCTTCTTCCCTATGAGCTCACATTGCTAAGATCCCAGCATGTTTTAAAGAAGAGACTGCAGGTTCACAACAGAATCAGACTCTCAGGACAAGAAAGGATCTCAGAGGATCGTTCGTGACAACCCTTCCCTCTCCACCCATCACAACTATTAAGAGAGACATCCAAATGAAACCAGACACCCTGAAGCTTAAATAGAGGTGGGGATCCATACAGTATACAACTCTGCAAAAGTAAACATTTAGTTTCATTTCAGAACTTAAGCAGAACACAGTGGCAACCCATTGACTGCATGGTGTGTTGAGTATGCCCTGGACAACGTACATGCTCAAATACTTCAAAGCTCTCAGGTAGCCCAAACTTCTAGGCATGGCACTTAAAGTCTCCTTCAGTATGACCTATTTCTACCTTACCAGACTTATCTCTTAAGGGCCTGCTGATTCCAGAAGACCCCTGTGCATTTCTTCCTTTGTGTTTTGCTCACTCAAATTGGTATGCCCTTCCTGCTCTCTGATCTGATTGACTAAATCCTCTCCATCCTATCAGGCTTGAGAAACATGCATTTCCTCCGAGGCTGATTGAGCTTGGGTGTCACAAATGCCACACATGTGGTAAGCTCTCATTCCCATCCAAATGGTGAAAGGAGCCGTGAACTCTGCAACTTTTCAGAGATGCACCATCCAATACAATTTTCACTAACCACACATGGCTATTTAAATTTTAATTAATTTAAATGGAGTACAGTTGAAAATTCATTTCCCCAGTCACACTAGCCACACTTCAATAAGCACATGTGTTTAAGGGCTACCATATTGGACAGTTGAGACATAGAATATTTCCATCATCTAAGAAAGCTCTATTGGACAGCATTGATTCACAGACTGATGGGACTAAGAAGTAACCTTACCTAACCCTTTTGAGTGAGGTCAAGCTCCTTGAGAAAGCTATGCTATTGAAAAGCCTTACCCCCAGTACTTACTCCACGGTACATATACACACCAAGGGCATAGAAAAAACCCACAACTCCAAGGCAGGCCAGGAACACTAGGAACTTGAAGGCATCACTGTATAGTTTGAAGTTCAGAGGCCGGGGGTAGAGGATGGATCTCACCAAGTCTCCTTTTGCTGTATTATAACCTACATGAAGATAATCACAGGTTGAGTAAGGTCCTTTAATACAGTTTCGCCCCAAATGAGAAACGGTTTGCATTGAATTAAGGATTGGTTAATAGAGTCATTTGAATATGGAATGAAAACAGCATTGCTGTGACCTAACAGCATATTTACATTTATTGTTCTTACAAGTCACCAGAAACAATAAATGGCGTTCACTTAGCCCTGCTCAATTTCTCTTGCTCTGGGAGTCAGTGCTTCGGTGGCTCAAACAATGCAACTCTGCACTGATGCATAGGGTTGGGAAAAGAAGACCAAGGAGCTGATGAATATGGTGACCAGATAAGATGAGCTGCTAAGAGAAGAAGACTTTAAAGCACAGATATGTGCTGAATATAAATAGAAAATTAAGAGAAAAGGAAAGCACAAAGCAAGTAATTTCTTAAATATTATGTCTCCAATCATGTTATTCTTATGTTCAAAAACCTTCCAGAGCCCTTAGTTTTGAGAATCAAGTTCAAGTGTCTAGGCATGGCATTCGAGATCCCCTTCCATCTGATCTACTCTTACCTTGCTAGACTTATCTCTTAACTGCTCACTGGTCCTAGAAGACCAGTGCATTCCTTCTTTCATGTTCTGTGCACTCCTTCCTTCATGTTCTGCAGACATAAATTAGCATGTCTTTCCAGCTCTCTAATATGATGGGCTAAATCCTTCTCATCCTATCAGGCTTGGCTCAAAATGCTGCCTCATCAAATACCTGTTTCCAGAATTCTACTCCCATACTTCATATCAAAAATAATTTCTCTCACTCTTTAGAGTTCCTATAACACTTCATCATTTGACATCTACCACTGCTCTATGTTTTAGTTAGCTATAAATCCATCTCTCCCCTGCACCACAGCACAATCTTCTTTAAGGGCAATTATCTCACAAATTTTTTCTTTAACCCTCAGTACATAGCCCTTAGTAGATACTCATTAAGATCTAAACTATTGGCAAAAAAAGATTGACTACTATATGTTCTAGATATGAGTCATTATTTTAAGTACAAAACATGCCTTAATCCCACTGTTTGATGAATATCTGGGTCTCCTCAAACATGGTTTTGCAGGCTTTGGAGAAAAGGAGCAGGGTTTCCTCTAACCTATTGCTTTAGCATTTTACAAACTCAGATTGGGTGGTTTCCATGATCTCCACTCATTAGCTACTGCTGATCAGCAGGCTGAGAGATGTTCTCATGCCCATTGACTACTTTGAACATAAAACAAAACTTGATGTTTTTAATTTTAAGAAAATCAGGTAGAACAATTGAATTATAAACTAAACTAAAATATCGAGATATCATAGTGCAAGGAGTGTTTCGGATCTGTGAATATGTGGTGTGGCAGAAACACAGGTCAGGGGTGAGTACAGAGAGCTGGGACCATGGAAGATGTTAGTCATGTAATGTCATGTGAAAGATGAGGACTAACATTGGTAGTCTTGAAAAGTTTTTGAGCATGGTGTGTATGAACTACTTCAAACTATGTTCTAGAAATGTGACTTGGTGACAGATTGAGGGATAGGTTAAAAAAAGATTGAATAGAATACAAGAAAAAGTATTTGAAGTGAAAGTTGAAAAGAAACAGTCAAAAGAATATTTCTGTTATAATAGTTTAGACAGGAGATGATGAAGGCCTGAAAAAAAATACCAACCATGGGGATGAAGGAGAGGGAGACAGGACTCAGAGGGTCTTTGTAGAATCGACAGGATGTGGCGCCCTATTTGGTATGGGAGAAAGTGGGGAGTTAAAGATGATATGAAAAAACTACCTAGATGGTGATGTTGTCAACAGAAAGAGGCGACAGAGGAGGATATGTTCACTTTCAGATGCCTTGACTTTGAAGTGTCTATAGGGAACACAGATGGAGGTATCTAGCAGGGAACTTGAAATAACAGCCCAGCAAGCAATTGTTTGAGAGAAAAATGTCCTCAAGTGTTAGTGGTTAAAATTGTTCTCTCGGTAATCACTTAAAGGGGGTGTAGAGGGAAAAGAGAAGGAGCCAATGGACACAAGAAAAAATAAGAACATAGATTTGCCTTTGAGGAAATAAACTTCATCCCTGTATATGCTTAACCATATAAGGGGTTTTAACAATGAACCATTCAATTAGAAATGGTGGCCACTTAGAATAATAAGAGTCTGATTGGAAAAGAGTGTGGCTGTTATTACTAGAATGTGGCAAAGTCCATAATCCTAAACGAAATTTCCCTAATCCAACTCCCCCACCTCCAATCATGGATTAAATGTACAAAAGTGGAATCTACTAACCTGTTTGCAAAACGACAGCTCTTACTGGCCCCTGCCCAGAGGGCTTGACCTGGATTACTTCCGTTCCGCAGAAAAGGACATGTTTTCGATAATCCTCCAAACTGTGGGATTTCCAGGCTGTGGTGTTCTCCATATGGGGCAATTGTGTCTTTGTGACAGGTGTACTTTCTCCTAAAGAAGATTATATTTTGTTGGTTGTCTGTGAACTCAGGTAGTTACTTAGAGTTGGTGCTTGCCAATTTCAAGAAAGGATACAAACCACAGCTAATCTGGTCCTAATGCCCATCCCATGAGTCAAAGGACTGTTCTTAGGGATGCTGATAATGCAAGCAGTGGTACATTTGATTACATTTCAAGTATTTATTTAAAATCTGCCTATCTTGCCCATACCAGGCCTGCACGGTTTGTTGTTGAAACCGGCAAAGAGTTAGCCATTGATGATTAAACAGCCAGTAACTATGGGGGATCAGAATTGGCCCCTACCCCCACTAACTAACCAAAAGAGCTTGGGATGGGAGGCCTGCCGCCAGAACAGGCCATCACCATAGACATCTCCAGTGTCTGGGTGGGTCCGTGCTAAACCCATTCTTAGTTGTAGTTACCCTTTATGAGATACATTTACATTTGTAAAGAAAATCTCCATCCTTAAAGGTATCTTCCTCCAAAAATGTAAAGAAAATCTCCATCTGTAAAGGTATCTTCCTCCCTGTATCAGGAAGAAGGGGGGGATAGCTTTACCTAGAAACTTATCAGAACAGAAGATGAGGACTTAAATCTGCGTGATAAACTTACCCATTGTTAACTGTGCTGTTTAGGCAATATGCTATCTGACTCCCACTAGGTTCCTATAGGTAACATCCCCCTGGAGTCTGGGTCACCATGGTAATGGGTGTTTGAGCTATTTTTTCAGGAACTGAAACCCTTGTCCACTTCAGGCCGGAGTGAGACCACCAACCCATCAACTGGGCCCTTTTGACGGCAAGAGGTTGGAACTCCACCCTCAGGGCATGCTAATGCTGCCATTCTGTGAACATGTGTCCTACGAAGAAGCATGAAGCCTGACTACGCCTGCACAGATCATCAATTACCTCATCTCTCCTCACCTCTGGTCATTTCAGACCACCTTGCCCCCTTCTCCATAAATACCCCCGAGTCCCTATTTTCGGGGAGGCGGATTTGAGACTTGTTCTCCCATTTTCCTCACTTAGTTGCTTTGTGATTAAACCCTCTCTCTCTGCAATCTCATCGTCTCAGTGATTGGCTTTCTGGGCGTTGCGCAAAAACGGACCTGGTGCGGTAACATTGTTATAATCTAAAAAGCGGCCCATTTTAGCAAAGAGAGCTGTCCCTTAATCACTCCCCGAAGATTCATTAAGCTCAGCACTATTCTAGGCAATGAAGGAGCCATAAAGCATGTATATAGTTATTATTCTTTGCCTTTCATTCACTCATCTATCCACCCATTCATCCATTCATTCAACAAATATTTTTAAGTGCTTATTCTGCATCAGGCACTGCTGTAGGTGCTGAGAATATCATAGTGAACAAGAGAGACAGAAATCCTGCCCTCATAAAGCTCAGGGAGCCAGGCTAGTAAATAACTAATTAAAATACAATAAGGTAAGTATTTGGGTAGTAGTCCCAGATGATCTGAAGATCTGATGCAAACAGAAGATCAGGAAAGATTTCCTGGACAATTAATAAATGACAGCTTGAGGGGCCGGCCTGGTGGCGCGTGGTCCGCTGTGGCACCAAGGGTTCGCCGGTTCGGATCCTGGGCGCACACCGACGCACTGCTTGGCGAGCCATGCTGTGGTGGTGTCCCATATAAAGTAGAGGAAGATGGGCACGGATGTTAGCCCAAGGCCAGTCTTCCTCAGCAACAAAAAGAGGAGGATTGGCAGATGTTAGCACAGGGCTGATCTCCTCACAAAAAAAAATAATAATAATAAATGACAGCTTGAAAGGAGAGTAAGACCAGCCAGATCCAGGAGAGGAAAGAGTTCTTGGAAGAAGTGAGAGAAAGAGCATGGTGTGCTCTGGGCGCTAAAGATAGCCAAGGATGTTCGACACTGAGTGTGAGGGAGAGGTAAGGAGTCCTACAAGTACAGAGATAAAGGAGAATGATGCCTTCATAAAATCTGTAAAATATTCTTCATGATCTTTTTGGAGCTTGCAGTGAAAGAGAAAGCAATGTAACAAGACAGGACCTCTTGTGTCTTTCTGGATGACCTCAGCTCTACTTCCATTAATAAGCACCTCTAAATAGATACATCAGTAATGTCTATCTTCACCTTTCCTCTCTCCTGGGCTCTTGTTCTGTATTTCCCAATTGTGGGCTGTTCATCCCAACCTTGATATCTCACTACCTTCTCCAACTCAACATACCGAAAATCTACATCAATATTTTCATCCCTTAAACTTCCTCCTGACCCTCTTCTTTCTCTTATGGTACCACTCTTTTGCTGAGTCGCTGGTTTCCGATCTCAGAAGCATCTTTGATATCTCCTCTTCCCATACTCTGCCCTCTCATGGAATAAGTCTTCACCTCCTACTGCTTCTTCCTTGTGAGCCTGCCTCACCGAGTCATTCTTGGAATCTTCATCTAGGTCCCAATGGTTTCACTGGCAATCACTATCTGACTCGTGGTGGTTGCTTTAACAGTGGATTAGCTGTAATTTGTTTAGCTCTCTGAAGTGCAAATACATGCCCTGGGTAACTTGAGGCTGCAGTGGAATCAATAAATCTTTCTTATGAATAAGTACCTCAACCACAACCTGCCTTGACCTCCTGAGTTACAAGAAAACCTCTCGTCCTTCCTCCTGTGTTTCTCCTTTACTCTCACGCTGCTACCACACTCACAACACTTCTGACATCAGATATGTGGGGTTTTTCCCCACAATGAGCAATTCTACGAGACCAGCTGGTTGTCCTACAATTTAACTCAATTCAGCTCAACGCTGACATTATCTACCTGGAGATAACGTTAGATCCTAAAGATTAAGGGCTCGGTCCCACACGACTGCTCCCACCCCACTTCAGATGTCAATTGCAAATCCACGTTGTTTCCTGTGCATCTGACTGATAAATCTGAGGTACCCGTGGCCCCCTCTTCAGGTTGGATTAATTTGCTAGAATGGCTCACAAAACTCAGGCAAACACTTACATTTACCAGTTTATTAAAGGGTACAACAAAAGATACAGAGGAACAGCCAGATGAAAAGATACACAGGAAGGGTCCTGAGCACAGGAGCTTCTGTCCCCGTAGAGTGGGGAGTTGGGACCCTCCAATATATGGATGTGTTCACCCACCTGGAAGCTCTCTAAACCCCCTACTATTGGGATTTTATGAGGCTTCCTCACATAGGCACAATCAATTATTAACTCCATTCCAGTTCTCTTCCCCTCTCTGGAGAATGGGGGGTAGGGCTGAAAATTCCAAGCTTCTAATCATGGCTTGATCTTTCTGGTGACCAGCCTCCATCCAGGAGCTCACCCAGAGTCGCCTCATTAGAACAAAAGATGTTCCTAGTGCTCTTATCACTCAGGAAATTACAAGGTTAGGAGCTTTGTACCAGGAACCAGGGGCAGAGACCAATATATGTATATACGTTGGTCACACCTCCTAACTGGTCTCTTCCCTCCAGCTCCCTGCTCGCCTTAGTCATCCCACACCACTTCCAGATGAATCCTATCAAAGACCCCTTTTATCATCTCACTATTTAATCAAAAGTCCTTAAGCTTTCCCATTGCCATTACTAATAAAGCTCAAACTCTCTTGCTAGATCGTCAAAACCACCACAATCTGAGCATCATTGGCTGTTATTCCCCTACACAAACTCCGGCTAAACCAGGCCACCTGCGTATCCTGTCATTGACTCTCATCCTTTGCTGGTATCGTCCCTCTCCTTTCCCTGATGGCTGTAAGACAGGATATTTAAGCTACAAAGAAAAGTAGTTCAGAGTTCAAAGAGGATACATTTCAGAGACAAAATAAAAATGTTAATAACACTTCTGGCTCCCAAATTTAAAAAGCACTGGAATTAATTTAAAATTCCATCAGTCTTTTGCTAAATGTTAATTAGTAAGATAACATGTCTTATTTCTAATTTGGAAATAGTATTATTATTTTTGTTTGTGTGTGAGGAAGATCAGCCCTGAGCTAACATCTGCCAATCCTGCTCTCTTTTTTTGCTGAGGAAGACTGGCCCTGGGCTAACATCCATGCCCATCTTCCTCCACTTTATATGGGACACCGCCACAGCATGGTTTGACAAGCGGTGCATCAGTGCGTGCCCAGATCTGAACCCCGGGCTGCCGCAGCGGAGTGCACACTTCACCGCTACGCCACCGGGCTGGCCCGAAATAGTATTATATTGATTTTAGTTATGCAAATTTAGATTCTCTCTCTCCTTCTAGGTAATAACTGAGGGCAAGGACTTTGACATGTATAACTTTTTATATTCCTCATTTTCCCTACTGGTATGTAATAGGTTCAAAATACATATTTTTGCTAAATGCCTGGATGAATTGAATAAAAATGTTTACCCAGGTTTTTCTATGATTGGCTTTTCAAAACTAGTTTTCTACCATGGTGCATTTTTACATCCTAAGGTGCAAGAAGCTATAAAATTTTTATTAGTGATCTGGAATATTCTTCAGAAAATTCCTTTAGCCAACATTGTCCCTAAGTCATTTCTTTAAAATTATGATATTCATCCATTGTGTGGATTTATCTGTTGCATTCCAAATGGCTTTGTAAAAGGGATAAAACCTTTTGACAAATCTCCGAATCATTGTACCATATTATTTTGAAATCAGCCTGTGTAAAGGCAAATACTTACAGATAACTTCAAATGTTTTTCTGCCTTATTAATCCACAATATACGCTTAGACTAATATTAGTGTACGTTTCTGCACACACAAACAGTGGTATTGGGAGCAGGCCGGTATTTGATCAACCAGAGATAGAAGTCATTTGGAGAGAATGTTCCAGAAATAACATTCAAATCAGATGATTTTACACAGAGACGATTTTCAAGTCTCTTTGACACTGTTCATGTATTAATGAGTCTTGTACCCGGCCTTTCTTGGAATCCCACAAAAGGATGGATTCACATACAAAAGTCTGGAGGTCTAAGTAGACTGGAGAGGGTTTCAGAAGGAAGTACACTCATCATCAACTGTTCAGTTGGCTTCTGGGACCTGGAGATCCTGGCTGCTGTGAAATGGAGAGTATCTTCTTTGTCTGTAATGAACCAGATGCTCCTCATGGTGACAGTGTTTGAAATGCTATGTCCCTGTTTGTTTATATTTCTGGGACCATTTGACTGTCAACTGTTTGAGAACAGGGGTCATTTCCATTCATCTGGGTGAATCCAACACACAACACAGTGCCTGGCACATAGCAGGCATTTTTGAACCTTTATGGAATAAATGGATGAATGAATGAATAAACAAAAGAAAAGGAGAAGAGAGTGAGAGAGAGGAGGAAAGGAAAACAGGCAGAGAGGAAAAGGTCTGACCTATCAACTGAGTATCAGCTTGTCTGACTGGATATAAATGTGAAATAGCCACTTAAGGAAATTCCTGTGTGTTCAAATCAGATCACTGCATACTTCCCACACATACATGTAAATTCAATCAGTAATTCTGATGAGTAGAGGGAGAGGGAAGAGGATTGTGGCAGAGTGAAATCTAACCCTCTCTCTCACAATTATCCCTAAGAGAATCCCAAAGAGAAGGCAAGTACAGTAGTGTCCCCTTACGTGGGTAGCGTATATAGTATGGATACTCTGGACAAAGGGATGAATCATGTCCCGAGGGTGACAGAGGGGGATGGAGCGGGACAGAGGGAGCTTTTATCAGGATACTCAGAAATGTACGCAATTTAAACTTATGAATTGTTTATTTCTGGAATTTTCTGTTTAATATCTTCCAACCACAGTTGACCACATGTAACTGAAACCACAGAAAGCAAAATCGTGGATAAGGAGGACTACTGTAGTTCCAAGCATAGGCTCTGAGGTCAAAATGCCTGGGTTGAGCGTTTTATTTTCTTCATAGAACTTATAACTGTTGGAAATTTATGTCATTTACCTATTTTCACGTTTTCTGTCTCCCTGCTAGAATGTCAGTTCCATGAGGGTAGAAATCTTACTTGCCTTGTTCACCGCCATATTCCCAGCACCTAGTAGAGTGTCTGCTCAATAGTAGGGGTAATAAACCTTTTTGAAATGAATGAATGAATGAATAAACAAATAACCCAAATCTCAGCTCCATTCCTTTAAAGCTGTGCGACATTAGGAAAATTACTTACGCTCTCTGGGCCTTAGATTATAGAGTTATAATCTTATAGAGTTGGAGATTGAATGAAATAACTTATGTAAAATGTTAGCACAGTACCTGATATATATAAAAACTAAGAAAAATTAGCTATTATGCCAAGAGAAAATTTCAAAATGTTAATAGACTTCCCCCATGGTATTCCCTTTTGCCTCTTGACGGCTTTGTGAGGAGCCAGAACTTGAAGGGGATCATTGCTTTAGGAGGCAGAAAAAAAGGACAGAGGAGTCCATAACTGGCTTTTGAGTTTCAAAGTCATTCATAAGTTTGATCATGAATTTTAGAGACCACCTGAGAGTAAGAACAAAGCTGTTCTGTTCACCATGCCTTCCCTCTACTACGTTTCTAGCTAAATAAAAATCCCTGGACTGGGAATTGGAAGAAAATCCAAAGGAAACTTAGATATTGTGTGTCCCTGAGAAAAGAGGCTGGCACCAAAGTAGGGCATGGAAACATTCTAGAAGTTTGTGGAAACTCAGAGCAAAAGGCACCTAGGTCTGCCTTCTTCTCCAGGTGTACAGGCTTGGCAAATTTCCCAAGCCCAGAGTAGAGTGAGAGCAACAGACAGAAGAGCTGTCCTAGACAAGATCCCCCTCCCCAATGCCTTGCACATTTATTAGTGATCTGGAATATTCTTCAGAAAATTCCTTTAGCCAACATTGTCCCTAGGGAGCCAGACTAGGATCTGGAGGACCTGCTCATCAATGGAGATAACTGTCTGTCTTATACCAGATACTTCACACTGCATACTTTCAAGGATGGCAAAATTTGGAGCCCAAATAAAAATTAAGCGTCGTTATAAAATAAAGTTAAGTTTCTTGCACAGTTGAGCTTTGGCAATAGGATGAGGCCAAGGAGATGAGGAGATGGAAGACCCTACAATGGGCATGCGCTATGCATGAGAGTACCCAGTAGAGGAAAAAGGTGACGAGGCCCCAAAATTGAAGACAGTGGCTTCACCCAGCTTAGAATCCTTCTCCTCACTCCTATGATCCCTCATTTCTGGGAGCAAACGCCACCTCTAACTGTGATTCTTTCACTTGCCAGCTAAGCATCCCTGGTCGCTTTTTACCTCAGTGTCCTCATCTATAAATTGGGTATTATAATAGCTCCTAGTTTATTTGGTTTTATGCCATGATGAAGTGAGATATAAAAGTTATTCCTATAGCGATGCCAGGAGTATTTGCTATTTTTCCTCTTACATAAATAAAGACTTCTATATATGCAAAGGACAATTTTGCACATGGGGACAAAAGCAGCTGAGACACATTTGTGGACAAATGCTCTAGGAATACCTGTGCAGTCTCAGGAACCTAACTCTAACCTGATTGCTCAATCAGGATCCTTTCCACAAATAGGTATGTGAGCAGGAGGATCTACGTAGGTTGTGTAATATTTAGAGCATGGGGTACTTGGATCTTTTTGAAGAAATTAATGAAAAAGAAATATATGTATTTCTGTTTCATGTGTCTATCTCTAACATTGACTTTTATCAGTACTTAGATTACATAGACACGAATGCTGGTGACTTTATTTTTCCAGAAACAGACCTAGGAAAAGCCACTTAATATTTAAGGTCAGTTTAGGTCAATTTTACACATTTGTTCAAAGGCAGCATTGTTTGCCAGTTCTACTTCTGGGGAACTCACTGAGTTTTCCTCAGAATCAAGGCAAGTACTGGGCACCCGAGTCAGTAGACCCAGGGGAATAAACACTGCTGTCAGTTCTCCCCCGATTTCTCACGGCCATGCTCCCCGTCGCCAGTCAGAGAAGCCATTCTTCATCGGCAGGCTCCTGGGAAATAGGAGACAGTTCTGCCCTTGAGTGGAGGGGATAGTTTTTCTCGGGCTTGAGGTTTGCACAGTGGGTACTATGGCAACATTCTGGATGAAAGATGCGATCAGTATGCAAATCCCCATCACTATCATTATAAGGCAGTTAGATTTCAACACATTAAAGAGGTATTTTGTAATCAAATCGAACAGAGTTATGTTTACTACATTTTCTTGTCTCAATTTTAAATTAAGCAGACCCATTTTTAATGTGAAAGCTGCTTGTGTTGAACAGTTTAGGAATAGATAATGACTCCATTAACATTTAAGTGATGTTAAAAAGTTTTGTGTGTGTGTGTGTTTCTTGTCTTTAGCCATTTGAAAACAGAAAAATGCAACAATTTGTAAGCTCAAAAGACAAATAGTTTCTATTTTTGCGTTGCTGTGTAGTCTCTTCTCCCATTACCATGTCCTGTGCACTTTTTTTTTTTGCCTAAAGAATATTTCATAAATAATGCCTTACTGATGACACAAATTCAAGTGGACTTTCCAAAGTACAAATGAGAACAAGGACAGATCAACCATAACTAGAAAATTGGTTTTCTGCTCAGTGAGATCAACTAGAGATACGATTCTGAAGAAGAGAACTGTTACACCGCTTTTCCCTGAAGGGTCAACTCAGTCTCCTTTCCAGAGGAACCTGGGGCTCAGTTTTCCATCTATAGGGTACAGGGCTAGAGAAAATCTCTACACTCTGCCAACTGTGAGAGTTGGTGGTTTTGGGTTGTGTTTTATTCGGATAGGTATGGAAACAATTCTCATATTTATCAAGAGATTGTGCAACAAACAGTATAGTGCTCTCACCCTCTGAATCCAAAGCACCATATTCACCCCATCCCTCAGGCAGTTAATTAGTCACATGTTGTGTTAGATTTTTCTTCTAGTTTCGTATTTATTGTGGCTTGATTCTTATATTGTTAAATGTTTCCTGTCTGTATATATTGAGTCTCCACCTGCATGAATAGGCTGGGTGTGTCTCCCTCCCCGATCTCTCAGCATCTTAGCATGATCCTGGTATAAAGCAGATGAGTTGATGTTGATCTGCTTTGCTAACGCTTGGCCTAGATGTTGAGCAGGAAAGAGGAAGCACCATGACAACTGCCTACCTGTGAGCATGCCTTCATTCACCACGCAGCTTCCATCAATCAGAATAGCATCACATGGCAATGAAAATTTTCCGGGAAGAATAAGAATATCTCCAGGGACCAAGAGACGGGATTCCAGCTCCTGCAAACCTACACGATAGCACAGTTTCCGTGACTAGCTGACTTTTTTCTGTTTTTGCTTAAGAATGAAAATGAGCGAGAACTCTTATCAACCTGTTGGCCAAGAGTTACCCTGCATGCTGACCTGCTCCAGCGCCTTTCCACTCGACTGCAAATTCCCAGAGAACCAGGATTAGGGAATTGGTTCCCGGGCCATAGCAGAAGGTTACCTCAGCAACAAGATCCCATCTTGATGCTAGTACCTGGGACAACGTTCTGCCCACAGAAGATACTCAAGGTCGACGGAGAAGTGCCCCTTTGCTGCTGCTGACTGTCTTTGCCTGGGTTCCCCAGCCTCTGTGTCACACTCTGTTCTTGGAGTGGGGCCTAGTGTAAACCCTCCAGACAGCTTCAGCTGCCCTAGGGTACAGCTCCTTACTCCTTGCAGGGAGCCATGGCCACCCCAACCCAGACTAACTCAGAGCAAATGGCAAGTGTCCAGACAGCCATCTACAAGCCTCATTCAGGCCTGGGTTCCAGATTACAGATCAAAATGTATGATGTAGGGTCTGCGATGGTTTGTTGGGCAAATCAAAAAGCCTTAAGAAGGCTTACCCAGTATCATTCAAGCAAGTGAAATACGTAGGGCAGAGGGAATTTGAAGGAACCCAGACATTGGGTAGAAACTGTTCAATCAGGGCTGGATGAGGGTGAGGCAAGCACGGTACCGAGGGCACGAAATTCAACAAGTCGATCTCTCTCAGGGTCCTGCCGGGAACAGGTGAGAATTTGCATATCCTTGCCTCTCTAAATTTTGCATCTTAGATGCCTTGTTTGCCTCACCTTAGCCCCAGTCCTGAACCCAATCACAAAAGACTTTTTTCTCTTTGACTAATAATCAATAACAAATGAGAACAACTCCACCCTGAAATATTAGGATGCTGAAGATGGCAGAACATCTCACTTACCTTTGCCTTTTACCATAACTGTAACCTGGACTTTGTTGTGATCCTCCACAAGGTTGTGCAGCTTAACCGATTGCTACCAATTTAAAGTCAACATTTAAATATTAGACGGTCCATATCCCGAAAACCACACGATCTCAATACAGTAAATGCCAAGTCTGCTGTCACAGCCAAGCTGATTCTGGGCAAAGACTCAAGTTCCACTTTTGATATTCCTGCTTCCCTGCCCCAGCCTCTACCCCACCCAACCCCTATTAGCAGCAGCAAATATGTTCATATGTTTAATGCTATTTCAATCCCAAGAAAAATAATGCCCAGCCACTGACCCCACCCCCAGGACCCAAACTAAGGCACTGAGGCTTCACCTCTGGAGGATGCACGATTAGACTGGGGATGAATGAGACCACAAACAGGTTAATTCCCCTCTCGGTGCCTCAGTTTCCCTGTCTGTAAAATAACAAAGCTGAATTTGATCTGTAAGTGGCTTTCCATTGTAAGAGCCTGTGAATATTTGCATTGTTTTGATTGTATGTGGAACAGCCATTTCCTCCTTTACAAACTGGTGGATTTTCATATTGGGTAAGAGTCTGCATGCTGGAGTCACTCTGCTCTGTTTGGAGTCCTGGTGCTACCCCTTATGATTTATTTAGCTAACTTCCTTTTCCTCTTCTGAAAGTGGAAATAATAACTGCCTGCATTTTATGAGGTTGTTTTAAGTTAGTTAGTGCTCATCTTAGCTATCCCTTCGGATAGTACTCATTACTATGGTAAGAGCTCAATGAGTGTTAATGATTAATAAGAAAGCTGCTGTTGAAAAAACAGTTGTCTGAGTACATCAGCTGGAAAGATTCTTTTTTTTTTTTTAATTTTTTGTTTATTG